CAAGGAAGCAGCCCGCATGAAGCTTTGCAAAGGCACTGCCAAGCCCGGGAAGGCGTGCTGAACAACTGACAAGGCGAAGCCCGGACAAGCAAGGCCGCTGATCAAGACGGAAGCCTCCAAGCAGGCAAACTGCCTCAACAAGAATGGAGAGCCGATCTGAGATGCGCTAGAGGCGGGAGGTGACAAACCTGGGTGCGCCAAGCTTCTGGTCAACAGCATGGAGCCCAAAGTCGTCACGCCAACCGCAGGCAGCGTGTAGAGAGATGCCGTCCTAAACAGCCCGCAGGCTGTCAACGGGCTTTCCGGGCGAGCATGTGACCGTGCCAGCGGCAAGGAGCCCACGGAAGCATAGGCGTAGGCAAACGCTGCGGGACCAAGCCGCGCCCAGCTGCGTGCCAGCAACGGGAACTCTGAGTGCAAAAAGTCCAACACCAACGCAGAGGAGCCAAGGGCGCTGCACGTGCAGAGTGAGGCGCAGGAGCCGGCACGCAGCAAGGACCTCAAAGGCAGCACGGGGCCTGGGCTCTGGAAGCAGGAGACGAACACTGCCGGACCGATGCGGGCGGAAGATCTCGAAAACGCCGAGAAGCCAAGGACTCCGAGGTCCGCTGCGGGTGGGAAAGAGCCAGTACGCCCACTGCTGCGCAAAGGCGGCAAAAGGCCGGAGTGCACGCTGTCGCATGCTGGCGACGAAGGGCTCGGGCGCAGGAAGCTGCGGGGCAAAACTGCAGGGCCAAGTGTGGCGCTGCCCAAAGGTGAGACGGGTGTGTCTGCACGGGCGCCTTGGACCAGTGACAGAGCAGGGCCAGGGCAAGCCAAGCTTCGCAAAGAGATCGGCGGGCCGAACTGGCCGGCGTTTGGCGCGGAGGCCGCTGGACCCATGCGCAGAGAGCTGCGGGTAGGAAGTCCCAAGCCCAGAAGTGCAAAGTCCGCGACAAGCAAAGAGCTGCCCAGCCTCGCCAGGCTGCACGCTGACGCGAAGGCGCCCGCTTGGCTGCAGCTGTGAGGAAACGTCGAGGGCCCAGTGCTGCACGCGGCCGGCACCGACGGCACAGGCTCAGCACGCACAAGGCTTCTGGTGGGCGGGGAAGGGCCAGCAGCCAAGAAGCCAGCAGCCAAGAAAGCCAGGCCCAAGCAACATGTGCCACAAGTTGAGGCTGGAAAACTCAAACGGGCGTAGCTGCGAGTCAGCAACGCAACACCCGCACGTGTGCTGTCAAGGGCTGGCACCAGCAAGCCCGGCCTGAAGAGAGATCTGGGCAGCACGGACGAGTCAGTTTGGCCGCTGTTCAAGGCTGACATGGGCAATCCCACTCGTGCGAGACTTCGTGAGGGCACAGGCGGCCCAGGGTGCAAGAGGTCCAAGACCAACGCCGAGCTGCCAAACCTTGCCATGCCCACGGCCAGCGGGCTCGAGCCGGCCCTCACTGACGCCCTCGCAGAAGTTGGCGCCTCTGACTGGGAGGAGTCTGACACCAAGATGGCCGGGCCAACGCGTGCAGTGCTGCGGGTGGAGGCCGGGAAGTCAAGAGTGGAGCAGTCCGCAGCGGGCAGAATGGGCCCCAATCTCATCACTCCAAACGAGGGCACTGAGAGCTCAGCCTGGGCATAACCTCTGAGTGACAGAGCAGAGCCTGAAGACCCGCTGGCCAGGGCCGGCACGGAGCTGTCGAGTTGGGCGAGGGACCGCAGAAATGGCGCAAAACCCACATGTGCGCAGTTCGGAGCAAGCAGCGCCGACGCGGCCTGCGCAAAGCTTCGAGTTGGCAGCAAAGGGCCCGAATTTCCATGGCTAAGCACGGGGATTGGGAAGCCCAGCCGTGCTATCGAGCAAGGGGACATTCCAGAGCCGACGCGCGACCAGCTGCGGGGTGACGGAAGGCTTCCGGGTCGAGCAACTTCCAAAGCAAATACAGCTGGGCCCATGCAGCCAAAGGACCTCAACAAGGAAGTCGGGCCAAGGCAGGCGTGGTCAACGACCGGCAAAGAGGACAGGGAGCTTGGACAAGTCGAACCAAAGATGGGAGCTGAACTGCCAAATCAAACATGGCTTCGGACAGATGCGGAAAGGCCAATGTGCGAACAGTCCACGGCAAAGGAGGAGGCACCCACTTGGCTAGGACTCCTCAGCAGCATCAATACATCCAAAGCACTCACGCCTAGTGAGAACAGATTGGAGCCCAGAACTGTTTTACCCAGGGTTGAGGCAGCAAGCCCTATGCATCCGACACTCCTGGGAAACGAGGCAGGCGCCGTGTGGGAGAACTGCAGCGCAGGCAGTGCAGCACCGGCGCGGGCGAGGCTTCTAAGTGAGAGCGAGCTGGCCACCATGCCCATGTTCAATGTCAGGGCTGTGGGGCCAACGCGAGCAAGGCTGCGGGTCAAGGGGGAGCTGCCGGAGTCGCCAAAGTCCAGCACGGGTGCAGAGGCTTCGATCTGGGCAAAGCTGCGCGCGGATGCTGCTGGGCCCATCAGCACGGAGTCCGCGAAGGATGTCGTGAAGCCTGACCTGGTCGCGGATACGGTCGCCAGCGAGCTGCCAGGCCGTGCCAAAGAGCGGGTCGAAGTCGAGGGTCCGGGGGATGCGGGGTCCAGGGCCGGCAAACTCGGCCCCGGGCGGGCGAGGCTGCGAATCAGCGCCGGAGACCCGAAGAAGGCGCAGTCCGCCACAGGAGGCGAGGCGCCCGAGCGAGCCGTGGCGGCTGCAGGCAAGGCGGATCCCAGCCGCGCGAGCCTACGAGGGGGCAACGTGGAGCCCATTTGGGCGGCGCTGAAGGCTGACACACCGAAACCCGTGTGGGCGGAGCTGCGCAGAAACGTCACAGAGCCAAGTGCTGAAGAGCTGGGCACTGGAACGGCCAGGCCCACATGAGAGGAGCTGCGCAGCGGAACGGCGGAGCCGGAGATGGACGCGTCCGGCGTCGGAGTCGTGGGTTCCGCGCAGGCCAGTCCGCAAATCGAAACGGCCGGGCCTGGCCGGGCCGTGCTGCGCGTGGGCGGGGCAGGGCCGAACTCGAAGAAGCCGAGAGCCGACATCAAGAAGCCGAGCTGCAAAAAGCTTTGCAAGGAAATGGCTGGCCCAGGCTTCACAGTGTCAACCACCGAGGGAGAGGACAGAAAGCCAATGCGAAGCGTGCCGGAAGTGAACACCAGAGGGCCGCAGCGTGCACAGGATCGTGACGGCAAGGTAGGGCCGGAGTGAGCGGATGCAAACACAGAGGCAGATGAGCCCAGGCGACCGTAGCTGTGCAACAGTAGCACGGAGCCAATGGAGGCAAGGTCCGCAACGAGCACGGGGACACCCGTGCGCGCCAAACCAAACACCAGCACCACAGATTCAGGTTGCGCGAAAGCCCTGAGAGGAATCGATGGGCCCGTGGTACTGGCGCCCGAGACGGCTGCAGCGGGTCCGAGCTGAGCAGGGGACCGGATCAACGGCAAGGACCCCATCGTCGCCATGCCTGAGGCCGAAGCGAACAACCCCGAGCGGAAGACGCCCATGACTGTTGTAGAGCTGCCAGGGCAAACGTGGCTCCGCATCAATGGCGAGGGAGCGAAGTGGTTCATGTCTGCCACCAGCAAAGCCGAGCCCGAGCGCATGCAGCTACGTGCCGGCAAAGAGAATCCCAAGGTGGCGATGCCTACCACTGGCAGTTCTCTCAGGGAGCGGAACCGGGCAACGCCACTGGCTGACGGTGAAACGCCAGGCCGGGCGCGCGATCGGATGGGCACAGGCAAACCAAGACAACCGCGGTCCAGCACAGACAGCACTAGGCCAACACGAGCAGAAGACCGGATAGAAGTGGGCAGGCCAATATGCGTGCTGTCAGCTAGCAGCGAGAAGGGGCCACAGCGGTTCGCGCCCAGAGCCAACGATGCAGACCCTGGGCAAGCCGAACTTTGCAATGGAGCTGGGCTGCCTGACATCGCGCGGTTAGACACCAAAATCACAGGGTCCGGACATCCAGAGCTATGCGCAAATGCCGAGGGCCCCGGGTGCGCAGCGTCGGCCACCGGCAGGAAGAACACCAAGCCAAGTCGCGACAAGCCAAAGGCTGGCAGGGGCGCTCCGCAGCGGCCAGGGTCCCGCGGAGGCGGTGCGACGCCCGCCTGGGTGAAGTCCATTGCGGAAGCCGTGAGCTCAATGCGGGCGAACGACTGGGGCAAGGGAGATGGCCCGGTCTGCATGCTTCTCAGCGGCGAAGCCATGGGCCCGGAACGTGCGAAGCTCCGCGTGAAAATCGGGGACCCGCAAATGACCCTGTCCGGCGCCGGCGCGGGCAGGCCAGGGCGAGAGAGACCAGCCACGCTCACAGACAGCCCCAAACGCGCAAAGTTGCGGATGGGCGTGAAGGAGCCCGTGTGAGCCCGGACCGGGGTAAATGCCGCTGGGTCTATTTGAGAAAAGCTTCGCAGAAACATCAAAGAGCCGAAAGTCATGTGGTCCAAGACCAAGGCTGGAGCATCTGGTCGGCAAATGCCTGCAGGCAACACTGCTGGGCTTGTGCGCGCAAATTGTCTGGGAAACAGGGCCAGGCCGAGGCTTGCATAGTCCAAGACCAACGCGGCGGAGCCCAATCACGCGGAGCTTCGGGGGGGCATCAAGCTGCCTAGCTTCACCTCCTCTATCAACGGCAGCAAGAAGACAGAGCCCGCCTGAAAGCCGCCATACAGAAACAAGCTCGAGCCTAAGCGCGCGAAGCTGCGGAGGGGCAGTGAGAACTCGGTGTGGGCAGGGTTCAAGGCCAAAGGCAAGGGGCCCAAGCGACCGAGGGACCGCATCGAAACGGCTGAACCCACCGCCAAGGCTCCGACCAACAAGGCCGAGGAACCGAACCGCCCTGAGCCGCAGGCCGGCGACGCCGAACCGCACCGCGCAGATTGCCGCGAGGACATCAAGGAACTCAGACGCCCGGCGGACAAGATGGAGATGGTGGGGCCAAGGCGCGCGGAGCTGCGCGCCAGAAGCGCCGGCCCAAAGTTATTGCAGTCCGCCACCGGCAGCAGGGACACGAAACCAACACGGGCCAAGCCGACGGCCGACAGGGAGGAGTCCATACGTGCATGCTGTTGCAGGAGCAAAGTGAAGCCTGCATGCAGCATTTCCGGCAAAGGCGTGAGTGGCTCAAGCCTGGTAAAGCTTTGGGTGGACGTTGAAGAGCCAGGACTTGACGTGGCAAAGGGGAAAATCGGGCTGCCCAACCGGGACACTCCCAGCAAGCTCAAGCCGGAGCTCGGACACGCGGAGGTTTGGAGCAACAGCGAGGAACCTGAATAATTGAAGCCCGGTGTGGGCAGCGCCAATTCAGCTCACCCACGGCTTTGTGCAGGTGGCGGTAAGCCCAGCTTCGCAAACTCCGCCGCCGGCAGCGGGAACACGAGGCCAGGTCTAGAAATGCCCAATGGTGGCGCCGGCAGTTCTGGACACGCGAGTGACCGGGCAAGCAGCGCAGATCCAGCATGGCCGAACTGTGGCACGGAGAAGGGCGCGCCCGCATGAGAGTGGCTCCTGGCAGGCAGTGTGGAACCAGGCCGCAAATGGTCCAACACCGGAGCCGCGGATCCCAAGCGAGCCGGGGACCTCAAAGGCATGAAGCTACCAAAGTGCACAAAGCCCGCCGCTGGCAGCAAGGACACAAACCCCAAACGCGACAGGCCCGTCACGGGCACCAGACTGCCCGAGCGCGTCATGGAACGCAAGGACGGGGGAGGGCTGAGCTGCGTCATGTCGAAGGCTGAAGGGGGGAAGCCGACGCGGGCGAGGGAGCGGAGGGGCAAGGATAGGCCGAAGAAGCCGGCGTCGGAGACGGAGGTCGCCGGGTCCGAGCGTGCAAGGCTCCGGGCTGAGAAGGTGGGACCAATGTGCAAGGCGTTGACCACGGAGAGTGTGTAGAGCGAGCCCGGGTACACGTTGCCCAGAATGGACAGCACCAACCCGGAGCGCGTGAAGCTCCTGGTCAAAGGCAAGGATCCCACGTGAGCAGCGTCCAAGGTGGAGGTGGGCGCGCCCAGGTGGGCCAAAGACCTCGGGGGCAGCAAGGAAGCAAAGTTGGCGTAGTCGTAAGCGGGCAGGGAGCTGCCTGACTGGCCGGAGGACCTCGGCGACATCAAGCTTCCCAGGGTAGCCATGTCATACAATGAAGGTGAGGACACAGGGCCAAGGCGAACCAAGCCAACCACTGGCGCACAGGAGCCCAAGCAGGTGTAGCCTCGGGCCAATGGCGAAAATTCTGGGTGGGAGAAACCCAACACAGGCAAGCCGCTGCCAAATCGGGCGAGGGACCGCACCAAAGCTGCCGAGCCCAAGAAGGCGAAGTCAGCCACAAAGGAGGGCGGCCCACAGCGCGATCCCCCCAACAGTGACACCTGAAAGCCTGGGCGACCGAAGGACCTCGCCAACATCAACGAGGACATGTACGCAAACTCCAAGGCCAAGGTCGCGAGGCCGGCTTGCGCGAAGCTCCGCAAAAGCGTCAAGAAGCCCGAGATGCAGCTGTCAGCCACTGGGAGCGCGAAAACCGATCCCGCGCGGCTCAGTCCCAACAGGGGCGCGGAAAGGCCTGGCCTGGCAGAACTCCGCAAAAGCGTGGTGAGGCCAATACTCATGCGATCAAGCAATGGCATGGAGGAGCCCACACGCGTGGAGGAGCGGACTGGCAGCAGGGGACCCATAGTGCAGCAGCTCACCAAGGACAGAGAGAAGACAAGGCCAATGCATGTCAGGCCAGAGACAAACACTGGCAACTCCAAGTGGGCATGGCTATGAAGCAATGACAAGGGTCCCACCTTCACACAGTCAAAGGCCAACATCAACACGTCCAGCCTTGCAGAGGTGTGCGTCAAAGGCGCCGGCCCCAGGTGGCTTCTGTCCAGCACTGGCAGGGAGGACACCGAGCCCGGGCGCGCGAGCCCGAAGGCGGGAAGCGAGGGCCCGGCTTGGGCGCGGCTGCGCGGCGGCGTGCTCGAGCCCGGCAAGCCGAGCCTTGGCACTGAGGTGGGGGGCCCGGCGCGAGCAAAGGATCTGATCGAGGACGAAGAGCCCATTTGCGCAGAATCCGCGGCAGGCGGAGGAGCACCCGGGAAGGTCCTGCTCGAAACAAACATAAACAACTCTGAGCGAGCATGATTCCGCAAAGGCGTCGGGGACCCGAGAGACAAAGAATCCAGAGTGGACAGCGGCGAGCCAAGGCATGCGAGAGAGCGCACAGGTGGTGAAGAGCCGAGAGTGCACACATCCAGCGCTGGCAGTTTGAACAAAAGCCCCAGCCTAGCGATGCCAAAGATCGACGGCAAGACTTCCACTTGGGAGGAGCTACGCAGTGATAAGGCTGGCCCCAAATGAGCCAGGTTCGTGATGGGGAGCGCGGGGCCAACACAGAGGAGGCTGCGCAGGAATGCGGAAAAGCCGGGTTGGGCGCTGTCCGAAACGGACGCCGAGAAGTCGAAGCGCCCCAGCCCAAAGGCCGGCATCGCAGGTCCTGACCGCGCATGCTGCCGCACCAAAGGCGAACTTCCCAAGTCGGTGCAGGCGAAGGCGGGCATGCAGCTGCCCACGCGCGAGGAACTGCGCGGAGGCGCCGAAAAGCCCAGCCAAGTGCTGTCTGTCACAGACGTCGAGGACACTGGGCCCAAACGCGCCAAGCCCGCCAGCAGCATCACAAAGCCAAGGTGTGCAGCGCTACGGATTGATGGACTGAAGTCGGGCCTCAAGAGGTCAGGCGCCAACATCACAAACCCCAACTGTCCCACGCTCCTAGTGGGCAAAAGAGGGCCCATGTGGCACACATCCACCGCCGGCAGCGAGAACACGAAGCCCGGCCGGGCCGCGCCAGAGGCCGACGTCGACACGCCAGTCCGCACGTGGCTGCGCGCAGACAGAAACGGTCCCATGGAGGAAAAGTCCAACACAAATGCCGACAAGCCCAAGCATGCGGAGCTGCGGAGGAACAGAGTCGGCCCCACACTCGCCGTATCCCATGCTGGCGTGAGAAACCCGAAGCGCGCCAGGCCCATGGCGGACGTCGTGTCAGCTAGTCGGACGGGGTCGCGCAACAAGGGAGAGGGGCCCAACATGGAGAAGTCCGAGGTGAGCGGGGCTGGGTCAGCACGGCACGAACTGTGCAAAGGCATGGACAGGCCCAGGGTGGCCACCTCCACCAGCGAAAGCGAGGAGACGAAGCCCAGGCGGGACAAGCCAGCCATCGGCGTCAAGAGACCTGCACATACATAAGATCGGATGGGCACGGAAAAGCCAGGATGCAAGAAGTCGAGGACGGGCACTGCCGAGCTTGACCTGGCGGAGCTTTGCAAAGGCGTCAGGGAGTCGAGGGCTACTGCATCTACCACAGACAGCTTGAACACGCTGCCTGACCGGGACAGGCCCATCACAAACACGCTCAAGCCAAGACGCGCGTGTTGCCGTGAAAATGGCAAGGGGCCCAAAGTCATGCGGTTCAGCACTGGCAACAACGCCTCCAAGTGTGCGAGGCTTCGTAGCAAGGGCGGCGATTCCAGGCAATAGCTGTCAGGGGGAGGCATCAGCAAGTCCAAGCACATCACTCCACAAACCAGCAAAGGGCTGCCCACTCGAGAGCAGTCACGCAAAGGCGAAAATGGGCCAAGATGCGCAAAGTTCAAGACCAAAGTGGAGGAGCCTGGGCGCGTGTGGCTTCTCACGGACACCGCCGAGGCCAGGAACACAAAGTCCTGCACGGGGAGCGAGAAGGCGTAATCGGACCTGGCCATCCCCAGGAGGGATGGCGTGGGTCCGGACCTCACGAGGCTTCGGGCCGGCGGCAACGAGCCCAGAGTGCAGGCGTCCGAAATGGGCGTGGCGGGCGCCGCCTGGCAGAGGCTCCGCAAAAACGTCGGCGAGCCGGGCGTAGAGCCGTCCGCCAAGGGCAGAAAGGAGACCAAGCCCGCGCGCAGCAAGCCGGGCGTTGAGGTCGAGGGGCTGACTCGGGCAGGGCTACGCAGAGGCGGCAAGGGCCCGGCCTGCGCGAACTTCAGTGCCGAGGAGGAGACGCCCAAGCAACCAGAGCTGCGTGGAAGCACGGCAGAACCCAAGCTCGCGGAATTCGAGGCAGAAATTGCGAGGCCTGAGCAGGCCACGCCAGCCAGAAGCAAGCTCGAGCCCAGATGCCCATAGCTGCGGGTCAAAATCAAGAGGCCCACACCAGCGAAGTCCAATGCTAAAGCGAAGGAGTCGAGTCTGCTGGGGCTCCTGGTGAGCAAGGACGAGTCGGCAGCTGTGTAGTCCATGACAGAAGTTGCAAGGCCCACTCGGGCCAAGCTGCGAGGTGGCATCGGAAATCCGAAAGCAGACGCTCCAGCCAGCGGCAGCAAGAAGACGGAGCCCAACCTGGACAGTCCCAACATTGTCAAGAACGGGTCCAGACGAGCGGAGGAGCGCAAAGGCGAAAACAAACCCAGTTGCTCCATGCCAAAGACAAATGGCAGAAAGCCAAAGCATCCGGAGCTGTGTGAGAACAGGGATGGCCCCAGCTCAGTGTAGTCCATGACAGGCAGCAGGAAGCCCGCACGAATGCGGCCGTAAGCGGGCATAAGGGCATCTGGGTGCGCAAGTTGTCTGGGTGGCATTGACAAGCCCGAGGACAAATAGTCCAGCACTGGCAATGACAATCCCAAGCGACCGAAGGATCGGATTGACGTGGGCGAACCAGTAGTCACAGCATCCATGACCGGCAGTGAGGACAGGCTGCCAAACCTCAGGCAGCCGAAAATGAGCGCAAACAAGCCACATCGCGCAAGAGCCCTTGCCGGCAAGATCAGGCCAAGCCTCAAGAAGTCCAAGACAAAGGGAGCAGGGCCCATTCTCACCAAGGACCTGGCCGGCAGCGGTGAGTCCAGACATGCCGCATCTGCCACCGGCAGTGGGGAGACGAAGCCCAGGCGCGCCAGGCCGGCAACGGGCGCCGACGCCTCTGCGCGCACATGGCTTCGAGCCGACGGTGCGGAGCCCAGGCGCCCCATGCTCGATGCCGAAGTCGGCGAGCTCGGCCGAGAAAAGGACCGCAGGGAAGGCGGAGGGCCGGCCAGCGCGTGGTCCACCAGAGGCACCAAAGGCCCGAAGCGCGCCAGGCCAAGCACGGACAAAGTGCTACCAGCACGGCCAAGCTGTTGCAAGAGCAGCGGGAAGCCCAAGCGAGCAGTGCACAAGCACAACGCCGAGAAGCCGAGTTGGGCAAAGCTGCGCGCGGGTACGGATGAGCCCAATGCCGCAAAGTCCACCACTGGCATCGCGAACACAGAGCCCAGCCGTGAAATCCCGGCCAAAGGAACCAAGGAGCCAAGGCAAGCGCAACCACGCATTGACAGGAATGAGCCCGGATGCAGGTGGTCCAAAATTGGCGCAGCACTGTCAGATCAAGCGAAACTGTGCAGCGACATAGGTAAGTCCAAGTGAGTAACATCGGCCACAAGCAGCGCGAAGAGCATGCCAAGGCGGGACAGGCCAAAGGCGGGCAGAGGCAAGCCTGGGCGAGCAGAACTCCTGGTCGGCAGAACAGGCCCAGCGTGTGCAAAGCCCGAAGCAGGCATCAACGGCTCCAAGCGAGCGTGGGAACGTAGCGAGGAGGCCAAGTCCACATTCATGGCATCCAGAGCAGGCACCGACGCCCCCGAGCTGGACACGCCAAAGGCCGAAGGCCAAGAGTCCAGCCGGGCGAGGCTGCGGGGCAAGGGCGAAGATCCCAGGCGCGCCACATCGGAAGCCAAGGGTGCGGCGCCCACTTGGGCGAGCGATCGGATCAAGGCCGCGGAACCCGACAGAGCGCTGCTCGCCACCGGCAGCGAGGACACCAAGCCCAAGCGCGCGCAGCCGGACGCGGAGGCAGACGGCTCCGAGCGCGCCAGGCTGCGCAGAAGAGGCGAAGACCCCAGGCAGCCGGCGTCCAGCGCCGAAAGTGAAAACCCCAAGCGCCCAGAGCTGCGGGGAAACGTCGGAAAGCCCATGTGCAGAGACTCCATGACCGAAAGTGTGAAGACGCTTCCCAACTGCACCAAGCCCAGAGTCAAAACCAAGAGGCCCAGATGGCAAAAGCTGCGGAGAGACAGGGAGGAGCCCAAGCCGGCAGAACTAGACGCTGAGGCCGCAAAGTCAAAGCACGTAGAGCTCCTGACGCGGAAGGAGGGGGGGGGGAGTGGACGAACTTGGTCCAGCAAGAACTGCTGAATGCGTCAAGGTTGATGGGGCTGAGAAATGAGCAACAGTCAATATGCACGATTATCTACTATGGTAAATTGAGGGGATAACATGCGTTGAATTGTCATGAAATGAAGTTTACTCACCAAAATCCCATGCCCATGCCTGTTTGACCGTACGGGTTTCAGGGTTCTCGCAGACTGAGAGATAGTGCACAAACAAAACCTGGGCGCTCAAGTCACATCCTTTCAGGCATTCCCATCCCAGCCCTTCAATGGAGAGAGCACGAACCACCAGCCCGCCCAAAAAAAGAACGAAGCAAACATCGAGGTTGAGGACTTAACCCAGGACCAACCGCTTCAGAGGACCAACCACTGTAGAGGACCGACCAACCAATCATTTAGCACCGACCAACTATTGAGGACCAGCCAGTCATTGAGCACCAGCCAATCATTGAGTACCAACCAATCATTGAGGAACAACCAATCATGTGTCAACGGGTTGAAATTTGGTTACATACTAGACATTGGAGATATGGAATCCCTGGTCTGCTTTCCATGGCGTTGAAATGCCCTCAGGCTAACTTGGGGCTCAGAAGCCCTGTCACGGGCGTGGTCCCCAAACAAATAACAGAGATCCGCAGTGCTCCCCCCAGTCTCACAACCCCTAAGGAACCCCCCCAAAAAAAACAGTCTCACACCCCCTATGGAAACCAAGGAAGCCTCCAGGAAAATGGGCCGTAAGGCTCACTAAAATATCTGAAAGGTGGGTTTTGGTCCCAGCGCTTTCGGAGCACTCCTGGCCAAGGTCGCCGGCCCCGGCATGGCGTGGTCCGAAGCCAACGGGGTTAGACCGCAGCGGGAGTGGCCTCGCGCACCGGGTGTGATACATCTAGGGAACCACTCTAGGCCTGCTGACCCTATGACTTGGGTTGGACCAAAACTCGCGCTCTTTTGTTTCTTTTTTCTAGGCCATCTGCGGAAACGCGGGGTCAAACGGTTGGGCCATGGGATTGTGAACCCATTTTGGAGCCATGCGGAGGAAAGGGTGGCCCAAAAACGGCCGGCCCAGGCGGCTCAAAGGTGGTCAAAGGTGCCGCAAAACGCCATTGGGATGGATGAAACCCTCACCAACTGGTGCCAGAAGTGACAGTATGTTGCCCATCATATTAGTTGCGGCATCTAGGTGTTGATTTGCGCGCTCGCTGGTCACGAGTTTGACCCCTGACTTAGTCTTCCGCTTCCGTCGTTCAGGTTGACACATTTATAGCTCCCACAAAGAAGCAAAGACTGGCAGGTTTGGTGGCCTTTGCTCAGTTTGGGGTACAACCACTTTTCTGTAAGAAACTCGTAGCCAAGGGATGCAGTGATGCATGAAAGCCATGTCCGCACTTGAGCCGAGCCGCCGTGTTTGAGCCGCCCTAGTGAACCTGTTTGACCCCTTTTGAAATAGTTTCCCCAGAAGAGCCTAACGGCGTGGTCAAAAACTACTGCTTTTCAGCCATGTACAAAGGCGCCATGTTGGCCTATTTTTGTTTGAGCCAAAGCCATATTTGAACCCCTGAAATTAGAGAGAGAGAGAGAGAGAGTAAAAGGTTGTCTGCAGAAAGGAGTTTCGAGCGATATGGTTTTGTTTCATGAAAGCCCCGAGATCCAGCCACGGCTCCTTCTTGGACACTTGCGGAGTTGGAAGAAAAAAACGGAGGTCGTTGGGGGCTGCCGGATGGGAATTGTCTAGTGGTTCCTCTCCAGGGTTCCCGAGTCCAGTAATGTTGACATATTTTCATCAATCCCAGCTTATACATAGGGGGTGTCCCTGAGTTTAGTGGGGAATCATCGCTATGGGAGGGGGGCCACCCCCTAATCAACCGGGCTTGATTCATCTGTGGATGGACGAAATCCTTTTCACACCACCAAAGAAACCCTGGAAGGATTCGATTTCCCTGTAAATACCAACAAATCATGGTTTCCCACGGTGTCTTAGGTGCGTAATGGATTTCGTCCATCCACAGTATGGGGTCAACAAATTGGATCTCAGCTCTCCCTGCAGCTGCAGTTCCCTGGACACCTTCGAATGCCATTCCGACCCTGAGGCGTGCGCCAGATGCTGAAGGGGAGGAGCCGGTTCGCGCACAGTGTTGCAAGGACCTGAGCGACATGCCGAGGTTTTGGGGGTGACCCGCGGGGCCAAATCAGCGGCCAAACAAAGGGACATGGAGGTCCGGGGTACTTTTGATTGGACCGCCCAGGAAAAACAGATGCAGTCATGGGATGCAGTTATGGGATATCATCTTGGGATTTACAAAAAAAAAGCGTAACTTAGGATGGAACCCCAACGGGGTTCCAAAAAAGCAAGGGAGAAGCCGCCGAAGAAGCCGGGGGTTTGAAGCTCGTATCAGGAAGTTTGTTGCTTGTTCTCAGCTCAAAATGTTCCGGTTCATTCCCAACCCCCCTGGGTCATTCCCTGACCAAGGTCTGAAAAGGACAAGGGTGCGCAACCAAGCTGAGGGTTGACTTCGGCCAGCCGGCAGCATGCATTTGTTTGCCGGATTTCAAGAAACCAGGGATCCGGACATCTGCAAGTCAGGAATCAACATGGGCGAACTTAGCTACCAAACAAGATGTTTTAAAGCCCTGTTTCAACCACCTTTGCTTCCCACTTGGGTCTGTTTCAGCACCCAAACCCAGGCTGATCTCCATCTCCGCCCGTGAAGCCCCTCATGGGGCCGAGGTGTTGGGGAAAAAAAAATCGGAGAAGAATCCCCGAGGGTTGAGGTGGATATCGGTGGCCGTGATACATACGTCACATGGAGCGTCTGTTTCGAGGGGCTCCTTTTTTCCGGCAAATTGAATACAAGGGAAGCCTACTGTTTTGAGGGCTCCCTCTTCCGACAAAGCAAGGGGTCGGAGCGTCTTTCTATTGGCAACGAAAAATCAAAGAAAGGTCATGCTGACACCTGAGCACGCATAGCTTCTGCTTCGCAACCCGATCCACAAACATGGTTGAAAATGTTCAACCATGACTACTTCATCACGGTGAAAGGGGAGTTTCCCTTGTCGCAGAGGTTTCGGCCACTTCGGCCACCAAACATCCTAGTCGGCCTCACGGTATCCAATGGACTTCACCCCAAGTGTCAAAAAGGATGGGGGCGTCAAACTTGCTGCTGCTCACCAGAATGAGGGAACGAAGCCGCGGAGTCCGCAGAATCAAGGAAAAACCATCTGGGATGCATGGTTGCTCTAGGGGTCATGGCCATTTCTCATTCCCTGAGCACCAACAAGCCAAGTTCTTTGGGTTAACCCAAAACCTTGCAACTAAGGACAAATGGCTGGTGAACGGCGTGTCACGCACTGAGGCACTTGCAGTGGAAAGCCCGAGCGCAAGAAGTCGAACACGGACTCAGTTTGGCGTACGCTGCGGCTCGCGAAAACATGGTCTGCGTTGCTGGAAAAGAATGGCTGAGGAAACCTGTCCCAGCTTTAGCTCGCGAACCCATCACGATTTGTAAGATCAAGGTCCCGCAAAAGCAAAACCCTTGTTTAAATGTTGTGCAACCGGGTTGCAGAAGGGTTGGAGACATCTAGGAATTGTCCGTCCAAAGTTGCTCTTCAGGGTGAATGCTCAATCTGACAAATTAGTTGCGTGAGCAATCCTGTAGGGAATCCAGTCTCACTTGTGACCAAACTCTGAAAGCTTTTGTAATAGCTTTGGGAAGCTTTTTGTTGGTTGGAAGTAAGGATCCTTGTTCCGGCGGAAACAAAGTTGAAAAAATGGGGGCAGGTTGCCCAGCACTGGGAAACAGCACCTGTGTGGCTCCGTTTGAGGCGAAGGTACCTGGCGCCTGGTGTCCATGACTACCTTCCCCTTCCCACGCTGGGGTTCAACTTCTTACAGCATCTGCGGCGTGGGATACCTTCGTTTCATGGAAGTGGACAGGGTGCCAAACCCCAAAAGGAACATGTGACACAGTCTTCCAAAGCACCAGCGTCCAGGATTCTTGGAGGGAGGGTACGGCAAGGGCCCCAAATTGCAATGAGAGAGTGGGGTACTGTTGAACCTGGTTACCTCCTGGAAGAAGACTCAGCCCCTTCCGCCTGGGACTCAGTACTTGGCAAAAAACAACCCAGCGAAATCACCTCCGAGCGAAATCCTGACTCTTCTGAAACTGATTCCCATGTCCCAAGACTTCCAGAGCCCAATCTGCCGCATCTGGGCGAGCCCGGCCACTGCCAGGCCGGAGCGCGCCTCGGAGCGGACCAGTAAAAAACAACCTGCGGGCTGGTCTAGGTGCGTCTATGTGGCTGTGGGTCAAAATTAAAGAGCTAGGGCAAACCGCAGGATTTAGTCTTTGGTTCCATTTGCCAAGGGTGCCATTTTGGCACATGTTTTTGAGCCACAGCCATGTGTGTGTGTGTGTGTGTGTGTGTGTGTGTGTGTGTGGGTGGGTGGGTGGGTGGGTGGGTGGGTGGGTGGGTGGGTGGGTGGGTGGGTGGGTGTGTGGTGTGTGTGTGTGTGTGTGTGTGTGTGTGTGTGTGTGTGGGTGGGTGTGGGTGGGTGTGTGTGTGTGTGTGTGTGTGTGTGTGTGTGTGTGTGTGTGTGTGTGTGTGTGTGTGTGTGTGTGTGTGTGTGTGTGTGTGTGTGTGTGTGTGTGTGTGTGTGTGTGTGTGTGTGTGTGTGTGTGTGTGTGTTTGTGTTTGTGTTTGTGTTTGTGTTTGTGTTTGTGTTTGTGTTTGTGTTTGTGTTTGTGTTTGTGTTTGTGTTTGTGTTTGTGTTTGTGTTTGTGTTTGTGTTTGTGTTTGTGTTTGTGTTTGTGTTTGTGTTTGTGTTTGTGTTTGTGTTTGTGTTTGTGTTTGTGTTTGTGTTTGTGTTTGTGTTTGTGTTTGTGTTTGTGTTTGTGTTTGTGTTTGTGTTTGTGTTTGTGTTTGTGTTTGTGTTTGTGTTTGTGTTTGTGTTTGTGTTTGTGTTTGTGTTTGTGTTTGTGTGTTTGTGTGTTTGTGTGTTTGTGTGTTTGTGCGTTTGTGTGTTCTGTGTGTTTGTGGTTTGTGGTTTGTGTGTTTGTGTGTTTGTGCGTGTGTTTTGTGTTTGTGGTTTGTGTGTTTGGTGTTTGTGTGTTTGTGTGTTTGTGTGTTTGTGGTTTGTGTGTTTGTGTGGTTTGTGTGTTTGTGTGTTTGTGTGTTTGGTGTTTGTGTGTTTGTGTGTTTATGGTTTGTGTGTTTGTGTGTTTATGTTTGTGTGTTTGTGTGTTTGTGCGTTTGTGCGTTTGGTGTTTGTGTGTTTGTGCGTTTGAGGTCTGTGCGTTTGTGTAGTTTGTGGTTTGTGTGTTTGTGGTCTGTGTGTTTGTGTGTTTGTGGTCTGTGGTTTGTGTGTTTGCGTGTTTGTGTGTTTGGTGTTTGTGTGTTTGTGTGTTTGTGTGTTTGTGCGTTTGTGTGTTTGATGTGTTTGTGTGTTTGTGTGTTTGCGTGTTTGTGTCTTTGTGTGTTTGTGTGTTTGTGTGTTTGTGTGTTTGTGGTCTGCGCGTTTGTGTGTTTGTGTGTTTGTGCGTTTGTGTGTCTTGTGTCTGTGCGTCTGTGTGTTTGTGCGTCTTGTGTGTTTGTGTGTTTGTGTGTCTTGTGTCTTGGTTTGGTGCGTCTGTGCGGTTGGTGTTTGTGCGTTTGTGTGTTTGTGTGTTTGTGTGTTTTGTGTTTGTGTGTTTGTGGTTCTGCGTGTCTGTGTGTCTGTGGTTTGTGTGTCTGGTGTTTGTGGTTTTGTGTCTTGTGGTTTGTCTGTCTTGCGGTTTTGCGTTTGTGGTTTGTGCGTTTGTGTGTTTTGCGTTTGGTGTGTGTCTGGTGTTTCATGTTTTGTGGTTTGTTGTTTGTGTGTTTGTGTTTTTGGTTTGTGTTTTTGGTTTTTGCGTTTTTGTGTTTTTTTTTGGTTTTTGTTTTTGTTTTTTTTGTGTTTTATGTTTTTGTGTTTTTGTGTTTTTGTGTTTTTGTGTTTTTGTGTTTTTGTGTTTTTGTGTTTTGTGTTTTTGTGTTTTTGTGTTTTTGTGTTTTGTGTTTTTGTGTTTTTGTGTTTTTGTGTTTTTGTGTTTTTGTGTAGTGTTTTGTGTGTGTGTTTTTGTGTTTTTGTGTTTTTGTGTTTTTGTGTTTTTGTGTTTTTGTGTTTTTGTGTGTTTTTGTGTTTTTGTGTGTTTTGTGTTTTTGTGTTTTTGTGTTTTTGTGTGTTTTGTGTTTTTGTGTTTTTGTGTGTGTTTGTGTGTGTGTGTTTTTGTGTTTTTGTGTGTGTTTTTGTGTTTTTGTGTTTTGTGTTTTTGTGTGTTTTTGTGTTTTTGTGTTTTTGTGTTTGTGTTTTTTGTGTTTTTGTGTTTTTGTGTTTTTGTGTTTTTGTGTTTTTGTTTTGTGTTTTTGTGTTTTTGTGTTTTTGTGTTTTTGTGTTTGTGTTTTTGTGTTTTGTGTTTTTGTGTTTGTGTTTTTGTGTTTTGTGTTTTTGTGTTTTTGTGTTTCTTGTGTTTTTTTTGTGTTTTTGTGTTTTTGTGTTTTTGTGTTTTTGTGTTTTTGTGTTTTTGTGTTTTTGTGTTGTGTTTTTGTGTTTTTGTGTTTTTGTGGTGTTTTTGTGTTTTTGTGTTTTTGTGTGTTTTTTGTGTTTTTGTGTTTTTGTGTTTTTGTGTTTTTGTGTTTTTGTGTGTGTTTGTGTTTTGTGGTATGTTTGTGTGTGTGTGTGTGTGTGTGTGTGTGTGTGTGTGTGTGTGTGTGTGTGTGTGTGTGTGTGTGTGTGTGTGTGTGTGTGTGTGTGTGTGTGTGTGTGTGTGTGTGTGTGTGTGTGTGTGTGTGTGTGTGTGTGTGTGTGTGTGTGTGTGTGTGTGTGTGTGTGTGTGTGTGTGTGTGTGTGTGTGTGTGTGTGTGTGTGTGTGTGTGTGTGTGTGTGTGTGTGTGTGTGTGTGTTGTGTGTGTGTGTGTGTGTGTGTGTGTGTGTGTGTGTGTGTGTGTGTGTGTGTGTGTGTGTGTGTGTGTGTGTGTGTGTGTGTGTGTGTGTGTGTGTGTGTGTGTGTGTGTGTGTGTGTGCGTTTTGAGGGAACCCCGACACCCTCTATCCACCACATAATTTAGCCCGAAGGGGTGGTTCACTTAAGACGATGATAAGCCATATAACCCGCAGGAGCCATGAGCTCCGTTTATTTGGGTTGATCGACACAATGCCACTACCGCTCTCTGTGAAGCAACAAACAGAAGAGGCAAATTGGGAGGGCCCCGGAGTATTCCTGTCCCAAAGAGTCACTAAGGTCATGGTCCCAATAAAATGAGGGGTGAAGGTCATGGTCCTACAATTGTCTTTACAGCCCCTTCTGGCCACTCGTTGCTTTTTCGTTCGCCACGGCTCCCCTGGCTCTGAACCCATTACCCGTTGCTTGGGAGGTACCCATGGCCCGAACACGGAGTGCAACTTGAGACCTTGAACTTGGGGTCCAGAGGATTTGCTTTCTCTTCCCAGAAAGCTTGAAGTCGACATGGGCAGTGAGGGATTACAAGGATCCTAACCTAGTTGACAAACCACTTGCTGACTTGGCAACAAAAACCCAAGAAAGGGCTAATCAAGTCGGCCCCTCATTCAGAGGCCTGCACCAACCGTCCAAAGCAAAAAGAGTTTCTTTCTAAAAAGGAAAGAGGCGTCAAATATCCTGAGGCTTGTTTTGACTCTTTGCCCGCTAGCCGCTACCCTGGTGTCCTGTTTTTAGGTTGAAAATGGATGGCGATTCCTGGGTTGATGGTTCAATCATCTACCAGGGCCATCTATGTTCACCTCACCAACCAAAAAGGACACCTATGCCGCCTATGCCCGCTCTCTTCTTGGCTTCCCGGCAAAGCTCCGCGCAAACAGCGACAAGCCCAGAACCGCGGCATCCACCACCAAAGGCGAGGAGACCGACCCAAGGCGGGCGCCTGAGCTTAACCGCGACCAGCGCTCCCAGAATCTGTGTCTGTGTGTGTTGCCCTTCGATCCAGTTTCCTTTGGCTTACGGGAAACTTGAAACTTGTTTACCTCCAAAAAGAATGGAGGGGCTGGGCTTTCGGACGAGAAGCGTCTGCCCTCAACTCACACCACAGTCGTATCTTACCTCTAAAATGATGGTCCAAGAAGGGGTGGCCGTTTGTGGTGCCCACGTCCTGGTTGCTGCCGACCCCTCTGCAAAAAGCTGACCTTTTGTGGGTTTAGTGGAAAACCCCTTGATTTCCCCAAAAGTTGTTAAAGTCCAAAGATCTAGCCCAATAGCTCTAGCGCCTGAGGCTTTGACAGTCCCCTGCTTCGAACCCACATGAGCTCTAACAAATGGGCTCGGAATTCGGATGCATAAACACCATGATTGGATGGGCAAAGCGCTCGGCCCCAATATGTTCGGTCCCTCGACTTTCACCTCGAACTGTGGGCATGTCCTTTTCCCCTTTGGAGAAGCTTTGCACTCCACCAAAAAAGTTGAAGGTGTCTAGCTCGTTTGGCCGTGTCTCAACCCTGCCCCTTTTTCTTTGGGCCTTGCGAAGAACTCCCTGGAAAAGAAGCCTCCCGCCTAGCCACAAATACCTGGGCCCAATTTCGGGGTCAAGCAATCCAAATACCAACTCTGTTTAGGGGCCCATTGTGAACTGATCTGGCTTCCCAATGCTAGGTACACTTCCTCTAGCCGGGGGTTGGCACGATAACTAACCTACAAAAACAAAAAGACAAAAACAAGAACAAAAACCGTGCATACCCCCACAAAAGCAAGAAGCGCAGAACGTGGGTAGTTGGGGGGCGGTTAACATGATACCCAAAAAAAGAAGCAGTGGGGGGTCTAACATGACACCCTATCAAAAAAAAACAGGGGGGGGGGGAAACGGAGAAACAAAAAAAGAAAAGAAACAAAAAAACATGGCTGGGTCCTTGGAGCTGAGGCCCCCGGCAGCCAAAGAGCGGCGCCGCAGGTCCCGGCCGGGCAGAACTCTTCAGAAACGGCGCGGGGGCAAGGTGCGTGGGCCTGAGAAAAACCCAAACAAAACGCGCGCGCCGGCGGGGGGCGCCATCGGTGGAAACACAAAAACGGGCCTAAAAAAGGCAAGATAAAAAAAAAGGAGAAAAAAAAGCCCGTGGGCGGGGGAAGAATAGATGGGTTTGTCCAATTCGATTCTCTAAGAGCCCAAGACCTCAATTTGTTTGAGGCCTTGGGGGGTCAAGGCCCTCGTATTTAGGATCTTGGGGATGTGGGAAAATAGACGGGCTTTCCTGGCAAATGGTTTATGAAAGCAAGCCAGACAAGTGGAACCCTTTCTATTTCTACGCAAACTAAGATTAAAACAAGACATCTGTGCTTCTCTCCAGCACCCCACCACTGCTTCTGGGACAGTTGGGATTTTTGGACGTGGGGAAAGCAGTATTGCGAGGATGCCTGGCTGTTGTTCGTTTGGGAAGAAGGGGGGCCGACCCAACTTTCTCACAAGCTAGGGGGCTAGGGGGCCAAATGAGTACATGTGTTGAGAGTTGGATTTAGCAAAAACAACCAAACAGAAACTCCTTTTTGGTGGGAATGTTATCTATTTAATTTTGTTGGGGATTTTATCCTCAAACCGCTTTCAGGAGCGGTTTCCAAGGCGTAAGCCTTCCACAACCACAATTAAACAAGGTCAAAGAGTAAAACAAAACATGCCCAGATTTGTTTGGGGCCCATGTAGGGGGAAGGGGAAGGGGAGTTTCAAACTACCTTTCAAAACGGGACACCGGGCTCAGAGATCTCCTAGGTCCTCCAGAGAGCTTGGGATAAGGGTACCCAACTTTTTTCTGTTGTCCACTTTAGTAGGGTTCCAAAACCCTCCCCCCACCCTCCCCCCACCCTCCCCCCCCCTCCAAAACCCTCCAAAACCCTCCCTAACCCCCCCCCAAAACAGAAACGGGTGAGAAAGGGCGGGACCTCGTCTCTCCGGGGCCCCCGGCCCCACCGCCGACGTCGCAGCCCCCAGCCGCGCGGAGCTATGCAGAGGCGCCGAGGGCCCCGAAGCTCCGAGGCTCATGGCCGGCAAAGCCGACTCAGCGCGCGCGGGGCTCCTGGCCGGAAGAAACGAAGAGGACCTCCCCCCAGGTCTCTGTCCTCAAATTCCCCAGTGAGTAACTCTTAGTGGGTTGAATGGAAATCCCCCACGAAACACTAAAAAGCTAGAAAGCTAAGGAGATGGCTGGGAGCCATCAAGGTTTGAAGGCACGGGATCTTCCGATGAGCTTGAAATGGTCTCCTTGTCTTTGGTTGACGATCCCTTTTTGTTCCGGGGGTGTGGGGTGGGGGAGGCGTTTTTCAGGACCGAACTTTGGGATGCTCTCTTCTTAATCTCCTTTACCTATCAGCCTGGAATTCCGCTGGTTTAGGTTTGATATCCATGTTCCCAAACGACACCTTGATTCCGCTCGCTCGAGATATGCGAAGCCACAAATACCATCTTGCGGTTTGCACCAAAGAATTTGGGCTTTTGGGTAAGGTCCTCCCTCCCAAGAAAAGCAGCGGCTTGAGCATGAGGCCCATGTCTTGCTAACCTCATATAGAACTTAGCTTTCATGCTTTAGAGGCACTAGACTCCGGAAAAAAACAGGTTGGAGAGTGATGATTCAGGCAGTTCATCTCTCCCGTCCTCAGCAGCGTCGGTGGTCCCGTGGCAGCTGTATCAGCCACAAAGGGCGAGAAGACAAAGCCAAGGCGTGCGCAGCCAAAGGGCAGCAGCAAAAACCCACATCGGGCGAAGCTGCGCGTGGGCAGAGCAAAGCCAACGCTCGCGGCGCTAAGAAGTAAAACGGACGGGTCCGTGTGAGTAGAGGACCGGACTAAGGGCGTGGAACCGATGTGCGCGCTGTTCGGCACCAAAGCAGCAGGGCCCATGCGCGCGAAGCTGCGCGAGAACAAGGCAAGGCCAAGTTTCGACAGATCCACCGCTGGCAGTGAGGATACAAAGCCTGACCTGGCCAGACCCGTGGCTGGCGCGAAAACGTCCAAGCGCCCGAAGCTGCGAGGCAGCAGCGATGAGCCCGATCGCATCGCGGCCGAGGCGGAGGCTGTGGACCCTGATTGCCCAGGGCTCCTTGAGAGCGAAGTGGGGCCCAAGTGCACGCAATCGGCGACCGGCATCGCGGACACGCTGCCCGTACGGCTCAAGCCCAAGGCAGATGCCACAGGCCCCAGGCAGCTGGAGCTGCGGGGTGACAGAGATGGCTCAGAGTGGGTTAAGGCGAGAACTGACGTAGACGCGCCCAAGCATCCGGAACTGCGGGGCGGAGTCAGCAGGCCCGAATTGGCGAGATCTGCCACCGGCATCAAAGCCTCTGATCTGGTGCCGGCCGGCGCAGGGAGCGCTGGACCAAGATGTGTGTAGCAGCGCAACGGCACAGTTGGTTCCGCAGCTGCATGGTCAAGCGCGGGAGTTGCGGACCCAACGTGTGCGGAGCTTTGGGGCAAAGGCGAGGGTCCGGGCCTGGTGGTGTCGGCCACCGAGAGAGGGGAAACGAAGCCAGCTCGCGCCAGGCCAAAGGCCGGCAGGCTGGAGCCAGGCCGGGCATGACATCGCAAGGGCATGGAGGAGCCGATCTTGGCAAAGCCCGCCACAGGCAAACTTGCTCCTGGGCGGGCAGGGCTTTGCGGAGGCAAAGCTGAGCCGGGGTGGATGAAATCTGCCACTGGCAGCGAGGACATGCTGCCGAAGCGGAAGCCGCCCGCCACAGGCAACGAAGAGCCAGAGTGCGCGAGGTTGCGGGGCAGCAGCAAGAGACCTAATTGCTCGAAGCCTGATGCTGACGTTGGGGTGCCCGGCCTAGCGGATGCTTGCGTCAATAACGAAGGGCCAGTTTGGCAGAGGCTTAGCGCAAGCAGGGCAGACTCCAAGCGCGCGTTTGCAGGTGAGGGCAGGAGCAAGCCACTGTGGAAGGGATTGCGCAAGAGCATGGGGGAGCCTGGGTGCAAGTGGTCAGAGGCAAGCGCCACTGGGCCCAGGCGTGCGAGGGAGTGTGGCAACACCGAAGCGCCAAGGTGCGCAAAGCTCAGGACCGGCGGTGCGGGGCCAATCCTGGCACGGCTGCGCGCCAACAGCAAAGGTCCCATAGTTGACACGTCCGCCACGGGCAGAGAGAAGACGGAGCCGGGGCAGGCGAGGCCAAAGGTGGATGCGGGCAAGCCGCAGCGCGTCATGTCTTGCAGGGACGACAAAGGGTCAACCTGCGCGAGGCCCAAGGCAGACACACAGGAGCCGGGGTGTGAGAGGGACCGGATGGACGGCAAAGGTCCGCAGCTCGCGAAGTCTATGGCTGGAAGGCTGAAGCCCAACTGCCCCCTGCCCAACGCTGGCAAGGTGCTGCCCAAACACGCGAACTTTCTCAACGGGAGAGCTGAACCTCCAGTTGAATGGTCTAGCGCTGGGAAGGGCAACCCAGCGCAGCCAAAAGATCTGGCCAATGAGGAGGGGCCCAGTGCGGTGAAATCAACGGCAGGCGGCGTGGACACAGACCCCGTGCGCGTTAATCCGAACAGGGGCACAAAGGACCCAGGGTGGGAAAGGCTCTTGAGAGACGTGCTTGAACCCAGGCCTAAGAAGTCTGGGGCAGGAAGAGCGGGCTCTGGTCGGCTGAGGGAGTGCACCGGCAACAAGGAGCCGAGATGCGCAGTGGAGATGACTGGGAGAGAGGACAGTGGCCCAGGCCGGCTTAAGCCGAAGACGAACAGGGGCGCTTCTGCGCAAAGGGGTTGCCGCAAAGACAAGGGCAAGGCCGCATGCACACGGCTTGGCACAGGCATCACCGCTTCCAAGCGCGCAGAACTCCTGAGGGGCGCCAAGGGGCCAAAGAGCGCATAGTCTGGAGCCAGCGATATGGCACCCGCGCGCGAACCGCCGGCAACGGAGGGTGTGCTGCCAAGGTGGGAGTGCTGCCGCAAAGAGGTCGGGGGCCCAGGTCTGGCATGGTTAGGCACTGAAACAGGTGACCCAAGACATGTAGAGCTGCGTGTGGGTGTCAGCGACCCCAGGGTGGCGTAGTTCAGGGCGGACAGCACCGGGCCAGGAGCAGCGGAGCTGCGAATAAACGTGGGGAGGCCCAAGGTCACAAAGTCTACTGCCGACAGTGAGGACACCAACCCCAACCAGGCCAGGCCAGGCACAAATGCCGCCGAGCCAAAGCGGCCATAGCTTCTCGCAAGTGAAGTGGGTCCCACAAAGCTGAGGTCCGGGATCGGGGTCGGGGGGCCAACCCAGGCAGGCGATCGCAATGGCAACGACGAGCCCGAGTGCGAGCAATCCGCAGGCGGTGCCGGCAGGTCCGGCCTTGCCACGCCGATGGCAGGCGCCGGTGAGGCCAGTCGAGCGGAATTCCGCGGTGACAAGGTCAGTTCGGAATGGGCGCAGTTTGAGACCGACGCAGTCAATCCCAGGCGCGCCATGCCTCGCAAGGGCAACGCAAAGCCGAAACTGGCAAGGTCCAGCACAGGCACGGCCGGCCCGCAGCGCGCGAGGCTGTGTGCCGAAATGGCCGAGCCCAGCGACACCGTATCCACGACCGGCGGCGGGGACACAGACCCCAAGCGGATCATGCCAAGGAGGGCCGGCAAAAAGCCAGTGCGCACGTGGTTTTGCGCCGAGGTTGAGGAGTCGCATTGGGTGAGGTCCAGGGCAGAAAGACATGGGCCCATGCGGCTGAGGGACCTGGGCAAAATCGGCAGGCCCAAATGGAGGAAGTCCAGAGTGGGCGCCGCTAGTCCGGGGCGCGCATAGCTCCTGGCAGGCAGGCTTGGCTCAGCATGCGCATGATCAGGGACCAGAGCTGCCGGCCCCGAGCGGCAGGGGTTGTGGAGCAGCGACGGAAATCCGAAAAGAACGCAGTCCAGGGGCAGCATCAAAAGGCCCACGCGCAGCATTCCCATCACCGGGAACGCCGAAGAGGTGCGCGCGTGTTGCCGCAGAGATGGGGGGCTGCCAGGTTCAAGGAAGTCCGGCGCCGACGCTGAAAGGCCCAGTTGCCCGTGGCTTCGCGAAGACAAGGAGAAGCCCAGACTGGAATGGCCCAACACTGGAATCAAGGCATCAGGCCGTGCCAGCTGGAACAAAAACATCGCAACACCCGGGTGGCCGGAAGAACGCAAAGGCAAAAAGGGTCCGGCCTTCGCAAGCTGCAGGGCTGATGCCAAAGAGCCTAACCGAGACATGCTGCGGGTGAGCACCGGGAGTCCTGCGTGTACGAAGTCCAGGGTGGGCGACAAAATCCCCAGCTGAAGCTTGCCACACACCAGCAACGACAAACTGAGGCGACCCATGCTCCTGGGAAAAGGCGCAAAGCCCAATTGAGCGAAATCGAGGACTGGAATTGCGCTTCCAAACCGGGCGGGAGACCGCAAAGGGACCGAGGAGCCCGGTTCTGCCACGTCCGAGGCCGAAAGCAAGGAGCCGGGCCAAGCCATGCCCAGGACAAACGTGTGGAACCCCATGTGACCGGGTGACCGCAAAGGCGAGGTTAGGCCAAGGCGGGCAAGATTCGCCACAGATGCTCCCAAGCCTAACCGAGCAGAAGAGCGGGGCGGCATCAAAGACTCGAGATGCACAGAGTCCAGCGAGGACGTCGAGAAGCCCGAGCGGCACGCCCCCAACAACAAGGAGGAGGGCCCGGTGCGCGCCGTGCTGTGCACAAACATCAGCAGTCCCAGGCGCAAAAGGTCCAGGACGGGAATGACCAAACCCAGGCGGCACATGGAGCGCAGCAAAAGCGGCGAGGCGAGCTGCACAAAGTCCAGCACCAATGAGCTGAGGCCAACGCGCAGCTTACCTGCAGTGGACAAAGCGGAGCTGGGGCGGGTGTGGCTGCGGGTGGGCGCAAAAGGCCCGGGATGCAAGAAGTCCAAGGCAGGCGCTGCTGGGCCGAAGCACGCAAGGCTGCGGGGCGAAGGCGGAGGCCCAAAATGCACGTAGCCCATGATCGAGATGCTGCTTGGGCCGGAGCTGAACTTGCCGAAGACCGACAAAGGTGGCCCGGCGTGGCAGAAAGTTTGGAGCAACGGGGAAAGGCCAAGTGTCAGGAAGTCAGGGGTCAACAGCGGAGAGCCCAGGTGAGCATGAGACCGCATCAACAACGGCAAGCCAGAGGTGGTATGGTCAAGCACGGAAAGAGTTGGGCCAGGGCAACAGACGCCGAAGGCCAGAAACACTGCATCAACTTGAGCATGGCTGCGCACCGGCGAAGGGAGCCCAAGCCGCAAAAAGTCCAAAGCCAACAGCGCCGGGCCTGTGCGCGCCATGGATCGTACAGGCATCAGGCTGCCCAGGTGTCCGCATTCGATGGCCGACAGCAAGGACACAAATCCCGGCCGCGCCAAGCCGGAGGCCGAGGCAGGCGAGCCAGAGCAGGAAGCGCTTCGTAGGGGCATGGTAGGGCCAAGGATCAAAGGGTCCAGGGTTGGCACGGAGACGTCCGGCCTTGCGAGGCTCCTCAAAAGCGGGCTGGAGCCCAGATGCACACAGTCCAGCGGCGGCATCGGCAGGCCCGTACACGACACGCCCAGCAGTGGAGGTGACAAACCCGTTCGTGAGGAGTGGTGCGAAAGCAACGTAAAGTCCAGGTGCAAAAAGTCCAGGGCAGGCGCTGCCGAGCCGACCCTAGCGGTGCCTCGTAAGAACGCAGGCACATCCGTCTGCACGTGGTCCGGAATCAACAGGGGCAGGTCTGGGCGAGCGCTGCTGCAGGGCAAAAGCAACAACCCCAGGCATGCGGAAGTGCGGGGAGGGATTGACGGGCCCAATCGCAGGTGGTCCAGAATAAACGGCACAGAACCCATGCAAACGAGGGAGCGCGCCGACGACGAAGGGCCGAGGAACACGTAGTCCATGACCGAGAGATTGAAGAGAGAGCCAGAGCGGCTCATGCCAAAGATAGGTGGCCTGGGCCCGGCGCGCACGAGACTTTGCATGGGCACTGAGGAGCCGGGATGCAGGAAGTCCAGAGCAAACGTGGCAGGGCCACAGCGGGCAGAAGACCTTGCCAACAAGGAGCTGCCAAGGTGCAAGAGGTCCAGGGCAGAGAGGCTAAAGCCAAGGCATGCCATGCCGCAAACCAGGAAGGACAAGCCGGCCTGCACGAGTGATCGAGTCGGCATCAAAGAGCCCGTGTGCAAGTAGTCCAAGGCGAAAGGCACGAAGCCCAGCCAAGCAAAGGACCTGATGGACATCGACAGCCCCAAGTGGCTATGGTCCAGGGCCGACGGTGGAGCATCCAAACAAGTGCCGCCACAGACCAGTGCCGCACTGCCAAGCCTCGCCAGGGATTGCGAGGGGGGCGCAAATCCAACATGAGCGCAGTCAAAGGACGGAACCATCAGCTCAATGCGCGCAGGAGACCGCAGAGGCAGCAAGGGCCCAAGTACTGTGAGGTCCGAAGGCGGCAAGGGCAAACCCAGCCTTGAGGCACCGGAGAGGCTGAGTCCGGAACCCGCTTGGCCGAAGGACCGCGCCGGCAACAAGCTGCCGAGGTGCAAGAAGTCCAGGGCCGGCATGGCAAGCCCCAGACGCACGCGGCTCCTCGTCAAAAGCAAGGACCCCAGGTGGGTGGCGTCGGTGACAGGCAGCGAGGACACAAAGCCCGAGCGTGTGCAGCCAGAGGCTGGTACTGTAGGACCCAGCTGCGTGAAGTCCCGCGGAGAAGGAGGGGGCTCCATGTGCAGAAGATCCGGTGCCGACATAGCGAAGCCCGTGCATGCGGAGCTGCGAGGAGGCAAGAAGACCCCCAAGTGGGTGCAATCGATGGCCGAGGCAGCCAGCCCCATGCGGGCGGAGCTGCGCAGAAACGTGGAGGATCCAAAGGTCACGGTGTCCACGATAGGCATCGAGGAGACGGGGCCAAAGCAGGACAGGCCGAAGGCGGGTGCCGAGAACCCAAAGCAGGCATAGCTCCTCGTGGACAAAGTGGAGCCCGAGCGGAGGAAGTCCAAGGCAAAAGCTGCCGGTGCCAGGCGGGCCATGCTTTGCACTGACGACAAGGGATCTGGGTAAACGCCGTCAGTCACTGATGGCAAGGACACAAGGCCCATGCGGCTCATGCCAAAGAGAAACAGAAACAAGCCGCAGCGTGCGGGAGCTCGCGCCAATGGAACAAGGTCTAAATGCAGAAGGTCCAGCGCAGGCACGGCCAGGCCTATTTGTGCAAGGCTCCTCAGGGGCGGGGACGAGCCAATAGCTGCAAAGTCCGGAATAAGCACCAAAAATCCCATGCGCGTCACGCCCGGCGCCGAGAAGGAAGGCGCAGGTTGTGCGGAGCTACGCAAGGGCACCGTGGGGCCAAGATGACTGAAATCCGGAGCCAGAATGGAAGCGCCCGAACGCGCCAAGGAGCGCAGGGACAACAACGGGCCCATGATGGCAAAACTGGCGGCCGACGGCGAGAAGATGAAACCGCAGCGCGCCAGGCCCAGGAGCAAAGCCGCAAGGCCCGTGCGGGTGTGGGATCGGGTGGGCATGAAAAAGCCCAGGCGCAAGAAGTCCAAAAGAGAAACAGCCAGCCCAGTGCAAACAGAGCTTTGAAGCAACAGGGGCAAACCCGGCTGGACGTGGTCCAGCAGAAGTGACGAGCTTCCGCACCATGACGCGCTGAAGGCCGACAGAACCGAGCCAGCACGCCCTGGTGCCCGCAACAGCAGTGAGAGACCCAAACGTGTGGAGTCCATCGCCAGCAAGGCAGAGCCCACGCACGCAGAGCTTCTGGGAGATGGCGCCAAGTCCAGTTGCGCGCATTCGGTCACCGGCAGCTTGAACACCAAGCCCGCCCGCGCCATGCCGGTCACCGAGATGGAAGACTCGAAGCGTGCGTGGGAGCGCATGGGCAAGGAGGAGCCCAACCTCAAAAAGTCCGTGGCAGAAGCCGCCGACCCCAGTCGAGCGGAGGACCTGGTGGACATGGCCGGCCCCAGCGTGGCGCCCTCAGTCACAGGCAGGGAGGACACCAACCCAAAGCGCGCCATGCCGGACAAAAATGCCGCCGGCTCCGCGCGCGCGAAGGCTTGCGCCGACAAGGACGACCCCGGCCGCAAGAAGTCCAAGACGGGCGCCGGCGAGTCAAAGCGCGCCAGGCTGCGGGGCGAAGTCGGAAGGCCCGGCTGAGCAAAGTCCAAGATAAACAAAGAGAAGCCCAAGCTCGCTGCCTTGAGCAGCAAGGGCGCGGATCCGTGGCATGCGAAACCTGCGCGGAATGCGGAGGGGGGGGGGGGGGGGAGGGTTGTTGGTTCACCTTCCCAGACTGTGAGGGACAACGTGAAAACGCGAATCTCACGACTCTCAGAATCCGCGATGGATGTTCAATATCACCGCACAGGAGTGTGCAACTCTATAGGGCGACCGTTCGTGACTAAAACAAACAGAAACAAATGTGCGAAGGAACCAGGCAGTTGTCAAAGAGGGGCCAACACCAAGCCAAAACAGGCCCCAACTAGCACCATTCAAGAGCATGTGTTCCGCATCAACTCGCATGCCTTTCACTGGGGGTGTTGAAGACCAGGACCCAAGCCCCATCAGGCAAAATTATGTGTGCGAAAAGATGTTCGAACCCCATATTCATTGAAAGGGAGGCCACAGCTACGCCGCAGGTGTAGCATGGCCTTTGAAGGAAACTCTGGGATGCCGCCCTCAAACTGCAAAACTAACCAGCCGTAGAGTAGGCCAATGTTGTGTGTGTGTGTGTGTGTCTCTAGCCTAAGTAATCAGGCCCGTTGTCCGCGTTGGTCAAGCTGGACATGTAAAGACTCGCCCAAGGGTCCACCGCGACCGTTTTCGAACATGTGGGAGTGTCTTATTTGAGGGTGCCCATTTTGGAGTGGTGATAGAGGGAAATCCAAAGGAAGCCAACCTTTTTTATTCGGTGCCTAGAAGTCTAACAGCAAGCACGTTCAGGGGTTCTCCATAGGCCGACCCTCTGGGTAGGCATGGGCCCCCTTGGATGTTCACCCAACTGAGGCTATAAGCATAGATATAACTGGGGTAACTCGGCTTAGTCCCCTTAGAACCGTGGTTACAGCCGAGAACTCCAAATACCCGGCCTTTTGCTAGATTTCAGGACGGAACTAAAGATTAGCATGGAAACCAGAAGCCTGGCGTGCGATAAACAAAGAAGTGGGGGGGCCAAAAAGCGCCGCCAACGTTTTGAGGGCCTTCCATTTAACTTTCCAGCCAACTGCCCAAGGGGTACCAAGATCGCTCTCATGGCGCAGAGCTGGAAACTGCACGGATCGGAAAAATTTGGCCCTCGAAGCGAATACGGCTTCAGCGTCTTTGGAGAAATTCCCCTTTCTGCTAAATTTGCCCAATTACAAGTGTTCCACAACCAACAATTTCATGACTACCACGAATTGCAAGAGGAACATCCTGACAAAGACTGACCCACCCTGACCAAGAAATCCCCCGTCTCCCTCGCAACGGACTCATCCCGGGAGCCCCGGCTGCGGGGCAGCGGGGAAGATCCCAGGTGCAGGGAGTCGGACGCCGACATCAGCGGGCCCAGGCGCAGCGGGCTGCGGGCCGGCAACGGCGGGCCCAGGAGGGCGCTGGCCGCCACCTGCGGAACAGCGAAGAAGCGTCTGGGGTCTCAGGGACCCAACACCTGACCCCCAAATAACCATGGGTAACTCTTCCCATTTTCTGGTGAAGGCCATCTTTGTTGCTGCTCTCCCCAACGGTCATCCCGTGAAAAGGACCTGTTGACCAACCCCCATGTAAGTCACTTGCTCAAAACCCGACATCAAAATGGTCGATCCCCAGAACCATGCTTCAATAATTAAGAAGGCGGCCGCAACTATTTCTGGCTGGGACTACTCCTTACTCACCTTCATCTACCCGGGCTTTGATTGTGGCTCACCTGACGCTTTCAGGGCTGAGGGGACCCACAACCCAATGTTCGGAAGCTTGTCCAGGACCCAAAACCCGATGTTCTCGGAGATCCGAGGGACCCAAAACCAGATCTTTGGAACATGCATTATTATTTGTTTGGTGGTAACATATGAAAGGCTTAGGCAGGGAAGCCTGATCCGAGGGACCCCCAAACCTGATTTTTTTGAGGTCTGAGAAACCCCAAACCTGATATTTTTTGAGGTAGGGCGTCAAAAGTTCTGCTTTGCATGAATTCGGATCTAAATCAGCTGGTACTTGATGTTTTCACTGGCGCCAGCTGGCATCGGCTGTCTCAATCAAATCCTGTGGGAAGGACCGTGTTTGTCAGGGAAAGTGACTTACTTCTCCCAGTGAGTCCATCAAAATGTCCCTAGGAATTGAATTTGATGGGGCCTGAACCTTAGGAAGTAGGTTGTAACCGCAACCGGTTAGAGGCTTACCCCAGCTACTCCAGTTCTATGGTACCTAGACCCTCAAACATCCGCTTGAAATTCGGCCGTTGCCACAAAAATCCAAAAAAGTCAGTCCTTCTTCTTTTATGTCTTCTTTGAGGGAGGTAAATAGTTCAGTGGCACCCCCCAAGCACTCGCAAAAATCCTCGTGCCCGACTCCCGGATCCCGGCCGGCAGGGAGGACACAGAGCCGCAGCGCAGCAGTCCAAACCTCGAGGCTCGAGCCCCGAGGCATGGGACCAGTAAGGCCAAAGTGGCGAAGGAAATCTGCGAAGCCCAGAAGAAGTGACGAGCTTTTAGCGTGTTGCTTTTTGAAAAATCCACTAGTTGGCAAAAAGTTGTTCAGTCCTAAGATCCCTTGGCAAAATGCACCAAAGAGGGTGTGTCTGGGGAGTTTAAAAGGAAACCACCCAGAAACCGGCAGTTTTGGAGGGGCCTCCAAAAGAAACGACGCACCCAAATGGTGATATGGTGGCTGGGGTGCCGTCTGGCGGTTGTAGTGTGCCTGAGATGAGAGTCGAGTGGAGTGAACGTTCTGGGCTCTTGGGGTCCGCGCTACATGCGTCAGGAGAACTGGTCAGCGGAACTCGAGGCCCCACTCCCCTCATGTTTTTCTTTTCCCTGTCGGGATGAGCCACAGCCACGTCTGGCACGACATCACCCTTATTTTGGGTTCCCCTTTCCTTTTGCCTGGGGTAAAACCGTGCTTGGAGCTTCAACATCTCCGCAAAGTCTACCAGGATTCCAAGACCTGCAAATAGACTTGGAGCCCCAAGGGCCTCGTTTTGTCCAAATGGTTCTAGCCCCACAAGAGTTCGGCTCATTGACTTGCTGAAAGCTAAGCTTGCGTGGGATGCGTCACAAATCCCTCGAAACTCCAAGAGTCCAAAGAGCGCTCTGGCTGGGAACTGCCGCGAAAGGAAAAACCGGAAACTTTGAATGGAATCCCAGAAGTCACCCCCCCCCCCCCGCCTGCCAATGCCTTTTCGAAAGGGGTGGGGATCCGAGTATGAAGAGAGTGAACCATTCAAGGCTTGGCATGCCATTCCCAGAGATTAGGGCCTTAGAAGCACCTCTGCACAAGCTGCACCCACCAATCTCAGTGCCACATCCGAGCCTAACCTGAAACTGTTACTGCCACCTTCAAGCTAATGCACCAGGGAGTGCCAGTTCTTGGGGTGTGAGTGTTTGGGCCCCGCAAAATGGCACGGCCCATCTCTCAACCCTTGTGACCCCTCGGCTTCCCGGCGTAGGCGTCGCGGAGCCCGGCCGCGTGTGGCTTCGCAGAGGCGTGGTGGGCCCCGATCTCAGGAGGTCCGAGATCGGCGCCGCCGGGCCGAGGCGCGCGGAGCTGCGGGCGGGCGGCGCGGGGCCCAGCGTGGTGCACTCCAGGACCGGCGGCGGGGACACGGGGCCGACGCGGCCCAGGCCCCAGGCAGGCGAGGGAAGGCCCGCGCGCGCCCGGCTCTGCGGGGAGGCCGGAGATCCCATGTGTAAGAAGTCCAGGGTGGAAACTGCCGGGCCAGAGTGGGAGGAGGACCGCACAAAGGGCGACAAGCCCAAGTGCAGGAAGTCCAACGCAAGCGCGGAGGACCCGGAGCGGGCCGTACTCCTGGCCAACGACACAGGGCCCAAAAGACACGAGTCCACTACGGAGAGGGAGAACAGAAAGCCGGAGCGGGACATCCCGTAGATCGGCACCACTGGGCCGGCACGCAAGCAACCACGGGTAGAAAGCGGCGAGCCGGGCTTGACAGGGTCAAGCGCCGACAGCAAAACACCCAAGCGAGCGGAGGAGCGAAGAGGCAACAGGGGGCCTGCAGCCATACCGTCCAAGACCAGCAGCGTCAAACCCGGCCTGGCACCGCCAAAGGGAGAGGACGATGAGCCTAGGCAGCCAGGCGATCGGATCAACAGGAGGGAGCCGGGGTGCAGGAGGTCTGACGCTGGCATGGCAAAGCCCATCCGGGCACAGGATTGCATAGGTGGGGGTGGCTCTAGGGTGGTGCACTCAGTCACTGGCAGTAAGAACACGCTGCCCACTCTGGAAATGCCAAAGGCAAAAGCTGCCGAGCCGATACGAGCAGAAGACCGCACCAGCAGTGGAGGCTCAAGGCGGAGGAAGTCTAGGGCCAGCGTGGCAAGGCCAAGTTGCGCGAGGCTTTGCAGTGACAGGGAAGGCCCGAAATGAGCATGGTCCATGGCAAACACCACACTGTCTGAACACGCGGCACTCCTCGGCAGCAGGGACAACCCGAAATGTGCCATGTCAGGGACAGGCGCCGACAGCCCGGTGCGTGCCGGACTGCGCAAAGGCGTGGCTGGTCCAAGCTGCGTATGCTCAGTGATTGACATCGGGGACACGAAGCCCACGCGAGACAATCCAAACAGGGGCGATGGCAGCCCGGCTCGCGCGTGGGTTCGCATCAGCGGCAAAGGCCCTGAATGCAGGAAGTCCAAGGCCGGCATGGGGGGCTCGCAGCACGCAAGGCTGTGCAAGGGTGGCGAGGAGCCCACCAGAATGTTGTCTGGGACCAGCAGAATCAGGCCCGGATTTGCAACCCCAAAGGCCAGGAAGGAGGCACCGGTACGGCCGGAAGAGCGTAGGGGCATAGGCGGCTCCAAATGCGCAAAGTCCAAGACAGGCGCCAAGAAGCCCAGGCGTGCGAGAGACCGCATCGGCAACACAACGCCCGTGCAGGCGTGGTCCAAGAGGGACATCAAGAAGCCGAGTCTGCAGACGCCAGCCACAGACAGCGCCAAGCCCGGCCTGGCCGAGCTGTGCGGCAGCAGCAACGGGCCAGGACGGATGTGGTCGAGCGCTAGCGCAGAGCTGCCCGACCGGGCGGAGCTGCGCAAGGGCAGCACGGAGCCCGGGATGGAGAAGTCACACAAAGGCATTGAGGACACGGGGCCCGCGCGGCTCGAGCCCATGGTAGGCGCTACAGAGCCCAGGCACCCGTATGACCTCAGAGGCGGGAACAGCCCCAAATGCGCAGAGTCCAAGGCAAACGCGGAGACCTCTGGGCGTGTGGAAGAGCGCAAAAACAGAGAAGAGCCCAGGTTGGTGTGGTCCAACGCCGGCAAGAAGCTGCCCGTCCTAGAGCAGCTGGAGGCCAAGGACGCTGGGCCCATATGCGCCAAGCTATGGGGTGGGGAGGAGGGGCCGGGCTTCACGGAGTCGGGGGCCGGCAGCGAGGGACCTGGACGGCCGATGCTGGAGATCAAAGGCGCCAGGCCGAGCTGCGCGAGGCTCCGCAGCGGAAGGGCCGGGCCGGGATGCGCGAGGTCTGGCGTGGGCATGGGGCTGTCCAGGCGTGTAAGGGACCGCAGAGGCAGCGTGAAGCCCGTCTTCACAGAGTCCGGAGCCAATAGGATGGGGCCTATGCGGGTCACGCCCGTGGTTGACATGGCAAAGCCACAGCGAGCGAGGTTTCGGAGGGGCGTAAGGAAGCCCGATCTCAAAAGGTCCAAGGCCAGCAGGGCTGGGCCGGAGCAGGCAATGCTCCTCAGCGGCGAGGGCAGTCCGAGCAATGCAAGGTCCAGCAGAAGCAGTGTGGAGCCAAGTCGCGAGGTTTTACAAGCCGAAGATGCTGAGTCCGATCTCGCAGGATACTGCGGTGGCATGGGCGGCCCTGGGTGGGAGAAATCCGGCAGCAGCAGGAAAGGTCCCGCACGTGCGTGCGAGCGGGCCAATGGTGGGGGGCCCAAGTGCAAGGGATCCAGAGCCGGCGCAGCCGATTCCAACATTGCACGGCTTCGCAGCGGCGACAAGAGGCCCGGCTGCGCAGAGTCCAGCGGCAACATGGGCAAGCCGCAGCAAGTGGCGCCCATCGTCAATGAGGGGGGGCCAATGTAGCCAGAGTTACGCGTAGGCGCTGGGGATCCCAAGTGCAAGAAGTCCAGGGCTGAGGCAACTGAGCCCAAGCGCATGGAGCTCCTTGCCGGAAGCGTCGGTCCAGAATTCACCCGGTCCAAAACCGACAGCGAGGAGCCGAAGCGGACCCGCCCCAGGACCGGGAGGTTGACGCTCCCAAACCCGTTGGGGAAATGGAGGTCGCCGGAGGCTGAAGGGGTGAAACCCATGTGCACAAAGCCTTGTGCTGACATGGGAGGGCCCAAGTGCAGGAAGTCCAAGACCAAGGGCGCGAGCCCCGTGCGGGAGGAGCTGTGGGGCGACGCTGCAGGGCCCATCATCGTGTGGTCCGGCACAAATAGACTGGAGCCGATGCGGGACATGCCGCAGGGCAAAGGGGCGGAGCCAAGTCGGCCGAGCTGGCGCACGGACAAAGCGCTGCCGGAGTGGGTGAGATCCAGGACTGGGGGCGGCAACCCCGTGCGTCCCAAGCCCCAAGCAGGAGCGGGCAGGCCCGGCCGGCAGTGCGACCTCGGTGGAAAGGGGGGGCCGGGATGCAGGAAGTCGAAGGCGGGCGTGGAGGGCCCAGTGCGAGCAGAGGAGCGTGGGGACAGCAGGCTGCCGAAGAGCACAGGGTCCAGCACGGACGGCGGCGCGCCCGTGCGAGCCACACCCAAGCAAAAGGACGCGGAGCCGCTGCGCGCGGAACTCCGGAGAGAGGCCGACGGCCCCAAGTGCAAGGAGTCAAGGGTCAGCGCCGGAAGGCCGAACCGCGCAGAGGACCTGAGCGAAATGGAAGAGCCCAGGTGCAAGGAGTCCGGCACCAAAACCGCTGGGCCCGCGTGCGCGAGGGAGCGCAAAGAAGGCGACGAGCCACATTGCACAGAGTCCAGGGCTGACATGGAAGCATCCGTCCGCGATTGGCCAAAGGCCAAGAAAGCGAATCCCGTGCGGCCGGAGGACCGCAGAAACGCCGAGAAACCCAGGTGCAAAGAGTCCAACACAGGCGTGGCAGAGCCCAAGCAAACGGGGCTGCGTGAAGATAGGCTCGGACCCACCTTCCCGTGATCCAGGACCGACAGGCTCAAGCCAAGGCGTGCCAAACCTTGGAACGCAAGGCAGGGCTGGGAGCCCCTGATCTGATTTCCCTTTCGGATTCCTAAGGGAGCAACTAAAGGAGATCCACCTGCTGGCTCAAAGCATCCTTGAGTTGAAAAAGAGGGGGCAAAGTGGCCGGAGTACCATGTCCCGCCAACGCGACTGAGTCAATTCAAAACGCCTTAAGAACGCAAAATGCCATTGCTCCCCTGAACATTGACAGAAGGAAACCCTTAGCCCACAAGAGACTCCTCTTTGTGTTGCGAGGATCCATGTTGAGTGGAAGTGGAAGCTACCACAAAATACTCCAAACAGCCCAATTTGCCCGTTTGGGATGTTTTCAAAATCAACTAATGTTTGTCTCGGACTTAATCCAAAAGTGAAGTATCCCCTCCCAAAAGACGTCCATGACACAAAGTGATCCATACACCACGACTACACCTGCCCAAGTGTCACTTTCGGATAATGTTGCTACATTGCCTAGCCCTGGTGGTTGACACCACCAATGAGCGATAGGCTATGGGGTCCCAAATATCCACACAAATCAACTGACTAGTTTTTGTCCGCTAAGCAAGAGGCCCACGTAAAAACAATACCCTGGTGATACTGCCTGCTTCTTGCATGAGTTGTCAAAATTAGGGATGCTTTTTGGTGTCTCCTTCTTAAGTGGCTTCTTCGTCGGCACGGTCCGAAAAGGGGCCATCTTGTTGAAAACGCACATGGCTGTACCTCAATCCTAATAGGGTCGGTTTACCCCAGAACCCAACATGCGGTGAATATGTTTCCACATAAACTGATATACAGCCTGACAAAATGGATTCTTGCTTGTCATGGCTCCATTACATGTGTTTTGCGTGTCTTGAACGTTCCTTGCAAAAAAAATGTGTTGTTCAACCTCATTCCTCGAACAGTATGTGGTTTCTAGGGGGAAAAGAAAAACTAAAACACCGCTAGAGTGGTTGTTTAAAAACCCATTCCCCGGAAAACACAAGAATATAAGAAAACAAAAGTGGGGCAAGGGCCCTTGCAGTCAGATCTTGGTCCGCAAGGAAATCGAACCTTGGCGGTTCGGATGTGCAGCCCCCTGTTAGAAGAAATGTTTTTTTGAACGCCAACAACTTGAGTGTGTGTGTGTGCGTGCTACTACTGAGTTTAGGGGGCCACAATCCCAAGAACTGTCCAAAAGGCATCCTAGGATTCCACATATATATATATATATGTATACATATTTATATATACATATATATATTTATATATATGCCCTTGTTTTAAGGGCAGAAATGTCTCAGATGTTCCCAATCAGCCCAGACAATGCAAATGCTAAAGGAGGAAATGGACCCAAACAGCCCAGAAAATGCAAAAGTAAAGAGAATAAGAAAAGCACCCTCCTTATTTTCACACATATCCATAGTTCACATGATGCCAACTAAAAAAAGGCCGGCTAGGTGGAGAGTCTAAGTGTTCAAGCCACTTAGTAGGTAAGTTGCAACCATGGTTGCAAGGGGTCTATCCCTTACAAACCTTCATCCACCGGGCTTTGAGCGTGGAAAACTTGTCTATGGTCGTGGCAAAAAAGCCTCTTCCATCTCATATTTGTTCCAAGCGTGCGGCTGTTCCACATGTCTAAGACCCACGTGAGTCATAATGAATTCCTGGTTTTTGACTGGTCAGAACCATGTAAAGAATCCAGAAGCCGGAGACCGGCTGCCATTTCCGGCAAGGGGGTTGTCCCTTCACCTTCCACCCAACTTCGGTTTTTTTCGCCCGTGGCTCCCGCCGTCCACCCAACTTCGGCGCCCCTTCGCTACGTGGAGCCCCGTCCGAGGCGCCGCAGGCCGGCGACGCGGAGCCCAACACGCCGGAGCTGCGGGCGGAGGGCGTCAGCTCGAAGCGGTTCATGCCGAAGGCGAAGAACGACGCGCCCGTCCTGCGGCAGCTGGCGGAGCCACCCACCCGGATGGCCAGTGGGTGCTTGGCACCTCGTCCCCGACTAGCTTCGTCCCGGAATCTCGGGGAGTTGTTGTCCGGCCCAAGAACAGGGGGGGTTATACCCTCCCAGAGACTAACATCGAAGCTCCCAGCACCCCTTTGGAAGACTTGGCTCCATTTACAGAGGCCTTTTGAGAACTGAGAGTGTGAAACCCGGTCTGAGCTTTTGATGGAGAAAATCCCCGCAGCTGGTTTCTCCCAGAATTTCATCCATCCCAACTAGTGGGTTTTGTGGATCTTGTCCACAGCAGGCCAAAGAGAACTACCAATCCCATGTGCTCTGACTTTGAAAACGTCAAACCTCGTCTGTTTGGTTCCAATGAGAACAGCCCCTCTTAAAAATAAGGAAGAATCCGAAGACGGAGTTTGTCCCGCGTACTCTGAGCAAATCTGCGACCATTTCCGGACCATGAAACAACCACCTGCAACCTGTGTGACCTGATATGCTCAGCCATCGCTGCAGGTTCTAAGACTAAACGTAGAAGCCCCGTATTTGGAGTACGGGCGTGTCTCAAACAAGAAGAACCCCCGCAAAGGGAAAGCATGCTTCTGTGCTTCTTGTGCTTGTTGCTGGTTGCCCCAAAACCAAGCACCAAATGGGGTGAGGGGGGGGCTTCCCCAAAGAAGACACACCTAACCCAAACGCTGTGACCCCATTGTGTAGGTTGCATGTCAATGTTCCTATGGGTTGTTCAACCCTTCCAACACCAGCTCGTCTTTTGCAACCTGCCTGAAACCTCCTTCGTGTTCGACTCCCAAGAACATCCGATGCGACGCTCCTTGCCGTGCTCCGTGCAGGCGGCAAAGGGCCCAGGTGCAGGAGGTCCAGAATCAAAGCCGCGGAGCCCATGCGCGCCGTGCTCTTGGGCGACGCTGAAAACCCCGGCAGCGCGTGGTCCGAAGGAGGCAGCGTGGAGCCCAGGCGAGCGCCGCATAGAACGGAGGAGGAAGCGCCCGTGCGCCAGAAGCTGCGGGGGGAGGTGGGCAGGTCGAGGTGCAAATAGTCCAAAGCGGACGTCGAGAAGCCCAAACGTGCCGTGCTGCGAGGAGAGAGGGAGGGGCCGAAATGCACAAAGTCCAGGACCGAAGGTGGAGGCCCAGGACGGGCAACTGTTGGCGCAGACGTGGCGAGGCCAAATCGCGCAGAGCTGTGCAGGGATAGCGGCGGCCCCAAATGCAAAGAGTCCAGGGCGAGCATGGCAAATCCGAGGCGAACCGGGCTCCGCGCTGAGAGGGACGGGCCCAAGGAAACAAGGTCAGGTGCCAGCAAAGACAAGCCGACACAGGACATGCTCATCACTGACAGAAGCGAGCCAAGACATGCGGAAACCTTCAGCGGCATCAACGGCCCCAAGGTCAGGAAGTCCAAGGCTGACGGGCTGGGCTCTGGCCGAGACATGCTGCGCAACAGAGCCAAGGCTTCCGCGTGCGCAAAGTTCGGCGCGAGGAGCGACAGGCCTGGCCTTCCAAAGCTGTGCATGGAGATGGGCGAGCCTGGGTGCAAGGAGTCAGGAACTGACGCTGCCAGGTCAGTGTGCCCAAGGCTGCGAGCAAACAGAAAGGAGCCCATGTGCAAAGAGTCCGACGCCGGCAAAGCCGGTCCGGGCCTCGCCGTGCTGCGTGCTGAGGGCGGTGGTCCCAGGAACACGCTGCTAGTGACAGGCAGAGAGGACACCAAGCCCGCCCTGGACAGGCCAAACATGAGAGATGACGAGCCGGGGCGTGTGTGCGACCGCATTGAGGGTGAAGCGCCCGACTTCAGGAAGTCCAAGGTCGACAGGGAAGGCCCCAGGCGTGCAAGGCTCCGCGCCAGCAAGGAAGACCCGCAGATGACATGGTCCGGCGCAGGCAGCAGGGATTCGGACCGCGACACGCCCATCGCCAAAGATGCGGGCCCTGTTCAAGAGAAGCTCTTCACCGAAGTTGGCGGGCCTAAGTGCAGGGAGTCCAGCACAAGTAAGGCGGGGCCCGTGTGCACACAGCTGTGCAACAACATGGGTAAGCCCAGGTGTGCAAAGTCCGACACTGGCACAGGCGCGCTCAGGTGAGCGAGGCTCCTCAAGGCCGGGAAGGCGTCGGAATGCACCGCGTCCAAGGTGGGCAGGGGGAGGCCGCAGCGCACCATGCCGGAGGCAGGAGCCGCCAGGTCTGTTCGCGCGAGGTTACGCGAAGGCAAGGGGAGCCCCGAGCGCAAGAGGTCCGAGGCTGGCACGGCGGAGCCAATTCGCGCGGGCGACCGCAGGGGCAAAGAGGACCCCAAATGAATGTGGTCCAGAGCGAACGCGGGCGGGCCAGTTTAGGCAAAGCTGTGGAGCAGCAACGCCGATTCCGTGAGGACAAGGTCCAGGGTTGGCATGAAGGCGCCACAGCGGCCAAGGCCGAAAGCGGGCAATGCAAAGTCTATGCGCCCGGGAGACTGCGGCAACAGCGTGAGCCCTGGGTGCAAAAGGTCGGGTGCTGAAGGTGCGAGGCCCATTCTGCAGTGGCTTTGCAAGAACACGGTTGGGCCTGAATGCAGAAGGTCCAGCACAGGGGTCGGCAGCCCCAGGCGAGCAATGCTGCGGGGCGAGGTTGGCAACCCCAGAATGGCGAAATCCGACAATGGAGCCAGCAGGCCCATCCAGCTCAATCCGAAGGCAGGCAGGAAGCTGCCCGCCTAAGCAGGGCTACGAGGCAGGGGCGTTGGGCCCGAACGCAAGAGGTCCAGAGCGGGCGCCGCAAGCCCCATTCGTGCGAAAGACCTGGGAGGTGGCGCCGGGCCGAGCACGCACTTCTCGGTGACCGACAGGGAGGATACAGATCCGGTGCGGGCTATGCCAGGCATGGGCGTGGAAGACCCGAGTTGCACGAGGGACCTGGCGGGCAGCGTGAGGCCCGAATGTAAGAAGTCCAAGGCAGGCATGGCAGGGCCGCATCTTGCAAGGCTGCGCAAAGGCAGCGCCGACCCTGGACGCAAGAGGTCCAGCGCCGACAATGGAGAGCCAGAGTTCGACTGTCCGAAGGCCGCCATCGCAGGGCCCGCGTGCCCAAAGCCACGCGACAGGGACGAAGGGCCAAGGTGGAGGAAGTCCAACACCGGCACCACCGGGGCCGGCTAAGCGGGGCTCCGCAAAAACGCAGTCGGCTCGAAGAGCGCGTGGTCCGGCGCAGAGGGTGAGAAGCCCAAGCGCGCGGCGGCGAAGGGCAAGGACGACGGGCCCAAAGTCGCAGAGCTGCGGGCAGACGGAGTAAGGCCGTAGCGGGCCGTGGCGTAGGCCGGAGACGTGGGGCCAATGCACGCGCAGCACCGGGCTGGCAAGGAGGAGCCTAAGTGCAAGAGGTCCAGGGCAAGCATCGCAGAACCCAACCTTCCAGGGCTGCGGGTCAACAGGCTTGAGCCTAGGTGCAGGTGGTCTGAGGCTGACGCAGAGACGCCCAGTCAAGCACGGCTGCGTGGCAGCGATGAGAGGCCCGCCATCACAAGGTCGAGGACGAACATGGACGGGCCCATGCAGCCTATGCCAAATACAAACAGAACGGGGCTCATGCGTGCGGGAGATTGTAGAGACAGAATGGATCCTGAATGCAGGAGGTCCAGTGCCGGCACGGCAGGTCCCATTCGCGCCAAGCTGTGCAGAGACATGGGCGAACCCAAATGCACAAAGTCCAGGGCCGACAGGGAGGCCTCCGTCTTTCCCATCCCAAGCAAGGGCATCACCGAACCCATGCAAGCAAAAGATTGCAAGGACACCAGGGAGCCAAGGTGCAAGAAGTCCAGCGCAGGCGCTGCGAAGCCCGTCCTTGCCGCACTCCTCACTGGCAGCACCAGCCCGAAACAGGCGTAGTCCAAAACTGACGGAGTGGATCCCAAGCGCGCCAACCCGCACGCGGGCATGAAAGAGCCCGTGCGCCCCAGGGACTGCAAAAGCAAGGGCGGCCCTGTCTCGGCGAAGTCCAAGATGGAGGTGGTGGAGCCCAGACGGGCGCAGCTGTGGGGCGGAGGCGTGGAGCCCAAAGCCACCATGTCTGGCGCCAGCATCGAAAACCCACACCGCGCCAGGCCGGAGGTCAAGGAAGGCAGGCCCAGGCGCCCGAGGCTGCGCGGTGGGGTGGAAAGCCCCAGTCGCAGGTGGTCCAAGATTGGCGCGGCCGGGCCCAGCCGAGAGAAGCTCCGGGTCAACAGCAAGGGTCCAGAATGCGCAGAGTCCGGTGACAATGAGGAGGGGCCCAGACGCACCACACTTCGGGTCGGCAAGGGCAGGTCCATATGCGCAAAGTCCAACAAGAGCATGAAGGGGTCTGTGCGTGCAAGGCTGCGAGGCAGCAGGGGCGATCCAGTGTGCACCGTGTCTGTGGCCAGCGCCAGAGATCCCGTGCGGGCATGGGACCGCATCAAAAGGGCGGAGCCCATGTGTGCAAAGTCCAGCGCCGGCACAGCTGCCCCAAGGCGGGCGGAGGACCTCATGGAAGTCGTCGACCCCAAGCGGAGATGGTCCGGCACAAACGCCGGAGGGCCAGGCCGTGCGAAGCTGTGGGGGGACGGCGGAAGACCCGAATACACAAAGTCCGAGGTCGGCGTCGAAGCGCCACACGCGGTGCGACTGGAGGCGAAGAGCGACGAACCCAGGCGGACGATTGAGCGAGTGGGCATGGAAGAACCCGATCTCAGGAAGTCCATGATGGACAAAGCGCTGCCTGGCATTGCTGCGAACTCCGTGGAAAATGATTGGAGTTTGAGGACCTCTTTCTGTTCGCCAAGGGGGACCCTTTTTGCGAGCGGATTGAAATAGTAATCCTTCTGACTGGAAGGACTCGAAATTCAATCCAGTCGCTTCAGTCCCCAGTTCGACATCCACAACTTGTGTATCACTGGAATTTGAAACGAACAGACTGCTTCTTGGTTTGCTCTCACCCAACTCATCGGAAGTGCGCGTCAAGAGAACCAACCAAACGATACCTGGAGTGTCTTCCAGAACCTGCAGGAAAAATAAATAAAAAGGATTGTGGGTTCCCCTCGTCGGCCTGTTTCTTTGGGGTTGCGCATCTCCAACCCGCAAGGAACTGGTGCTTGTTGGACATCTAAGATCTGGAGAACGAAGTTGCCAACAGGCAGGCTCCCACCCCCAAAACCTGGATTCCGCCCAAAGAGTCGTGCATGAGCCAAACAAGAGCAGACAGTGCCTGCCATGGCCATTCCTTAAACAGGAAAAGCACCACGCGAACAACGGGCTTCCTTATCTCCCTTACCCGAAGTCACACCCAGGCCGTGGAAATTGAGGCCCCAAATGTCATTGAACCCCAGCCTGGATAAACTCTCTCTCTGTTGGTTCCTGGACACTCGGAGTTGCAAGCCGCATCTTCAGCTTGGGCATTTCGTAGGCTGTAGCCAGGAAAACAACCCCCCAGCCCCAGTTATACCCGTGGCTTGCTGAGCTTGGTACCGCGATTTCCCGCCTGGCCGCAAGCAGCTGCGCACCAGAAGGGTCGATCCGCAGGTTACAGAGTCCAGAGCCAACCTAAGCGTCACAGCTCCATCCTGCAACCCTCGCTCCAAAGTCCTCTTCTTTTTTTGGGGTTCGGCCGATTGAATCGGACATGGTTCCTTTAAGAGGAATCACAATGCTTGAAGGAGATCCTTACCAGGTAGATCTAATCCCAAAGGAACAGAACTTTTGACCATGGCACATGCGGGCTATGGTCGTTTCTTGTAGAAATCAGTAGAATAGTTGATGACAAAGTCCTTAAGGGTTGTCCACCCTCCCAAGTAAGTCTTTTGACCACATGGATCATGGTTCCCTCCATAACTTGACTCTTTTGGGTGAATGACAATTTCTACCGCATATGCCCTTTGAACATGGCAGGAGCAAATCGGACGGCAATTGACCCAATCAAATATATATATATATATATATAGTAATAAACATGTGCGTGTGTTTGTGTGTGTGTGTGTGTCTCAAGAAACGGTGTGTTCTGTTGTCTTTACTAGGAACACCAAAAGCAAACAAACCCGTTTTAGGCGTTCCTCAAAACAGGGCACCTCCCACCTACGAAGTGCACGCCCGAGTCCAACTCCTCTTTTTGGCCCCGTTGGCCCCAGTCGGGATCCAGTCTTGTGCCCTCTCGTTGCAAATCCGGGTCCAAAGCGAAGTTCACCGCGTCATTTGGCCATGGATCAAGACCAATGGAACCATTTTGGGGTTGCACCACGCATGTTAGTCCATTTCAACTTTAGTGGGGATTGGGATGTTCACTGGGGGTACGGGTTTTTTTTTCACCCATGGCCATTTCGAGGACCCGCCGGTGGCAGCGATGGCCCGGGGCTCCGGGCGAGGTAGGGCCAAACTGCGCACTGCTGGAGGGCGACATGGGCAGGCCAGTGCGCGCCATGCTCCTGGCAATGGCTAGCGTCTTGGCATCTTAAGCAACCCTGGTTCGAACAAACGGGTTCGAACGAATGCTACACGCGTTGTGCTCTGGTGCCAATTTATGAGAGCCTCTTTACGGTCATCTGAGCTTCTGCGAGTGGTCAAAATCCACTTCGCAGCAGTTAGTAGATGGTGATTCCCCAGTATTCTGAGGGTTTCATCCATCGCAACTGGTGCAGGATCTTGTCCATCCCACAGTAGGTTTCTCGGAAGAACCAGTTCCAGTTGCTCTGACTGTGATAGCCCCTACGAAGGGAACCCAAACCCCCTCTTGTTTTTGGTTCCAGTGCTTGGAATGGAGAAATCCGCCCCACGCAGAGTTGAACCTGCAAAAACATTCGAGATCCTTGGGCCCTGGTGGACACAAACTCTGCAACTGCTATGGTTCCAAACCTGAAACAAGCCTTGGATCATCATCTTGGACGCGCACCATGGCATAAAAGGCATGGTTCTTGGGGCGCGGCCTGTACACGGGTCAGCAAGACATCCTTCTTTCCCATATGTCTGAATCAGGCAAACCTTCACAAACAGAGAATGAGAATCCGGGTCTCCACATGGGGTGTCCTTTGTTGAGGGTGCCCTCTGCTGGGTCGTCAAACCAAAAAAATGAACAAATGGAAAACCACCAAATTGTGAGGGTCCAATTCCTGCGAGGTTCCACCCCATGTTCCTTCCAAGCCCGGCGACCAGATGCCCCTCTTGACCCTCCTGGGCGGCAGCGGGCTGCCCGAGTGCAAGAAGTCCAAGGCGGAGGGCGCCGAACCACACTGCACGTGGCTCCGCAAAGACGTGGGCCTCGGCACGGCGCACGTGGCGCAAAGGCTTTGGCGCCTGAAGGGGGGCTGATGTGTTTCGGGACCGAGAGGAGAAACCCCTGGTGTCATCACCCTGTCTGTTGTTTTGCTTGAAGGGACCGAGGGAGGGTCTTTTGCGAACAAAGGAGAAACAAAAAGAGAGATGCAGGGAGGAAACCAGAAAGTGCTTTGATTCGCGAACCCGATGCGCTAGGTGCCCGCTTGGTTGCGCTAGCCGTCCCAAAGTATTTCCCGTGCAAAACCCGCGGGAGGGGGGGGGGTCAAAACACGCCAACCAAAAAGTATGTGCATTCCAAAAAGAACAACCAGAATCAGCCAAAAAAAAGGGGGGGGTTAAAGGTCAAAAAATATGGGAATTTGGAGTGGTGGAGGCTTCTCCCACGAGGTTTGTACCCTCCAGCTCCCAGCGCTTGGACCCCGCACGGCGCGAAGTTCCCGAGGTCCGGGGTCTGGGCCGTGCACGCGGTCACACGGTCACGCGGTCGGTATCGATACGACTCGGAGGGGTAGCTGGACCCTACCAACTTGTCCAGGCCTTTGGCAAAAGCCCAGAAAAAAGGAGAAAAAAGCCTTTGGAAAGGTTGCAGGCAACAAAGTGCTAAATGCCTTTGTCTCCACTCATGGATCCGGCAGGGATCCCTTCAAAAGATGGACCTCGCAAAAGACACCGCCAACAGTTTCCACAACCACTTGATGAACCGCTGGACACTTAGGAATCATATACTTCATTGAGTGATCAATCAATTGAGTGATTAGTTGGTCATCATCACCATCACCATCACCATCACCATCACCATCACCATCACCATCACCATCACCATCACCACCATCATCACCATCACCATCAACACCATCAACACCATCATCACCATCACCATCACCATCACCACCACCACCACCACCACCACCACCACCACCACCATCATCATCATCATCATCGCCACCACCATCATCATCATCATCATCCTTCTCGTAGTACTCTTGCTTCCTGAGTGGATTGGCCAAGAAACAGCTCAAAGCTGTTTGTTTGCCCCCAACGTTGTCGCAAAAAATGTACAACATCCAGAAACTCGGAAGGAGCACATGATAAATCTAGCGGGTCCCCTGTTTGTGGAAAATTTGGTGAGTTCCCCGCAAACTATTGGAGATCTTGATCAAACCTCATATCATTTTTTTTTATTTATATATATATATATGGCCATGGGTCAAAATCCCGTACCCCCAGTGAAAATCCCAATCCCCACTAACATCCCGACTAAAATGCGCGGTGCACCTACCCAAAAATGGGATCCCATTGGTTTTGACAACCACAGCCATATGTGTATATATATATATATAAAGACCTCCGAGTAGATTCGGGACTCCGACCGCCCGAAGCCGGGCCCCGCGCCAAGAGCGGCAACCCAAGCCGCGCGTGGCTCCGCAAGGACGAGGGCGGGCCAAAGTGGGTCTGGGCGAGTGCTCAGGGCGTAGGCGCCGAAGGGAACATGCCACTCGCAAGGAACCAAAGGGGGATCAAACATAGGTGTCCGTTTTGGGAACATAGATGGCCCTGGTAGTTGAATGAACCACCAGGTAAACCAGGACCCTTTATTTTTCGACCAAATCAACCAAAAAGGACATGGGATCAAAGGCTAAATCAGCTTGGCCAGTGCCCGAAAAGGAGGTCGCAAATGGCTTGGTGACTCCATTTCTCGGTTGCTTTCTGCTCCCCTGCCAAAAGTTTAACTTTTCGTGGTTTAATGGAAGATCAATTAGTTGGCCAAAAGTTAAAGTCCTAACATCCCTTGGCAAAATGCACCAAAGATTTCTTCTGGTAAACTGCCGGTCACGAGAGGGTCGCGACCTTGGGGGTTCTTGGGTTCGGTTCTCAGTCGCGACTGAAGCCATCTTTTTCAGGGTAGACAGGCGGAGCTGTGTCCCGTTGGCCAGAGGAGGTACTCACCCCGAGTTGAAACGCCATGTCTTTCAAGGAAAAGAACCCCCAACCCATCCCAACCAGAAGAGCTGCGTTTTCCGCGTTTTCCGCGTTTTCCGCGTTTTCCCGTGCGCGAAACCAACCCAAGACGAATCCCTGAGAGTGCCCTCTGAGGATGCCCGCATGGTCCAGAGCGGAGGCCGGCAGACCCGTTCGTGCGGGGCCTCGGACAGCTGCGCGCGGTGCAAATTTGACCCCTTTGGTTCAGAGATGTGTTGTCTTCTTTCAGAGTTCTATGCGAAACTGGCAGGTCTTGGAATGTCTATCCAAAAGCACCACAGGTGCAAAGGCAGCATGCTTCTTCTCACAGCCGCTGGCAAGTGAAAAGGCCGTATGCTCGCCCCTACAACCGCCTTGGTCCCTTGGACTTTGTACCCCAGCCAAAGAAATGCGGCCGTGCTTGCTTCTTCGGCCTTTGGGCGCCATGGAATTTGTGCCCAAGGACCGTACTACTGTAAAAAGGCCGTGTGCTTGCTTGCGTGTACGGCCAATTTGGCCCCGTGCAAGTTCTCCCAGTGACCATGCAAAGAGGCCAATATGCTTGGCCGCTTTGGCCCCTTAGATCCATCCGTTGCCACGGTGACTTCGTGCAATGTAAGAAGGTCATATGCTTCATGCTCGCATTGGTTGGCCTTCCAAAGAAAGCACAAACAAGTTCATTTAGGTTTGTATACGCGCCACTCTTCCCATACCAGGTGGAGCCCCTTTCAAGGGCCATGGACGCCGCAACATCAGTGCTTTCTTGTGGCTTTGCCAGAAGAGCTATATGATCTACTGTTGCTGCATCGTATTCAGAGTTGCTCCGAACATCTTGGCACAAGGCTAGAAAAGCTGGTCTTTGTTCCTGTCAAAACCATCAAGCCCCAGAAAAAGGACAGAGTCACCAAGAACCTCAACGCCTGCCAACTTCGATAGGGTACAACCCAGTATCCAAAGAAACAAGAAGCAGCTGTAGGGTCCCGGAATTGAAGGGTCCTTCCCAGCTTCCAGCCCACTTTGGTGTCCTTCTAAAACACTCCCCCCCCCCCCAAAAAAAAAAAGGAAGAAAAACAAAAAGCAAGACAACCAGCCACTGGTGGGTGTTGGGTTGGGAGGGGCCTGGTTTCTAATTTTTGGCGGGTGGGAGGCTTCTTTCCCGGCGGCGTCCACGAATCTTCGCTGGCGGCCCGGCTCCGGGTGGGCGGCACAGGCCCGGAGTGCACGAGGTCCGTGGCGGGCGCCGCGGGTCCTGTGGAGGGCCGACGGCGGCCAACGAGCTCCGCTTGCTGGGGCTGGGCTTCTTCAGTGGAGAGCTGGGTAGAAGGGCACCAACCCTTTTTTCGGGGTTGGTCTATTTGAGGGGAACCCTCCCCCAAAAAAAGGGGGCAGAAGGGGCACTACTGGGGGACCCAGGCTCAGGGGGGTATCATGTCAACCGACAAAAAAAGGAAGCTCTGATCTGTTTTCTGAGCCTGAGGCCTGACTCCTGACTAAGGAAGTTGTACCATGGAAAAGGGGGTGCAAGATCCATTTGGACCCCTGAAAACACCCATCCCTGTCCCTCACCTGCTGCCAGGATTCCAAGAACGTTTTTATGAAGCCTTGACCCCAAACGACCTCTCAAATGCAAAGGCGGCCCAGCTTGTCAGCTACCCTCCCTGCGTGAAACCCACCAGAAGCCGCCTGGTAGCCACTCTGAAGTGTCAAAAGCTTTCAATTTGCTGCATTGGCCAACGAATGACCTGCTAGAAGCGGCCTTTGTTCAAAAGTTGGTCTGGCGGGACTCCTCTCGACACTTCTTATGAGGTACATCCCACCTGAAAAGACATGGAAGCGGATATGGGCACTGTCTCAGACCAAAGCCGCAGCCTGAGATTCATCAACCCCTGTCAACCAGGGTATCTCGTACGAAAGGACGTACTGCAGGGCTTCAGTTTGGGGGAGTTACACCCATCAATCTTCATTGTTGATTGAAATCCGATTCCGGCCAGGCAAGAACCTCACAGGGCCTCCACGCCTGCTGCTTCCCCCGTCCTGTTCAAGCAAGGCTGCGCGGCGGCATCGCCGGGCTGATCTCCACGGGGTCCAGAATGGGCGGCGCGGATCCCGTGCGCGCCATGGAGCGAATCAACGCCGAGAGCCCCGAATGCAGAAAGTCCAAGGCCGGGGCCGCAAGGCCCAGGTGTCCGGAGCTCCGCGAGGGCGGAGGGCTGCCCAGGAACGTTGCGTCCAAGACCGGCGACAACGGCCCCGCGCGGAAGCAGCTGGAGGCGAAAGAGGCCGAGCCCGAACGCACGGAGCCGCGCAAAGGCGAGTTGGAGCCCAAATGCAAGAGGTCCGGGGCCGGCGCTGCCAACTCGGGGTGTGCAAGGCTGCGGAAAGAAAGCGCGAAGCCGAGGACTGCAAGGTCCATGGTGGGCATCAACAGGCCCATACGCACTGAATGGAAGATGGACAAAGCGGAGTCGAAGCATGCCATGCTGTGCAACAGAGGGGTAAAGCCCGGCTGCAAAGGGTCCAGGATGGGCATGGGGCTGCCAAGGCGGAAGGAAGATCGCAACAGCACGGCTGGGTCCATGGCCACAGAGTCCGGGGCAAATGCAGCAAGGCCAGCTCGAGCGAAGCTCCTCGGGGGTGGTGGAGGGCCCAAATGCAGAAGGTCAGGCACGGGAGCCGCAGAGTCTGCGCGCGCACGGCTGCGAATGGGCAGTATGAGGCCCGGGTGCAAGAAGTCTGAGGCCGACACTGCTGAGCTGAGTCGGGCGGGACTGCGCATCAGCGAAAAAGGCTCTGGATGCGCATGATCAAGCAGAGGCGAAGACGCTTCCAGGGCTGTCCTGCTGAAGGTGGACAGGCAAGAGCCCACCCTGCCCGTGCTGCGCAGAAACGTCATCGGCCCGAAGTACGTGCAATCCATCACTGGCACGCCAGACCCGGAGCGGGCGCATTGGAATAAAGGGATCGCGGGCCCAGGACGCGCGGAGCTTCGCACGAGGGGCGTGCTTCCGGGGCGGAGGGGGTCCAGCGCCAAGGTCGCGGGGCCCAGTTGTGCCATGCTCCTCGGGGACAACAAGGGCTCCAGCTGCACGGAGTCCAGCACCGGCATTGGAAAGCCCGTGTTGGCAGCGGCTGTCGCGGGCGGCGAAGGGCCCAGGCGCCCCATGGACCTCAAAAACAGCGTGAAGCCCAGAGTCAGAAAGTCCAAGACCGACATCAAGGAGCCGACGCGCGCGGCAGAGCGCAGAAACAGCGCGGAGCCGGGTATGGCGAGGTCAAGGACCGGTACAAGGCTTTCAGGTCGGCTCACCCCGGAAAGCAACATGGCGCTGCCAAAGTGACCAAAGCTGTGTGGCGGCAGAGTGAAGCCCAAGTGCAGGAAGTCCGTCACAAACGGTGCTGGGTCCAACCAGCTCATGCTTCGCAAAGGTGGCATGGAGCCCGTGCTTGCAAGGTCCAGTGCGGGCAAACAAGGGCCAGGCTGGACTTTGCCGAAGGGTGGAAAAGCGCTGCCCGAGCAAGCAGTTTGCCGAATAGACGGCAAAGAACCGGGGTGCAAGTGGTCAAGTATGAGCAGAGGAGGCTCGGGTCAAACAGAGGACCGCATTGGCGCCAGAGGCTCCAAGTGAATGTGGTCCAGCAATAAGAGTGCTGGCCCTGGGTGAGAGAGGCTGCGGGCGGGCAGAGTTGGGCCAAGGTGCAAGAGGTCAGGTGTAAGCGCGGCCAGGCCGCAGCGTGCAGAGCTCCTGGGGAATGGCATGGGCTCCAAGTGAAGGGAGTCCAGCACCGGCGCTGCGGAGCCAGCGCAGGCACGGCTTCGGAGCGACAGCGGCAGGCCAGGCAGCACGTGGTCTGAGGCAGACGTGGGCGGTTCCATGCGGCCTATGCCGGACGGCAGCGTGGCTGACTCCGTTTGCGCGAAGCTCTGCAAAGACGTGGCGGAGCCCAGGTGGGAGAAGTCCGGAATCGGAGACAGTAGGCCGAGCCGCACTCGCTGGAAGGTAGGCGGAGCTGGCCCAGTGCACCCAGAGCTGTGCAGAGGCAAGGGGGGCCCTGGATGCAAAGAGTCCGGAGCCAGTGGCGCAAGGCCCAGGCGCACCGTGCTGCGGGCCGACAAAGATGAGCCCATGAGGGCAAAGTCCGGCAAAGATGGTGTGGGACCGCAGCGGGTGATGCCGCAGGCCGGCATGGATGCGCCGGGTCGGAAGTGTTGCCGCGATGGCGGGGTGGGGCCGAGGTGCAAGAAGTCCATTACTGACGTGCTGGGGCCCAAGCAAGCCACGGACCGCAAAGGCGAAGGTGGCCCAGACATCACGTACTCCAGCACAGACAATGGCGAGCCGCATCTGGCAGTCCCGGAGGCTAGGAAGGCCGAGCCCGACCAGCTGAGGCTACGGGGCAGCAAGGACAGGTCCAGATGCAAGAAGTCCAGCACTGGTGGATTTAACTCCAAGCGCACGCAGCTGCGGGTGAGCAGGGGGGACTCAAGATGCACGTGGTCCAGGGCGGGCAGCAACGACTCCATACAACCGATGCCGAAGGGCGACGGTGCCGCGCCCATGCGCGCAAAGCTGCGGATGGGCGGCATGAGGTCTGGGTGCAAGGGGTCAAGCACCAGCGTGACTGATCCAAGACGCACCGCAGACCGCGCCAGCGCCGGGAAGCCCAAGTTTGCGTGGTCTGGCACAGACGGTGAGGGCTCGGGGCAGGTCACGCCGCAAGCTGGGAAGGCGGGGCCGAGACATGTGAACTTGTGAGGTGAAGGTGCTGGGCCAGAGTTGGCAAAGCTTCGCGCTGGCGAGGGAGGGCCAAGATGCAGAAGGTCCAGGACTGACAGGGCCGGGCCTGACCGAACGCGGCTGCGGGTGAACAGCAGCGAGCCAAAGTGCACGAGGTCCGAAGCCAACAAGGGAAATCCCGTGCACGAGATGCCGGAGGCCAAAAAGAAGAAGCCTGGCTGCATGAAGCCCCTTAAGGAAGACGAGCTGCCAGAGAGGCTGTGGTCCAGCGCTGGCAATGAGGATCCTGGTCGCACGCCACCGGAGACCGACGAGCACGAGTCGGCACGCGCGGGGCTGTGGAGTGACAGGGAGCTGTCTGAGTGCAGGAAGTCCAAAACAGACATGGCCAAGCCCAGACGAGCGCGGCTGCGGGGAAGCGGCGGGCTGCCCGGCTGCACAAGGTCCAGGGTCAAGGGAGATGAGCCGCACCTGCCCAAGCCGGAGGCCGGCAAGGTTGAGCCCAGTTGCGCCATGCTTCGAGCAGGCGAGGTGGATCCCAAGTGTAGGAAGTCCATGGCAGGCATCAGAAATCCAATGCACGCGGGGCTGCGGACCAACATCAGTGGCCCCGAGAACGCGTGCTCCAGGACCAGCAAGGAGCTGTCCATGCGGCACAAGCCCAAGGGCAAGGAGCACGGGCCAGACCTCGCGAGGCTCCTCGGCAGCATCGGCGGCTCAGAACTGGCGAGGCTCCGCGCAGGAAGTGCCGGGCCAGGATGCACAAAGTCCGAGGCAGACAGCGGCAAGCCAGGGCACATCTTACCGGACGTGGGCGTGAAAGAGCCCGTGCGTGCCATCGACTGCAAGGGCAAGGTAGGCTCTGGATGCAGAAGGTCCGGAATTGGCAGCGCCAGTTCTGAGCGCACGCAGCTGCGGACAGGCGGCGGAGGCCCAAAGAGCACATGGTCTGAGGGCGACGACATGGAGCCCATGCGACTCAAGCCGCAGACAGACGGAGTTGGGCCACAGCGGCCCAAAGATCGGGCTGACAGCAAGAGTTCTGGATGCAAAGAGTCCAGTGCCGACGAAGCCAGGTCCAGCCGTGCGCAGCTGCGGGCAAATGGCGAGGGGCCTGGGTCTGTGGGGTCCAGCAGAGAGGAGGGCGGCCCGAGGCGCGAAACTCCCAGCACGGAGGAGCTGGGGCCGACCCTTGCGAGGTTTCTGATCGGCATGAACAAGCCCAAGCGCAAGAGGTCCAGCACGGACACTGCCAAACCTGGGCGAGCAGGGCTGCGTAGCAGCAGAGGAAAGCCTGGCCAGACGTTGTCCAAGACCGACAAGCTGGGCTCGACGCAAGAGATGCCGCACAGCAAAGAGCAGCTACCGGAGTGGGAGAACATGCGCAAAGGCGGCGTGAGGCCGAAACTTGCGGGGCTGCGAGCCGGCAAACTGGGGCCCAGGTGCAAGGAGTCTGAGGCCAGCACGGCCGAGCCCAAGCGCACGCGGCTGCGAGCAGGCAGGGGCAGGCCAAGGTGCACAAAGTCCGGCACCAGCAGCATGGAGCCCAAGCGTGCGGCTTGCAGCACTGGGGACGAGGATCCCAGACGCTGGAGGCTCCGAGGCAACAAGGGGAGGCCCAAGTGCAAAGGGTCCGGAATCAACAGCAGCACCTCCAGGTGACAAGAACTCCTGGCGGGCAGCAAAGACCCCAGGAAGGTGTGGTCCAGCACTGGCAAGCTGCTGTCCGAGCAAATCACTCCGAGGGCCAAAAAGGGGCTGCCGGGCTGCGCGTGGCTGCGGAGTGACGGGAGCAAGCCCAAGTGCAAGGAGTCTGGCACTGGCACCGCCAAGCCCAAACGAGAATGGCTTTGCAGAGACATGGATGAAGCAGAGTGGGCGTGATCCAGAACTGAGGCGCATGAGTCTGGCTGAGCCATACTGTGCAAAGAAGTGGAAGGGCCAGGAGTGACGGGGTCCAGCACTAACAGCAGAGCTTCCGGGCGGCTTTTGCTGGAGGGCGACAAGGTGCTGCCTACGCGTGTGGAAGATCGCATGGGTGCGGTGGAGTCCAAGTGGAGGAAGTCCAACACTAGTGCCGCCGGACCAGAGCGAGCGAGGGAGCGCACCAGCGGGCTGGAGCCCAAGCGCAGGAAGTCCGGCGCCGACGCCGCCGGGCCCAAGCGCGCCAAGCTGCGAGCGGGCAGCGGCGCGCCCAAGAAGACGCTGTCCGAGATCAAGGGCGTGGAGCCCAGGCGCGCCGAGTCGAAGGCTGGGGAGCTAAAGCCGAGTCGCGTGAAGGCGCGGGCGGGGGTGGTGGAGTCGGGGCGCAGGAGGTCCAAGGCCAAAGCCGCGGGGCCGGCTCGGGCAAGGCTCCTCAGCAGCAAGGAGAAGCCCAGGTGTGCGCGTTCCGACACCGGCAGCGGCGGCCCCAAACAAACGAAGCCGGACAATAAGGCCGCCAATTCCGCGCGGAAGAAGTTTCGAGGGGACGTGGTGGGTCCCGACTTCAGGAGATCCGGGGCTGGCAAGGTGGGTCCCAGCCACGCCGCGCTCCGAGGTGACAAAAAGAAGCCCGGGTTGACACGGTCTAGTGGAGGTAGGCTGGGTCCTGGGCTTGTCCTTCCACAGGTGGGCAAGGCAGGGTCAACTCTCTGGAAGCTGTGCAGAGGCATGGAAAAGCTGGAGCGTCCATAGTCCACAGTCGACGTCATCGACCCGCAGCACACGGAGCTTCTGAGGGAGGGGGTCAGGTCTGGGTGCAAGAAGTCCAGGGCCAAAGGCGCAGGCCCACACCACGAGTGGCTCCTGGTGGAAATCAAGGGCCCCAAGTGCAAGTGGTCGGGCGCAAACAGTGGCAGACCCAACTGCACATGGGACCTCGCCGAGAGCGAGGACCCCAAATGCAGATAGTCCAACGCGGACAAAGAAACGTCCAGTAGCGCAAGGCTGCGAGGAGGCATCATAGGGCCCAAGTGTGTGAAGTCCACGGTGGGCATAGTAGCCCCCAGCCGGGCAAAGCTCCTCAACAGCAACAAAAAGCCGGTCTCTGCCACATCCAGGATGGACAGGAAAGAGCCAGGCCGACTCATGCCCAGGGTTAACATGGGCGCATCCAACCTGGCAGGCTGCCTCAACAACAGCAGCAAGCCCAAGCGCAGGAGGTCCAAAACCGGCAGGGAACTGTCCGGCCTTGCCACAGACCTGGCTGGCAACGTCGGGCCCGAAAGCACGCTGTCCGAGATCAACAAGCTCAGTTCCAGGCAGGTCATGCCGCAGGTCAACAGCATGGGCCCACAGCGCGCAAGTTGCCGGATGGATGGGCTGGGGCCAGGGCTCAGGAAGTCCAGCGCCGACGACAACGGCCCAGGCCGCAGGCAGCTGCGCGCCAAAGGAGACGGCTCGGGATGCGTGAGGTCGGGCACCAAGAGGGGCGATCCCAGGTGGGCTCTGTGGAGCACCAAGGACGCTGGCCCGGTGTGCGCAAGGCTTCGCACAGAGATCGGCAAGCCCAAATACAAAGAGTCCAGAACTGGAGCTGCTGGGTCCAAGCGGCTGGAAGACCTCAGTGGAATGGAAGGCCCTGGCTGCAGGAAGTCCAGGACCAGCATTGAGGGTCCCGCCCGCACCATGCTGCGAGCAGGGGGTGAAGGGCCCAGGAACGTATAATCGGTGACAGGCAGTGGGAACACAGGGCCAAAGCAGTTCAAGCCCATGACCAGCAGTACGGAGCCCGGGCATGCATGGCTGTGCGCCAAAAGCGAAGGCCCGGGTTTCAGGAAGTCCGAAATCGATATTGGCGAGCCCAAGCGCATGTGAGACCTGGCTGGCAGCAAACTGCCAGGGTGCGCGGTGTCCAGCGCCGGCAACAAAGGCCCAGCGTGAACGGGGCTGTGCGCGGAAGTGGGCGAGCCCAGCAGCGCCCAGTCAGGCGCCAGCAGCGGTGGGCCGAGGCGAGACATCTTGATGGGCGACGGCGGAGGGCTAGGCCTGGCAGGTTGCCGCAGCAACGGAAAGGAGCCAAAGACCGCAAGGTCCAGAGCGGGCGCCGCCGGACCCGGGCGAGAAAAGCTGCGCGGCAGCAGGGGGAAGCCTAGTTGGATGCCATCTAGCAGAGGTGGCATGGGGCCAAACTTCACGTTGCTCGGCACAGGCATTGCCGCCTCCGAGCGAAAGTGGTTTCGGACGGGCATGGGCGAGTCTGGGCGCAAGTGGTCCGTCACCGGCAAAGGCAGGCCAGAGCGGACTCTCCCGACCAGTGGGGAGGTGCTGCCCAGTTGGCAGGAGCTCCGCAGCAGAAGCATGAACCCGGGATGTAAGGAGTCCAGCACCAACAGAACCGGCCCGACGTGAGCAAACGACCTGGCTGAAATGAAGAGGCCCAGGTGCAAATGGTCCAAGGCTGACACTGTGGGCCCCAAGCGCATGAAGGATTGGAGCAACAAGCTGGAGCCCATGTTCACCATGTCCAGCAGCAGTAGCATGGACCCCGGCCTGGTTGCGCTGAGAGGCAGTGAGGCTGGGCCGGCACATGCAGGGGTCCTGGCGGACAGCGGCAGGCCTGGGTGCAAGAGGTCCAGAGTCAGCACCGCCGAGCCTGAGCGGCTTGAGCCCCGCAAAGGCGGCGAGCTACCTAGCGCCACGAAATCCGAGGCAGAGGGCGTCAGGCCCAGGCGGGTCCGGCCGAAGACCAAAGGCGTGGGCCCCAGGCGGGAGGGGCTGCGGAGCAAAACTGGGGAGCCAAGCCGCAGGTGGTCCAACGCCAAGGCCGCCGGGCCAAAGCGCACCGGGCTGTGCAAAGGCAGCAAAGATCCAGGGTGGGCGGCGTCCGGCACTGGAAGCGTCGGCCCCAAGCGCAACCTGCCCATGGGAGACACCATGGAGCCGAGACATGCAAAAGAACGCGCAGGCGACGGGGAGCCCAGGTGCAGAAAATCCAGGACCAGCGAACACGACCCTGAGCAAAGGGCGCCTTGCAGGGACGAAAACGGTCCAGGCTGCACGCGGTCAGGCGCCGGAAGCATTGATCCCAAGCGGCTGAGCCCGGAGAGAAGCGGCGAAGGCCCGACCTGCACAGTGCTGCGCGAGGGTGGCGTGGAGTCCAAGTGGAGGAAGTCCGGCACCGACGGGGCTGGGCCGAGTCGTGCGAGGCTGCGCGCCAGTAACGAGGGTCCCAGGTGAGTGGATTCGATCACAGGCGGCGAGAACACCAACCCCAAACGAGTCAGGCCGGCCGCCAAAGGCATGGAGCCCAGGCGGCAAGAGCTGTGGGGCGACAGAAACGGCCCAAGCCGCGTGTGGTCCAGGACCAAAGGGCTGAGGCCAGGATAAGTAAGGCTCCTAGCCGGCAGCAGAAAACCCAGATGCAAGAAGTCTAGGGCAAACAGGAACAGGCCCAGACGTGTGCGCCCGCAGGGTGGCACCATAGGCCCAAACCACCCAAACGTGCGCGAGGAAGGCGACGCTTCAGGGCGCAAAAGGTCCGAAGCAGGTGCCGCCGAGTCAGGGCGGCTGGAGCTACGCAGGAGCAGAAGTGGGCCGGGCATCGCTGCATCCAAGGCGGACACAAAGGAGGCTAAGCGCGCAAGGCCACGGGGCAACATCGAAAAGTCCAGGTGGAGGAAGTCAAGGACTAGAAGCGGCAAGCCAAGGCGCACGGATGAAAAGGCGGCCATGGATAATTCAGGACAAATGAAGCTGCGCAGGGACAGAGTTGGCCCTGAGTGCAGGAAGTCCAAGACTGGCATGGCAGCTTCTGCGCGGGCCACGCTTTGAGGTGGCAGCAAAAGACCCAAGTTCACAAGGTCCAGCAGAGACAGGCTTGCATCCAGATGGGTCCGCCCAACTGGCAATAAGGTGGGCCCCAGCTGCAAGTGGCTGCGAGGTGAAAGGGTGAAGCCCAAACGCAAGGAGTCCGAGGCAGGCGGCGCAAACCCAAGGCGGCACACAGACCTGACCAGCGGCAACAGGCCGAGATGCAAAGGGTCCAGCGCTGACGGCATGCTGTCAGAGCGTGTGCAGCCGGTGACCAGCAGCATGGGCCCTAAGCGCAAGAGCTGCTGCGGCGGCATGGGAGACCCGGAGCGGGCATGGTCCGGCACTGGCATCGTGGGCCCCAGGCGCAGCGTGCTGCGGAGCGACAGAGAAGAGCCCAACGCAGTGTGGGACAGCGCCGACATCAGCGAGCCAAGCCGGCAGCAGCTGGAAGGTAGTGGGGTAAAGTCAGCTTGGCCAATGCTGCGCAGCGGCGAAGGGGGTCCGATGTGCACAAAGTTCGGGGCTGACAAGCATGACCCAGGACGCGCAAAGCTGCGGGCAGGCAGCAGCAGGCCGAACTCTGTGAGGTCCGAAACAGGCAGCATGGGCTCGGGCCGCACAGTTTCAGTCGCCAGTGGCGATGACTCCAACCTGGTGAAAGATCGGGGCAGCATCGAAAAGCCCATGCGAGCATAGTTCGGCGCCAGCACTGCCGATTCCAAACGTGTGAAGCTTCTTACCGACAAAGGTGAGCCGAGCACTGTTGCGTCAGTCACAGGTGGCGAGAAGAGGAAGCCCGGCCGGCACAAGCCCACCGCAGGCAGTGTAAAGCCAAGGCGAGCAAAGGAGCGAAGCGGCATGGAAGACCCCGAGCGCGCGTGGTTCGGCACAGAGGTGGAGGACCCCAAATGCAAGGGGCTCCGCGACAGCAGGGCGCTTCCCATCAGAGCGCAATCAAGGGCCAAGATGCAGGAGCCCAGGCTTGCTGCGCCGATGGCAGACAGCATGGGCCCAAGCCACACAAGAGATCGCACCGAGGGTGTGAAGCCCAAGCGCAAGAAGTCCAGGGCTGACATCACAAAACCTACGCGGCTGAAGCTTCGCAAAGGCAGCAGCGGGCCGAGGTGCAAGAGATCCGAAGCCAACAAAACCGAGCCAAGCCAAACCATGCTCCTGGCTGACACCAGGCTTCCCAAGTGCACAAAATCCAACACAAGCAGCATGCTGCCGAGGTGCACAAAGCTTCGCGCCGATGGCAAGGGGCCCGACTTGACGAAGTCAGTCACTGGAGGCAAGGACACAAAGCCAAAGCGATTCAAGCCAACGGCCAAAGGTGTCAATTCCAGCCTGGCGTGGTCTCTAGTCAACATGGGCAGCCCAAGCCTGGTATGGTCCAGCACAGAAATGGGCAGCCCAAGACGGCAGAAGGATCGGATGGGCAGGGACGAGTCTGGGTGCGTGTGGTCCAGCAAAAGCGTTGAGGACCCCAAGCGCGAGACCCCAAACGCTGAAGCCGACGGGCCTGACCTGATCACCGCCTGCAGCGAAGGCGAAAACCCGAGGTGGAGGAGGTCCGGGGCCGAAAGCGCCACGCCCAGGTGAGAGTGAGAGCGCAGAGACGGCGAAAGGCCCAGGCAGATGCTGTCCAGCACCAAGACCGCGAGCCCGAAACACGCGAAGCTGTGCAAAGACAAGGAGAAGCCCGGCTCAGCGGCATCCGAGGCCGGCAACGGCAAGCCCGGCCTAGAGGCACCGCAGGCGGAGGAGGTGGGGCCCAGATGGATCATGGACCTCGGAGGCGGAGTTGGGCCCAAGGGCGCGTGGTCCGGCGCCGAAAGTGTGGAACCCGGGCGGCTCGAACTGGAGGCCAATGGCATAAACCCGAGTCGTGTAGAGCTGCGCAAGGACGGCATGGAGCCAGGGCGCAAGAGGTCCAGGACAAAAGCCGCTGAGCCGAGTTGGGCAAAGGACCTCAAGGGCAGGAAGGCCTCTGGCTGCACCCACTCAGGCACAGACAAGGGCAATTCCAAGCGACTCGTGCCGAGGGGCGGCAAGGTTGACCCCAAGCGAGTGGAGCTTCGTAGAAACAAGGTGGGGCCCAGCGCCAAGTGGTCCGACACCAAGAGCGCGAAGCCACAGTGCGCCCAGCTACGTAACAACGTGGGCAGGCCCAGGTGCAAGTGATCCAAGGCCGGCAGCACGGGCTCCAATCTTGCAAGGGACCGCGCCGGCAACACAGAGCCCAGGTGCAAAGAGTCGGGCGCCGGCGGGGGCGAGCCACAGCTCAAGCGGCTGTAGGTTGAAAACAAAGGTCCAGTGCGGCCGGAGCTCCTCAAAGACAAGGACAAGCCCGGAAACAATGGGTCAAGAACAGGCAGCAAGAATCCCAGGAGCGTGACCCCATACATTAACAAGAACAAGCCCAGCCGCGCGAAGCTCCTCAGCAAACAGGTGGGGCCCATGTGCACGAAATCCAACACAGGCGGCAAAGGCGCCAGCTTGGACATGCCATACGCGGGCAAAGGCGGCTCCAAGCGCGCGAAGCTTCGCAGCAAGGAGGTGGAGCCCATGGAGCAAGCATCCAGGATGGGCGTGGAAGGGCCGAAACGTGCCGTGCTCCAAACGGACGACGTGAAGCCTGACCTCCCAATGGATTGAAGCGATAGCATGGGGTCAAGATGCAAAAGGTCAAGCACTAGCAGGGGCGGTCCAAGCAGAGACACACCATAGACTGGCAGCATCGAGCCGAGGCACGCAAAGCTCCTCAGAGAGGTGGACAGGTCCATGTGAACAGAGTCCAGTGCTGACAGAGAGCTGCCCAAGCAGGTCAAGCCATACACTAAGGTTGACAAGCCGAGGTGGGCGAAGCTTTGCGGCAACAAGAAACTCCCAAACTGAGCGATGTCCAAGGTCAAAAGGAGGGAGCCAGTGCGGCTGATGCCAAACGTGAACATCGTGGGTCCCAGCCGAACGCGGCTTCTCATGAACGTGGGCGGGTCCATGTGAGCGCAGTCCGACACTAGCAGCACGCTGCCTGCTCGACTGAAGCTTTGCAAGGAGGGCGATGACCCAAAGATGGAGAAGTCCGGCAAGGATAGCAAAAGGCCAAAGCGCACGTCCTGTGGAATCGGCAAAGCGGAGCCGGACCACTGCTTGCCTCGCAATGGAAGCGAGGGGCCCAGGTGCAAAGGGTCCAGCACCAGCACCAAGGGCCCGCATCGTGCAATGCCGCAAACAGAGGAGGCAGAACCAAGCCGTCCCATGCTGCGGGCCAATGAGCTGGAGCCTAACCGCGCGTGGTTCGGGGCCAAGAGTGGTAAGCCCGGTCGCGCCGTGCTGTGTGCCAACGAAGTGGGCCCCAGATCAACACAGTCCGAAGCTGGCAGCGTGAAGCCCAAGCGCACGCAGCCGAAGGCGGGCAAGGTGGAGCCGGAACGTCCGAAATCCCGCAGAGGAAGCGAAAGCCCCAGCATCGCAGGGTTCGGCGCCAAAGTGGGCGCGCCAAAACGGCCAGAGGACCTCGACAACAACAAGGGCCCGGAGTGCGTGAAGTCCAAAACCGACGCTGAAAAGCTGAGCCGCGCCATAGAACGCAGCGACGCAGAGGGTCCCAGCCGCAAAGGGTCGCAGGCTGGCAGGGAGGATCCAAATCGCGTGGCTCCCAAAACGGACGGACTGGAGCCGGACCATGCCGTGCTCCGTGCCGAAGGTGTGAGCCCCGGCCTTAAAAGGTCCAGCGCTGAAGCGGACAAACCAAAGCGAGCCAGGCCGGAGAGCAGCAAGGACGGGCCCGTGCAAGCATGGCCTTGGGGCAAAAGCAAGAAGCCCGGGTGCAGCAAATCCAGGGTGGACGCCAAGAGTCCAGTGCGAGCCAGGCCGAAGGGCAACATCATGCTGCCGAAGCGAGCCAAGGACCGCGAGGACGAGGGGCTGCCGAGCCTCGCAGAGTCCAACGCCGGCGAGTTGGAGTCTGACCGTGCAAGGCTCCTCGAGGGCGTGGGCGGCCCGGGCAGCGCATGGTCCGAGGCCAACGGCGGCGAGGCCGAGCGCCCAGCCCCAGACAGTGCCAGCAACGAGCCCATGCGTGCGAGCGATTGGAGTAGCGCCGGAAAACCCAAAAAGGCGAAGTCCACTGAGGGTGGTGGGAAGCCAAAATGCACGCGGCCGGTGGCGGGGAAGGTTGGGCCGGTACACAAGTTCATCCTCGATAGCAAGGGGCTGCCAGACTGCACGAAATCCAGCACCAACAAGGCTGGCCCCATCTGGGCCCTGCCAGTCATGGACATGGTCAGGTCAGTGCGTGTGGGCTGGCGCACGGACAAACTGGGGCCAGGGTGCAAGGAGTCCGAAGCAGACATCGGGAGCTCAGACCTGGCGATGCCCAAGGCAAAAGGCGAGAGGGCCAGCCGGACAAACTGCTGCAAGGGCGAGAGCGAGCCCGGCACTGCGAAGTCCGGCGCTGGCAGAGGCAAGTCCAGCCGCGCAAAGCTGCGAAGTGAGGACGCAGGCCCAAGGAGGAAGAGGTCCAGCGCCGGCAGTGTGGGGCCGAAGCACGCCCGCGAGATGGCTGGCAACGAAGGTCCCGCGCGAGTGGAGCTGCGAGGGGGCAGAGAAGGCCCAAGGCGCAGGGAGTCCAAGGCTAGCAAAGCCGAGCCCAGGTGGGAAGGGCTGCGCAAAGGCAGCAAGGAGCCGAACAAGGCGAGGTCCGAGGCCGGCGGCGTGAGGTCGCAACATACGACGCCGGTCGAGGACAGGAAGGAGCCCAAGCGCGCAAACTGCCGGGTAGGCATGAAGGCATCCATTTCTGCAGGGTCAGTCACCAAAGGTGGGGGCTCCAAGCGCGTCCTGCCCGACACCAGCGGAGTAAAGCCAAGTCGACCGGGTGGCCGGGGTGAAGGCGAGGAGCTCATTGAGCAACTGTCTGGCACCGAAAGCAAGGAGCCCAAACGCACACGGCCAGTCACCAGCGCCATAAGGCCGAAACACAAGGCACTCCGGGGCGACAAAGAAACCCCTGGCTGCGACACATCCGACACCAGCAAGGGCAAACCCAAGCGCGCCGAGCTGCATGCCGAAATCGCCGGACCCGGTCAGAAGGGTGGCCGCAGAAACAGAGAGAGCCCCAGATTCGCATGGTCCAGCGCCGGTGTCAAAAGGCCAGGGCGCACTTCACCGGTGGCTGGCAACATCGATCCGAGACACAAGGGCTGTCGCAAGGGCAGAGGGAGGCCAAGTCGGGCGTAGTTCAGAACAGGCGCCATCACGCCCAGCCACACATAGCTCCTGACCAACAGCAACAAATCCGAATTTATAAAGTCCGCAACCAAAGGCATCAAGTCCAGGCGCACCGTACTGACCGCCAACGGAATGGCTTCCAACCGGCAAGTGGACCTTAGCAACGGGCTCAGGCCGAGTCGCGTGAAGTCCAGCACCGAAGGCCCCAAGCCCAGGCGGCTGAGGCTTCGAAGTGAAGGCGCCAAGTCCAGATTCAGCGCCCCCAAGGGCAACGGAGACGGCTCAAAGCGCGCCAAGCCCACCACCGGCAACGGCGAGGCCAGCCGCGAGGAGCTGCGCGGCGGGGCCGAAGGCCCGGAGCTGCTGTGGTCCAACGTGGGCGGCGTAGAGCCCGAGCGGCACATGGAACGCATCGAGGCCGAGGAGTCCAAATGCAGAAAGTCCGAGGCCGGCGTGGAAGGCGCCAACCAACTCCGGCCGAAGGCGGAGAATGCCGGACCTCGGCGAAACGTGCTTTGGAAAGAAAGATGTTCCAAGAGCACGAAGGACATATGAAACCTGTCAAAAAGAGGGTGGGGAACATGTGTCAAACCTCACAAATACCCCATGGCATGTCCAAAGCCCTTACAAATAGCTCTGTGATTCTTGCTTCGAACTTCGATTGCTAAAGAGTGGTCCCTCGCTTCAAACTTCATCCTCTCGAACCTTCTAAACCCCATCCCAAAACCAACTCCTTGGGAGATGCAAAAAAGTATCTCGCCGCTTTCCCTTATGGAACCTCCAATTTGAGCTGGAACGGGTGGGGTCCTAGCGTCCAAGCTTTGATCTTCCCTCAAAATCACGAACCTCAGAGCTCGGTACCCTACATGCCATGATCAATGTGCCTTCGTGAAGATCCTTGCCTTGTCAGGGCGAAACCAAGGCAACCCAGCCCCTGTTGAATGAATGCTTTTGGACTGGTGATAACAACAAAATCCTGGCACTCGCAGTCGTTTAACAGGAAGAGCCATCTAGGCACCCGCTTCCTTTCTCGGTATGTCGCGACTAGACAAGGATGCACGGACCCCAGAAAACATGGTTTTCCAAAGTATCATGAAAAAACTGCGCATTGGGCGATCTGTGAGTTTGGGCATGCTGGTTTTTGCCCAGGACCCCATAGCATTTGGGTCCTTGCCCACTGCCCAAACTTGGGCCGAAACCGGAGTGGGCAACTCTTTTTCGTGGGAATCGATATCTCTGATGCAATCTTACAGGAAATGTTGGGCATTGGGCAACCACCAAGAAGCGGCTTAGCGCCTCAAAACCGAAACCTCCTTCCATCTTCCCCCTTGCCGAGCGGCCCATTCGTGTGGAGTCCCTCAAGGGCAGCAAAGGGCCCAAGTTCAGGAAGTCCAGCGCCAACGGCGCGGCGCCCAGCCGCACGCGGCTGCGGGCGGACGAGGAGAAGCCCAGGTTCACGAGATCGGTGGCCGAAGGCGTGGGTCCCATGCGTGCAAGGCCGCACGAGGAGGTGGTGGGCCCCGAGCGCGTGGGGCTGCGCGGCGCCGGAGAGCTGCCGGACTGGGCGTGGTCCGGCAGAGGCGTCGGCGGACCGGGGCGCATGAGGGACCGCGCCGAAGCCAAAGGGCCCGAATGCACAGAGTCCAACAAAGGCAGAGGAAACCCCAGGCGCGCGCTGCTGGAGGGCAACAAAGCCAAACCCAAGCGAGCAGAGCTGTGAGGGGACGACACAAAGCCTGGGTAGGCGCGGTCCAGGACCAGCAAATCAAGGCCAGGGTAGCAAAAGCTTTGGGGAGAGAGAGGCAGGCCCAGGATGACATGGTCCAGGGCCGGTAACATCGAGTCAGGCCGACTTGAGGCGAAGACTGACAGGCTGGCGCCCGTTTGCCCTGCGCTTCGCATGGACAAGGCGAAGCCCGTCTTCACAGAGTCCGTGGCCAACGACGCGAAACCTGGGCAAACAAATGACCGCGCCGGCGGCAGGCTGCCTGGCCGCAGAAGGTCCGGGGCCGGCGAGGAGAAGCCCATGCGGGTGCCGGAAAGCATGGGAAGGGTCGGCCCCATGCGCGTGAGGCTGTGGGGCAAGGGCGACAAACCCGAGCGCAAAGGGTCCAGGACCAACGCCGGAGGCTCGGAACGCGCCAGGCTGGACGCCGAAATCACCGGGCCCAGGTGAGCAAGGGATCTCGCTGGCAAAGGTGAGCCAACTGTCGCGAAATCAGAGGCGAACGGCAAGAAGCCAAACCGCCCAAGAGCGATAAGGGGCAGGACACTGTCTGAACAAGTATGGCTCTGCACAAGCAGCATAGGCTCAAGGTACAAAAAGTCCAAGACCAACACAAAGGGGTCAAATACTCCACGCCCACAAGCAAAGGGTGACAGCTCCAAGTGAGTCATGCTCCGAATCGGCATGGCTGCCTCAAACCTTGCAAAGTCCAGGGCAGAAACCAAAGCTCCAAGGTGGGCGAGGGACCGCAAGGACAAGGCGCTGCCCGGGTGCACGGGGTCAAAGGCCGGCAGCGACGGGCCAGAGCTGACCCTGGAGAGCGCGGAAAAGGAGGAGCCTCCGGTCATAGAGCCGCGGGTCGGGATCGGCGGGCCGAGTTGCAGGAAATCCAACACCGGCGTGGGTGGCCCGGAGCGCGCACGGCCCCAGGGCGGTGGGGAGGCTTCAAAGCGGCCACGGCCTCGCGATGGCAGGGTGGGGCCCGTGTGCAGGGAGTCAAACACCGGCGGCGGCGCGTCAGGGCGAGGAGCGCCAGAGATGGGAAAGGCCAAGCCCAAGCGCGCGGAGCTTTGCACCAACAGAGTGGGCCCCGGGTGCAGCAGGTCCAGAATCAAGGCTGCGGGTCCTGGGCGCGCGAGGCTGCGGAGTGGCAACGGTGGCCCGAACTGGGCAGAGTCCAGGGCTGACAGCGAGGAGCCCAGCGTCGTGCGGCTGGAAACCGGCAACGGGGGGCCCAGCTTCGCAAAGCTCTGCACTGCAGGGTGGGAGCCCATCCGCGCCCAGCCGCACGCGAAAGACATCGGCCCCAGGCGCGCACAGCTGCGAATGGGCGATGCCGGCCCGGAGCCTGCAAAGGCAAACGCCAGCAGCGAGGGGTCCAGGCGTGTGACTGCAAAGGCGGGTGGCGTCAAGCCGGGGCGACCCTCGCTGTGAGGGGATGGCGGCGGGCCCAGGTGGCTGAAATCCATGGCCAAAGCGGCTGCCCCCGTGTAGCCAGAGCTGCGCGAAGAAATCGAGGAGCCGAAACTTGTGAGGTCCAGCACAAAGAGTGGTAAGCCAGGTTCAGTGGCCGCAGAGGCAAACAGCGGCGACTCAAAGTGAGCAGGGGACCGCAGTGGCAGCAAAGGTCCGGGCTCCGCAGTGTCCATCACAGGCAGGCCCGGTCCGAGACACACAGCTCCGGAGAGTGGCGGAAGTGGGCCCGAGAGCCCAAGGCTCCGCAAGAATGAGGAGGGCCCCAGGCCTGCGCAGTCAGAGGCGGAGGTAGTGGGGCCAGGCCTGCCGATGCTGGAGGGTGACGGCACAGCACCAAGGCGACCACAGGACCTCAGAAACGGCGCAGGCCCAATGGCTGCCACATCCAGGGCCGGCAGCGTGAGCCCCAGGCACATCGCGCCAGAGGCCAAGAAGGGAAGGTCAAGACGGCCCCTGCTGTGCATCGGGGGCGACAGGCCCAAATGCAAGAAGTCGAAGGCGGGCAACAGAACGTCCAACGCACTGACACCCCATGCGAAAGAAGCTGAGCCCGATCGCGCGGAGGATCTGATCAACAGAGCAGGGCCAGAAGTGCCATGGTCAAAGGCTGGCAGAGAAAGGCCCAGCGTGGCGGTGCCAGAAATAAACATGGCAGACCCCAAACGAGCATGAGACCTGGGCGAATACGGCGGCCCCAGATGCAAGAAGTCCAGGATGGGCATCCCTTCCTCACCTTTGAAGGTTCTGCCCGTGATGAAGAGCGCAGGCCCCAAACATGCGAAGCTGCGGGTGAAAGGCGCAGGCCCGGAGTGGGCAGAATCCGTCACCGGCGGGAGCAGGCCTAGCCTCGACAGGCTCCAAACTGGCATCCGCAAGCCAGTGCCAGCAAGGCTCCTGGCCAACAGAAAAACTCCAAGGTGTAAGAAGTCCAAGACCGAGGCTGGCGCCTCCAAGCAAGCCGCTCCAAACATCAAGAGGGCCAACCCAGGGCGACCCGTGCTCCTCAAAGGCAGAGTGAGCTCACAGCGTGCAAAATCCAGGGCAGACGGCAGAAGCCCGGAGCGCACAGCGCTAAAGACGGGCGGAGCACTTCCAGAAAGGCCGGCGCTTTGGAGGGACGTCGCCGGTCCAGAGCTGGTCACATCAAGAGCCGACAGCATGGAACCCATGCGGCACAAGCTGGACATCAACAGCACTAGGCCCGGCCGCGCCACAGCTCTGGTGGGCAGAAAGGAGCCCGAATAAGCCGTGTCGAAGACGGGCGGGGTGGGCCCCACGCGTGTCAGGCCGGAGGGAGGCGAGGCTGGACCGGGCCGGCCCATGCTTTGGAGAAACGGCATGGAGCCCAGACCCAGGTAGTCAGAGACCAGCAGCAGAGGGCCGAAGCGCGACACGCTGGAGACCAAAAGGGCCAAGCCGATGCTGGCCACCGATCGCGCTGACAAGGATGGGGCCATGGCTGTGTGGTCCGGCGCCAGCAGGGAAGGGCCAAGCTCTATGCGGCCATAGGTCGGGAAGGCCGAGCCCGGGCGTCCCACAGACCTTGGCGAAAGCGTGGGGCCTGGCTCGCTCATACCCAGCACCGGCAGCAGCGCATCCAGGTGTGTCCAGGACCAGGCCGAGAAGGCCAAGCCCGGGCGGGCACGGCTGTGGGGCGACGGGGTTGAGCCCGGGTTGGCCATGTCTGGAGCCGCAGTCATCGACTCCGAGCAGCCCAAGCCAAACAGCAACGAGGTCGGGCCCGGGTAGGCGGAGTTCTGCATTGGCATCGCTGGGCCCATGGTCACATAGTCACAGGTGGACTGGGACGAACCAGTGCGGCTGAAGCCAAAAGCAAAGGAAGCGGAGCCGGTGTGGCCGAGAGACCTTGAGGGCAAAGAGGAGCCCAAATGCAAATAGTCCAAGGTGGGCACTGGAAGGCCGAACCTGCTGCAGCTCCACACTGAAACTGCCAGGCCCGTTCAGGCAAAGGACCTGGGCAGCAACATCGGGCCGAGCTTGGCCATGTCGAGGGTGGGCAAGGTGGAGCCCAGGCAAAGCATGCCACAAGGCGATGAGGTAGGCCCGACGCGGCCAGAAGATCGCATTGAGCAAGATAAGCCCATGTGCCCGTGGTCCAGCGGCAAAGGTGCCAAGTCCATGCGTGAAGCACTGTAGATGGAGAATGGGCTGCCTGCTCGGCCAAATGGTCGCATGGGCATGGTGAGCCCCAAGTGCAAGAAGTCGGGCACCGAAATGGATGACTCGAGATGTGTTCTGCTGAAGGTGGGGGAGGGCAAGCCCAAGTGCCCGACAGCACGCAGCAGTAGCATCGGCCCAAGGCTGGAGAGGTCAAAGGGCGGCATCAGCATTTCAGAGCGCGCGCATGACCGAGCCGACAAGGAGGCCTCCAAGTTCGCAGAGTCCGGCACCGGCAGCAACGAGCCCGGCCGGGTGGCGGCGGACACCAAGAGCGGCGAGCCCAGTCGCGTGTGGGACCTCGCAAGCAGGGAGCTGCCAGGCCGGAAGAGGTCCGGAGTCGGCGCCGCTGGGCCCAGGCGCGAGAAGCTTCGAGCAGACACCACAGAGCCCAGGGCCACGAAGTCGGCCGCCGGGGGCGACGGTCCAGAGCGTGCCAGGCCGCAGGGCGAAGGCGCGAAGCCCAAGCACCCGGAGCTCCGCGAAGATGGCGGAGGGCCCAGGTTCTCGCAGTCCAAAGCCAGCAGCGGCGACCCAGCGCGCCCCACGCTGAAAGTGGGCGAGGCCGGGCCCAAGTGCGCCGTGCTCCTCAGGGGCGGAGCCGAGCCAAAGTGCGCAAAGTCCAGTGCCGACATGGCCGGGCCGACGTGCAAGAAGCTCCTGATGGGCGGCGGGGCTCCCAACTGCATATGTTCAAGAACTGGCAGAGACGGGTTGAGTCGCGTCACCCCGCAGGCTGGGAAGGCAGCTTCCAGACGGCCAGGGCTGCGCAAAGGCAGCGTCGACTCCGGCTTTGCGAGGTCAAGTGCTAGTAGCAACAAGCCAGGCCTCACCGAACCACAGATTGAGCAGGACAGGCCAAAGCGCATCTTGCTCCGCGACAAAAGCGCTGGCTCGGAATGAGCAAAGTCAAGGACGAGCGCGGCACTTCCAATGCGGCCGAGGCTTTGCAACAATGCAACGGAGCCAGTTAGCAGCACATCCAGCAGCAACAAGGAGAACTCGAAGCGCGCAAGGCCTAAGACGGGCATTCCGGGCCCCGAGTGCGCACAGCCACGCAACGCCGTGGGCGAGCCTGGGTTGAGCAAGTCTGGGGTGGGCGCTGCAGGGCCGAATTGCGCAGGGCTCCGCAAGGGCAGCGACAAGTCGAGGTGCAGGTAGTCCACGGTGGGCGAAGGGACGTCAAAGCGCGCTGCGCTCATCACGGAGCACCCGGAGCCGAACCTTCCCACGCTGCGCGAGGAGGGCATGAAGCCCGTGAAGGTAGGGTCCGTGGCGGGCGGCAGAGAGCCTGGCTGCGTGCGGCTAAAGACTGGGGAGGAGCTGCCCAGTCGGGCGGAACTGCGGGGGGAGAGGCACAATCCCAAAAAGGAGACGTCAGAGGCAGGCGGCGTGGAACCCGAGCGGCTGCTGCCCCACGCAAAGGAGGGCGAACCACACTGCGCCGTAGATCTCAAAACCAGCATGGGCCCGGGATGCAGAAGGTCGAGGGTTGGCGCCATGAAGCCAGAGCGTGCGTGGCTGTGTACCAGAGGGCTTGACCCCAAGTGCGCCCGGTCCGGGGCTGGAAGTGAGGATTCAGGGCGCAGAGGAGCAAAGGCGGAGGAGGCCGAGGCTGCGTAGGCAGAGCTCCGGGGCAGCAGCGTAGGCCCAGATCGCGCAGAGCTGCGCGCGGGCAGCGAAACGCCGGGATGCAGAGAATCCAGGGCCGGCGTGGCAGAGTCGAGCTGCGCGCAGCTCCGCGCAGGTGGGGTCAAACCGACTGACACAAGGTCTGAGGTTGGCATAAACAAGTCCAAGCACACAGGGCTCCGAGCAAACAGGGAAAGGTCAATGTAGACATGATCAAGCACAAGAAGAGTCGAGCCCAGCATGGTCTTGCCAAACACTAGGAACGAGACATCCAAACACGCAAGAGATCTGATAAACAGGAGGGATCCCAAATGCAGAAAGTCCAAGGTCAGCAAAAAGCTGCCCATGCAAGCCAAGCCGGAGATAGAAGCCGACGGCTCCATGCACGCGCAGCTGTGTAACGACATGGTGAGGCCTAGCTTCGCAGAGTCCAAGGCTGGCGGTGTGAAGCCAAACCGCGACATGCCGGAGGTGGGCGGCATCGGCCCGTATCGCGCGGAGCCTCGCACCGGCAAGGGTGGACCAGGGCGCAGGAGGTCCAGAGCCAGCAAAGCGAAACCTGAGCATGCAAAGGCTTGCAAGGAGGGCGGTGGGTCAGGCATCACGTGGTCCAAGGCCAGCGGAAACGCACCCAACCGCGAGACTCCTGCCGCAGGCATCAAAGGCCCGCAGCGCGCAAAGCTGTGCGCGAACAGCACCAGTCCGGGGTGCAAGGAGTCAAGGACCAGCAGCACAAAACCAAGCCGCACGCGGCTCCGGACAGGTGGCAATAGGCCCAGATTCGCGTGGTCCGGGGTTGGCGTGGGGAGGCCCAGCCTGGTCATGCCCACAACTGAGGAGGTGAGGCCCGGGCGTGCGAAGGATCGCAGAGGCAGCAACAAGCCAGTCTTCACCACGTCAAGCAGGGGCGTCGACAAGCCCAAACGTACACACGACCAAGTGGGCAGGGTAGGGCCAAGGTGGGCAAAGGAGCGTAAGGATGGAGTGGATCCAAGGTGCAAGGAGTCCGGTGCCAACAGAGACACCCCAAACCTTCCCAGGCTGAAAACAAGGAAGGGCAGTTCCGAGTGCGCAAATGCTCGCAGCAGCAGCGGGCTGCCGGAGTGGGCAGGGTCCGGCGCCGGCGCCGGAGCTCCTAAGCGCGACATGCCCACGCAGGACGGAGTGGGCCCCGTGCGTGCCGTGCTGCGCAGGGACGTGGTGGGGCCGGGCTTCAGAAAGTCCAGCGGCGGAAAGGGCGGCCCAGAGCGCGCCACGCCAAAAGCCGGCAAGGTGCTGCCCAAAGCGCCGGAGCTCCGCACGGAGAAGCAGAGGCCGGGGTTGGTGAAGTCCGAAGCTGGCGCCGGCGGCCCGGAGCGCGCGCACTTGAAGGCAGGCATCGAGCTGCCCAAAGTGCTGGAGGACCTCAGCAGCGGTGGGGAGCCGAGGAAGGCAAGGTCCAACACGAGAGTCGAGGGCCCCAACCTTGCCGGGCCTTCCAGTGGCATGACTGGGCCCGGTTGGCCAAGGGACCGCATGAGCAGCGGCGGGTCCAAATGCGCGAAGTCCAGCGTGGGGAAGGGGCTGCCCAGCTCCACCGCGCCAAAGGCTGGCACGAAGAGCCCCAGGCGAGCGAGGCTTTGGGTCGGCATCAAGGAGGCCAGCGCAGCGCAGTCGGAGGCAGATGGGGAGAGCCCAAACCAGGTCAAGCCGAAGAGAGGCGCAGAGGCTCCAGCACATCCAAGGCTCCTTGCAGGAGACGTGAGCCCCATGTGGGAGCTGTCCAGAGGCAACATGAACAAGTCAAACCGAACTCTGCTAAAGGTAGAGAACGGCACACCCGAGCGCCCGAGGTCTTGCAGCAGCAAGCACGGGCCGAAGTGGACGGAGTCAAAGGCAAGAAGCAAGGGTCCCATCCGCGTCGCAGAAAGAGCAGACGGAGGAGCACCACAACAAGCCAAACCGCGGACGGGCAACGATGGCCCAAGGTGCGAAAAGTCCAAGAGCAACGGCACAGACCCAGGCTGTGACATGGACCGCAGCAGCGGAGAGGGACCAAAAATCACCGTGTCTGAGGCGGGTGGGCACGGGCCAAATCGAGCTGCGCTGGATGCCGGCATTGTAGAGCCATACCTCGCAGGGCTTCGGAAGGGTACGGCTGGCCCGATGTGCTGGCTGTCTGCCACCGGCATGGGCGCACCAACTCTCACCTGCCCGGAGGCCGGCAACACAGAGCCCACGCGCGCATTGCTCCTGGGCGAGGAGGTGGGGCCCGTGCTCAGGAAGTCAGAGGTCGACGTCAAGGACTCAGACCTACTCAGCTTGAAGGCCGAAAGCGGTGCACCACATCATCCCGAGCTGTGCGCCAAAGGCAAAGAGTCCGGCTGCAAGTGGTCGGACGTTGGCGTCGAAAACCCGGACCTGGCCACACCGAAAATCGGCAGCGCTGGGTCCAGGCAAGCAGAGCTGCGGGCTGAAGAGGCCAGACCCGGCGTGGCGAAGTCCAAGGGCGGCAAAGGAGGGCCCAAGCGCGTCATGCCGTAGGCTGAGGGTGGCAGACCCAAACAGCTGGAGCCTTGGGATGACAAAACGGAGCCGGACTGGGCGTGGTCAAGCGCCGGCGGTAAGGACTCAAAGCAGCCCAGCCCGAACGTCGGCGCAGAGGGGCCGATGTGGGCCGTGCTGCGTACAGGCATGGCAAAGCCACACTTCGCCATATCCAGGGGCGGCATGAAGAGGCCAAAGCGACCAAGGCCGAAGGGCAAGAAAGTGGAGCCAAGCCGAGCCATGCTGTGCAGAGGCAACATCAGCCCAAGGTGCGAAAATGCCAAAGGGGACATGGGAGCACCACATTGGACCATGCCAAAGGCGGATGAAGCTGGGTCTGCACGGCCGAGGCTTCGCATGGGCATCATGCTGCCCAAATCGCTGAGATCCGGCACCGGCACCAACAGCTCGGAGCGTGCCAAGCCGAAGACGGACACTGAGCTGTCAGGGTTTCCGGGGCTCTTGGGAGACAAGCTCAAGTCCAAATGGGCAAAGTCCAGCACAGGCAGGGTCAAACCCAGGAGAATCTTGCCGAAGATGGGGGTGGAGGAGCCAGGAGCCGCCTTGCTTCGAGTGGAGAAGGCCAGGCCAAAGTGTACAAAGTCGAAGAGGGGCGTGGATGGGCCGCACCTGCTGACACCCAAGATGGGCAGAGCTGGCCCGGGTCACCCCATAGCCCGCGGCAGCGACGGCGCGCCCGCAGTTACCAGGTCCAGGGCAGGCGACGGCGCATCCGTGCGCGAGGCCCCGGAGACGGAGGGCGCCGAGCCCGGCTGCGAACCGCCCCGCATGGAGGGTGGGGAGTCCGTGTGGAGGAGGTCTGGGATGAGTGCTGACGGGCCGGAGCGCGCTTGCCCGCAGAGCACCATGGCAAAGCCCGCACGGCCAAAGCTTTGGGGCGACGAAATAGGGCCCAAATGCAGGAAGTCCAAGGCCAAGAGCGAAAGGCCAAAGCAGCCAGTGCCGAAGGCGGGCAGAGCTACGCCGGCACGCGCACGGTCGCGAACTGGCAGAGCCAAGCCCAGATGGGAAAGGTCCAGCAGTGGCGTGAGGAGGCCAAAGCGCGAGACGCCCAGTGCCAACAAGGACAAGGCGGGGCGAATGAAGCCACGTGCGGACAGGACGGAGCCCAAAGTTTCGCTGTCCAGAGCCAGCAGCAACAGACCGAAGCAAGCCAACCCAAAGGCCAAAACTGTAGAAGCAGCTCGCGCAAGGCTTTGCAGAGGCAGGACGGAACCTGTCGTTACAAGATCAAGTGCTGGCAGCATCAAGCCCAGGCATACCACTCCATAGGCCAGTGCCGCCAGGTCAATGCGAGAATGGCTCCGCGGAAACAGCGGCAGCCCGGTGTGGATAGAGTCCAAGATTAACGGCAGCAGGCCCGGCTGAGCACAGCCGTACACAGACAAAGGCGGCCCAAGACAAGCAAAGCCTTGCAAGGGCAAGAAGGACTCTGTGTTCACAGGGTCCAAGGTTGACAGGGTCAGCTCAGGCCAAGCGACACCATAGACAGAGACCGACGATCCAGGCCAAAGGGAGCTGTGCAAGGACGTGCTGAAGCCTACCTGCATGAAGTCTAAAATCGGAGGTAAAAAGCCCAAGCGTGTCATGCCGAAGGCAAACATAACAGGGTCGAGCTGCACAGGTGTTTGGATGGACAACAAAGAGCCGGTATGCACAGAGTCAGGGGCAAAGAGAGGGAAGCCAAGACGTCCCATGCCATACATCAGCGGAGGAGGCCCGGGTTGTACCATGGACCTCAAGGGAATCAAAGAGCCCAAATGTATGAGGTCCAGCACGGGCAGCGACGAGTCCAGGCACGATATGCCATACACCAACGGCAACACTTCGAATCGCGCCATGCCCCGAACAAACAACAGACTGTCCATGAGCACAAGATCAGGCGCCGACAGCGAAAACTCCAGCCGACTGATGCCATAGGTGGACAGCGCCAGACCTGGGCGCATGGAAGACCTCAAAGGCATGGCCAAACCAACGCAGGCGGGGTCCAACATGGGCAACAAAAGCCCCAACCGCACCACGCCATAGGCGGACGAGGCCAGGCCCAATCTGGCGAATCCACGAGGTGACACCAACAGCCCCAAGCTGGCCGGGTCCAAAAGCGGCAGTGAAAAGTCCAGGCGGCTGATGCCGAAAACCAACAAGGCCGGCCCAGTGCGGGTGAAGGTGTGAGTCGAGGGCGGAAGTCCAGTGTTTGCAAAATCCAGAATTGGCGCCGGAGCACCCGAGCACGCCAGACCATACGAGGGCACCGAAGCGCCGCAGCGGGCGAAAGTTTGCAACGACATGGCCAAACCCGCCGACACGAAATCCAAAGCCGAAGGCAAAACGTCCGGCCGGGAAATGCCATACATGGAAGGCGCCAAGCCAGTGCGCAAGAAGCCACGCAGGAGCAATGCCTCGGCAAGGCACGGAGGGGCGGAAGTGGGAGGCCTGAGTTGTGTCATCCACCTTACCAGAAGAGCCCACAGCCCCAATAGATCTATAGCTTCTATGGGGTCACCAACTGTGTTTGGGGGGGGAAAGTATCTGCTTGCCCGGTCAGCAAAGGGTGCGACCCCCGACCCCATCGGCTTACAGCGCGACCTTTTTACACACTTTTTCACCCATGTTGATGGGGTTCCTTCAAGGGGCTCAACGTCGATTGACATTGGGTACAGTTGGTCGCTGCGACACCAAGGAACCGGGTGTGTTGCGAACAAACAACACGCGCAGTCAATATCAGGTGCTTGTCATTCAAGCGAGTTCTCAAGGAACAGCCATCTATCATATTTGTTTAGGCTGCTACCAAGCAGCACAAAACGTATAAGTTCAATCTGGCCCATATCCCTTTCAAGCTAACAAGATCGGGAATGAACATCACCGGCAAGCAACACAAGAGGGAGGTTGTTCTGTTCCGTCGTCCCTCGGCCAATCTGTTGAAGATTCCACAAGTGCAACCCAACACCCCTCTTGTTCCATGTGACTAGTAACCCAAGTGCTAAGCAGCCCACTTCAAAACGCAGAGATGGGTCACGCAGAACATACTTCTGAGCAGGCGAGTGATCAACTTCCAGAACAACAACCTTGAGCTGACCCCGAAATATCTGCCAATGTTAGACCGAAACTACAAGGATAAATCATAGATCCCCAACTGAAGGTGGTTTACAGCTGGGACGGCACCTCCCCAATTCCCAGTGCCAGGGCGCCGGTCCGATGTTCACAAGGTCCGGCACCGGCGAGAAGGGCCCCAGGCGGCTGGCGCCGTAGGCCAAGGGCGCCGAGCCCAGGCGCAGAGATCCCCGCGGAAGCGGCCCCGGCCCCAGGCTGGCGCGGTCCAAGAGCGGCAGAGGAGGCCCCAGACGCACCAGGCCGGAGGCCGAAGGAGAGAGCTCCGCGCGCAAGAAGGAGCGCGAGGAAGGGGAAGCCTCCGTGCAGGCCGAGTCCAAAAGAGAAGGAAACGGGCCCAGACGGCTGATGCCATAGGCCGACATGGAGAAGCCCAGGCAGGCGAAGCCGTGCAAAGAAGGTGCGAAGCCGAATTGGGCCGGGTCAGGAACTGGAGGCAGAGGTCCCAAGCGCGAGAGCCCGTAGGCCGAAGGCGCGGAACCCATGTGCAGGAAGGAGTGCAAGGGAGGAGAGCTGCCCAGGTTGGCAAAGTCAAGAGGAAACAAAGGCGAGTCCAGACGCAGCAAGCCGTATGCAGACAACAAGAAGCCACAGCATGCAAGGGACCGTAAGGACAGGGCTGGCCCGATTGTCACGAGGTCCAAGACCAGAGGCGAGAACTCTGACTTCGAGAACCCGGAGGTGGGCAAAGAGGGGCCGAGGCGCACAGAGCTCTTCAGCGGCGTGGGTGGGCCAAACTGCGCAAAGTCCGGCAAAAGCAGCAAAGATCCCAGGCGCACCATGCCAAATGCCGGCAAGGCAGGCCCCAACTGCGCGGGCGACCGCGGCAAAGGCGGCGGGCCTGCGTGCATGGGGTCCAGGGTTGGCAGGGTGCTGTCCAGCCGGGTAGAGCCGTAAATCAGGAGCGCCAGGCCGAAACACACGGAGCTGTGGAGCGGTAAAGGTGCCCCGATGTTCGCGAAGTCGACCACAGGCGGCAGGGGGCCAGGGGTCACCATGCCGTAAGCCGGCAGCAAAGAGCCTAGCCTGCAGAAGGATTGCAGCAATACGGAGCTCTCTGGATGCGCAGAGTCCAGCAAAAGCGGCAAAGAGCCGGTGCATGTCATGCCATAAGGAGGTGGAGAAGGCCCCAAACGCGCAAACGACCTGATTGGCATCGGCGCCTCCAAATGCACAGGGTCAAGCACGAACAACAAGAAGCCCAGACGGTTAAGTCCGTACACCAGCAAGGCAAGCCCAAAGCACACGTGACTTCGAGCCAGGGGCGGAAAGCCGAAGTTGATGAAGTCCAAGGCCAACAGCATGGGGCCAGGCCTCGTCATGCCAAAGGCCAAAGGCATGAATCCGGGCCTTGCGGGCGCCCGCAGAGATGCGGCCAAGCCCGGCTGCACGTGGTCCGAGGTGGGCGGCGGCAGGTCCGAGCGGCTGGCGCCATAGGCGAAAAGCGGAGGCCCCAGTCGCATGAAGGACCTGGTCAACGACGAGGAGTCGAGGCAGGCAGAGTCCGAGGCGGGCGGCGGACTTCCCAGGCGTGCAAGGCCGAAGGCAGCCGTGGGAGAGCCCGGCTGCAGGAAGGTGCGTGACAACGTGGAAAGCCCGAAGCAGCTCGTGTCAAGGACGGGCAAGGAGGGGCCGGGACAGGTGCAGCCAAAGGCCGGCAAAGGGGAGTCAGGGCGCATGAAGCCTTGGGGAGGCAAGGCGCTGCCAGAGTGCGTGAGGTCCAAAATCAGCAGCAACAGTTCAAGGCGAACCAGGCCATACACAGGCGATGGCAAGTCCATTTGCAAGGAGCTCTTGAGTGACGGCGATGGCCCCAGCTGAGCAGAGTCAAGAAGCGGCGGCAAGGGGCCTGGCCGGCACAGCCCGAAGGCTGGCATTGGCGGGCCAGGCCTCACGTGGCTCTGCAGGAACATCAGAAAGCCCAGCCTGACAAAGTCAAGGGCTGAAGGTGAGGGCTCAAGCCTAGACACGCCATAAGCTGGCGAAAGAGAGTCAGGTCGGCAAGGCCCATGCAGTGGCATGATCGGCTCCAGCCGCACAAGGTCCGGCGCCAACAAGGGTGGGCCCAGGCTGGAAATGCCAAAAGCGGGCAGCAGCAGCTCCGAACGGATGTGGCTCCTCAAGGACAAGGTGGGCCCGGAATGGGCGGCATCCAACGCCAGAGGCAAGGGCCCCGAGCGCACCAGGCCATAGGCCGACGGAGCAGGCCCAAGCCTCGCAAAGCTGCGGGGGGGCGACGCGGGTCCAGGCTGCGCCATGTCCGGCAGTGGCAGCAACACCTCTGGTCGCGAGAGACCGTAGGTGGAAAGTGAAGGACCCAGCCTTGCATGGCTACGGGTTGACAGCGGCGGGCCCGTTTGCATCACGTCCGGAATGGGCAGCAGCAGCCCAGGGCAGGTGAGCCCGTAGACTGGGGGCGCCGGCCCAGTTCGAAGAAAGCTGTGAGGCGAAAGCAGCAGTTCCGGGCTGACAAGATCCAAGGCGAACAAAGAAGAGCCTACACACGACAGGCCAAAGGCAGGAGGCGGGAAGCCAGGGCACATGGGAGTTCTGGCCGACGGAAACGAGCCGACGCTGCAGAAGTCCAAGACCGGCAACGATGTGCCAGGCCAGGTCAGGCCATACAACAACAAGGAGGCATCCAAACAAACGGGCCCGCGCACTGAAGGGGCGCTACCTGGCGTGGCGCGGTCGAGCGCCGGCGAGGATGGACCGGGGCGCGTCAGGCCAAACGCCGGCGGCGTTGGGCCGAGACGCACGAAGCCACGAGCAAATAACGGCAACCCGATATGGATGGAGTCCAGCGCCAAAAGTGGCGGCCCCGTCCGTGACAAGCCGTAGGCAGGGAGAGACGGCCCCAAACAAACAGAGCCTTGCAAGGGCAGGCTGGGGCCAAGGTTAGCCACATCCAGCGCCAGTGGCGAAGAGCCCAAGCAGGTCATGCCATAAGCGGGAGGCATCAGGCCCAAACACAGGAAGGACTTCAAAGGCAAAGGCGAGTCAAGGCTTGAGTGGTCCAAGACCAACGGTATGAAGCCGAGCTTGCACATGCCATAGACGGAGGGCGACAGGCCGAACCTGGCAAAAGCCCGCAACAGCAAGGCAGGGCCAAGGTGCAAAAGGTCCGACACCGAAAGGCTCGAGCCCGGTAGGTTTAGGCCGTAGGTCGAGAGGCTGAAGCCGAGACGCGAAGGGCTGCGGGGGGGCGACAAAAGCCCTGAGTGCGCGTGGTCCAGCAAGGGCAGGGACGGCTCCAGGCGTGTCATGCCATAGATGGCCGCGGCCGAGCCGAGTTGAATGGAGCTGCGCAACGGCGGCGGCGAGTCCAGCTGCAGAGGGTCTGGCAAAGGTGGCGAGGCATCTGGTCGAGTCATGCCGGAGACCGGCAGACAGGAGCCCATCCGCACAGAGCTGCGGGGAAAAGGCGCAGGCCCAATGTTGGCCGGGTCAGGGGGCGGCAAAAGAGCGCCCAAGCAGCATAGGCCGTAGGCCAACAGGAGCAGGTCAACCCAAGCAAAGTTCCGCAGAAACAAACTGCTGCCAAAGATGCTGAGGTCTGGTACTGACGTCAAAGGGCCGAGGCGTGCCAGCCCAAAAGCCAAAAGCAGCAGCCCTGAACGAAGGAAGCCCTGCGACAGCGGCATGGGTCCTGGGTCTACAGGATCCAGCGCCGGCAAGGGCAGGCCCAGTTTCGACAAGCCGTACACCAAGAGAGGCGCGCCCATCTGCAAGAAGCTCCTCAAAGGCATGCTGGGCCCCAAACTGGTGTGATCCGAGGCCGGCGAAAGGGAGCCCAGGCACACCGAGCCGTAGGCGGACAATGAAAGGCCCAAACGCATGTGGCTCCTGGGTGGCAGGCTGAAGCCAGGGCTCACAAAGTCCAGAGTCGGCGAGCTCGGGCCCGGTCGGGTGAGCCCGAACACCGACAAGCAGGAGCCGGGCCGCATGGACGCCCGCAGCGACGACGCCGGACCAAGATTGGCCGAGTCCAGCATAGGCAGGCTAAAGTCAAGTCTGCTGAGCCCGTAGGCGGACGAGGTGGGTCCTGGCCTTATGAAGCTTCTGGGCAAGAGCGAGCTGCCGGCCTGGGCGTGGTCCAAAGGCAGCAGCGGCAAACCAATCCGCATCAGGCCATACGCCAACAACGCACTGCCCAGGCGCATGAAGCTGCGGAGCAACATCGGGGGGTCCAAATGGATATGGTCTGGCGCCAACGTTGAAGCGCCCGGCTGGCAGGTTCCATACACCGGCGCCACCAAACCCGCGCGGACGGAGGTCCGCAGCGAAGCGCTGGAGCCGAACTGCGCGAGGTCCGGCGCCGGGAGCGTGGAGCCCATCCTGGTCAGGCCGTATGCGAAAATGGTGCTGCCCAGACACGCGGAGGTCTGCAAAGGCAAAGGCACGCCCAACTGCACCCAGTCCAATGCCGAAAGCAAGGAACCCAAACAGGACATGCCAAAGGCCGGCAAGAAGGAGCCCATGTGCACAGGGCTTCGTGGCGATGGCAAAGAGCCCGCGTGGATAAGGTCCAGGGTTGACGAAATGCTTTCCAAGCATCCCAAGCCATAGAGCAACAGCAAGGGGCCTGTCCGGAAGTGTCCTTGCAAGGACAGGCTACTTCCTAGGTGGATGGAATCCAACACAGAAAAGGAGGGCTCCAGGCGCGAGAGGCCGAAGGCCAAAGGAGTGGAGCCAAGTCTGAGGTGCCCTTGGGTCGGCAAAGGCGGGCCAATGTGCACAAGGTCCAGCGCAGGTGAGGGCGGCCCCATCCTTGAGAGGCCGTAGGCGGGCAAAACCAGCTCGAGTTGCAGGAAGCTCCGCGGCGGCAGGAAGGAGCCCAGCTGGATGAGGTCAAGCACTGGCAGGAAAGGCCCGATCCGCGAGAGGCCGTAGGCGAAAAGCGGCAAGCCCAAGCAGGCAGAGGTGCGAGGCGAAGGTGAGGAGCCGATGGAGATCAAGTCCAAAACCGACAGCAACAAGCCCGGCCTGGCGATGCCATAAACCGGCGCCAGTGGGCCAATGCGCACAAGGGCCCGCGTCAGCAACAAGGCGCCAGTGTGGGTGTGGTCCAACACCAGCAACAGTGCGCCGGCGCAGCTCAGGCCGTAGGCCGGCAGGAAGGACCCCAAGCAGGCGTGGCCGCGCAGCAAAGGGGTCGGACCGGTGGTGATGTGATCCAAAAGCGGCGGGGAGCTGCCGAGCCGAGTGATGCCGTAGGCCGACAGCAGGAGGCCGAGCCGTTGGAAGGCCCGAGCAGAGGGCGCTGGGCCCGCCATGATGAAGTCCAAGGCAGAGGAGGACAGCCCCAACCGCGCCATGCCAAACACAGAAGTGGGCGGGCCCGCCTGGCTGAGCGTGCGCGGCGGCAGAAGGGGGCCCGCGTGAATGAGGTCCAATGGCAGCAGCGGGGCTCCCAAGCGCATGATGCCATAGGGAGGCAGCAAGGGTCCGGTGCGGCAGGGAGACCTCAACAGCAGCAGTGGCCCCAAATGCCCAGTGTCCAGCACCAAAAGCGGCGGCTCCAACCGCGCCAGTCCGAAGGCGGACGGTGATGGCCCAGAGCGCGTAAAAGTGCGGGGCAAAGGTGGCGGGCCCAAGTGGACGAAGTCCGAGGTGGGCGTCGGCGGGCCAAGCCGCGCTACTCCATAGGCCGGCAGAAGAAGGCCGATGCACAAGAACCCGCGCGCAGGCGCAAAGGAGCCAAGATGAACGTAATCTGGAACCAGCAGTGGGGACCCCAAGCGACAAATGCCATAGGTTGGCAAGGAGAGGTCAGTGCATAGGAGGTGCTGCAGCGACATGGGAGAGCCGAGGCTCACAGAGTCAGGAGCTGGCAGGAGGAATTCAGGGCGTGTCATGCCAAAGACCAACAGCAAAAAGCCTGCCCGCAAGTAGCCGCGCAGCAAGAGAGAGAGGTCCAGGTGAATGAAGTCCATGGTGGAAGGAGCCAGGCCCAAACACGACATGCCATAGGCAAACAAGAAAGCCTCCGAACGAGCGAAGGCTTGCAGTGGCAGTGCAAATCCGGGACTCGCAGAGTCCAGTAACAACAGGATTGAGTCAAGGCAAGTCATGCCGTACATAGAGACTGCCAAGCCAAGATGCACAGGGGACCGTGTTGGCAGCAACGAGCCGATGTTTGCGGAGTCCAGCAATAGCGGGGAAAACTCAAGCCGCACCATGCCGAAAGTGAGCAGGCTGGGTCCCAGTCGAGCAGGACTCCTGGTTAATGACGAGGCATCTGCACTGAGGAAGTCCAGAATAGGCGAGGGCGGCCCCAGGCAGCACACGCCATAGGCAGGCATCGGGCTTCCCATGCGCGCAGGTGACCGCAAGGGCGGCAGGCTGCCAGTGTTGATGAGGTTCAGCGCCGAAAGTGGCGCGCCAGGGCGTGCACACCCGAAGGCTAAAGGAGAGGAGCCAAGGTGAGCAAAGGTGTGCAAGGGCGTGGAGGGGTCCATGTGCACCGAGTCCGGGGTTGACGGCAACAAGCCCAACCGAGACAGGCCGTAGACCAACAGAGCCGAGCCCAGACACACGGACGTCCGCATTGGCGACAGGCTGCCGGAGTTCGTCATATCCAGCACCAACAGCACAGGTCCCAAGCTCGACAGGCCGGAGGCTGGCAGCAAAGGGCCCGAACGCGCAAAGCTCCGAAGAGGCGTCGGCAGGCCAAGGGCGATAGAGTCCAGCGCCGGCGTCAAAGGGTCCAGCCGTGCCATGCCAAAGGCCGACAAGGGCAAATCCAGGCGTGCGAGACTTCTAGGGGAAGGCGGCGAACCTGACATCACGAGGTCCAAGGCGGAAAGCGACGGCTCCAGGTGGTGCATGCCATAGGCAAACAGCAACGGCCCGATTTGGAGGTGGCTCCTCAGCAAAGTGGAGCTGCCGGAAGTGGAAGAGTCAAGGGCCGGCGGTGGAGGGCCAATGGCAGTCATTCCATACACTGAGGTCGAAAGACCTAACCTGGCATGACCTTGCAATGACAACAAGCTGCCAGCTGACAAGAGGTCCAGAGTAAATGATGGAAGCCCCAACCAGACCAGGCCATATGAGAACATGAAAGACTCAGCGCGCGCCCAAGTTTGCAGTAACAAGCACAAGCCGATGTGCACAAAGTCTAGCACTGGCAGGAAAGGGCCCAAGCGAGTCATTCCATAGGCCAGCACCAGCACTTCCAAACGCACGGGCGACCGAGGCAACAAGGATGAGCCCAAATGGACAGAGTCCGGCGCAGGCGGGGGAAATCCTGGCCGCGACATGCCGGACGCTGGCATGGCTGGACCAGGTTGGGCAGAGCCTCGCAGGGAGAGGGTGGACTCCAAGTGGATGGAATCAAGCACCAGCGGCAAGGCGTCCAGCCAGGACAGGCCAGCCACAGAGGTCGAAAGCCCAGGTCGCACAAAAGACTGAGGCGACAGCAGGGAGCCCAAGTGGATGAGGTCCAGCATGGAGAGCGGCAAACCTGTGCGGGCCATGCCGTACACTAACAGAGTGGACCCGGCGTGGAACATGGACCTTGGGGGCAGCAGGGGGCCTAGGTGAGAAGAGTCCGGCACCAACAGCGGCAACTCCAGGCGCGACAGGCCGAAGGCGGACGTCATCAGGTCCGTTCGGCAGAGGCCCCGCAAGGACGAGGAGCTGTCCGGGCGCACGGAGTCCGAAGCCGACAGAGGCAGCCCTGGGCGGTTCATGCCGTAGGCGGGCGGCAAGGGCCCCAGTCGCAGAGGGCCGCGGAGAGACGAGGGGCTGCCGGAGATGGAGTGGTCCAACACCGAAAGCGACGAGCCCAGGCGCGCCATGCCAGAGGCCAAGGGAGTGGAGCCCAAACGCGCAGAGTTGTGGGGAGGCGTCGGAAAGCCCAAATGGATGCGGTCCAGCACGGAAAGGCTCACGTCCAAGCGACACATGCCATAAACTGGCGGGACCGAGCCAGGGCGCATGTGAGATCGGAAAGGCAGGCTGCTGTCCATATGCACGAGGTCCAGGGTGGGCGGAAAGGGGCCCAAGGTCGACAGGCCGTAGGCGGAGGGCGAGAAGTCAGGCCTCAAGAGACTCCGTGTGAACAAGGGCAAGCCCATGTTGGCGAAGTCCGAGGCCAGCAAAAACAGGTCTGATCTGGTCATCCCATACACCAACAGCGCGAGGCCAATACAAGCAAGGCCTTGGGGCAGCAAGCTGGGGCCGGTGTTCACAGGGTCCGGCACCGGCAGAGGCGGTCCCATCCTGCAGACCCCATAGGCGGACATAGAGCTGCCAAGTCGGATGAGGCTCCTGGGAGGCAGCGGAAATGCAAGCTGCGTGAGGTCAGGCGCCGGCGGCAGAAAGCCCAAGAGTGTCATGCCGTAGATGGGCGCCGCAAGCCCTGATTGCGCGTGGGTGTGTAGCGGCGGAAAGGAGCCAATCGTCACAAGGTCCAGCACTGACGTGGGCGGAGCAGGCCGAGACATGCCGTAGGCCAACAGCGTGAGGCCCGAACAAGTGGAGCCGCGCAGGGGAGGCGAAAGCCCAAGGTGGATGAGGTCAAGGATGGGCGAGGGAAGGCCCAAGCAAACCATGCCGTACAGGGACAAAAAGACTTCCATCCGAGCAAAGGAGCGCGGAGAAGGCGAAAGCCCCAGGCAACCAAGATCCGGAGCGAACAACGCCGGGCCCAACCTCGACACGCCAAAGGCCAACAAGGCACTGTCCAAGCGCGCAGGGCCTTGCAGCAGCATCGGGGATCCAGACTGGATGAAATCCAGCACCAGCAGCAAAAGGCCCAGCCGTGACAAGCCGAACGTGGGGAGAGTGGAGCCGATCTTGATGAATCCGTGCGAAAATGCGGAGGATGCCATGCAGGCGGGGTCCAAGGCAAACACCAAAGAGCCTGGCCGGGTCATGCCATACACCAGCAGAGGTGCGCCGGCGCGGATGGAGTTCCGCAGCAGCGGCGGTGGGCCTGGGTGCGCGAAGTCAGGCGCCAGAGGGGATGAGCCCAGGCGCGACATGCCGAAAGCCGACGGCAACGGTCCAAGCCTGGCAGGGTGCCTGGGCGGCAGAGGAGGGCCCAGGTGCAGAAGGTCCGACGCCAACAGCATAGGTCCCGACCGCGTAATGCCATACACCAACAAGGCCGAACCGCAGCGGACAGGCGTGTGCGGCGACGCCGGAGGGCCGAACTGGATGAGATCCAGAGCAAGCATGGAAGGCTCTGGCCGGCTCAATCCGGAGGCGGGCAAGGAGGCGCCAGGGCGAGCAAAGCTGTGCAGGGGCGTGGTGGGGCCAAAGCTACCAAAGTCTGGTACTGACATGGTGGAGCCCAAACGCACCAAACCATAGACAGGTGCCGGAAAGCCCGGCCTCCCAAAGCTCCGCAAGGGCAAGGGCGGGTCCGTGTGCACAAAGTCAGTGGCAAGCGGCGAAAAGCCGAGACATACCATGCCGTAGACAGGCAGGCCAGAGCCAATCCGGGCAGGATTGCGCGCCGACAGCCCGGAGCCCAACCTCACAAAGTCCAGCGGCGAAATGGAAAAGTCAAGTCGCACCACGCCATAGGCCAACAACAAGGGCCCAGCGCAAGCATGCATTTGCAGCAGCAGAGAGGAGCCCGCCGTGATATGGTCCAGGGCTGGCAGAATTGGCCCAGGCCGTGTCATGCCATACACTGGCGTGGCGGGCCCCACCCGAACAAAGCTTCGAGGCGGCAGCGAGGACCCTGGGTGCAGAAAGTCCGGGACAGGAAGCGCCGGACCCAGGCAGCTCATGCCATAGATGGGCGTGGAAGGCCCAAAACGGCAGTGGCCTTGCAGGAAGGGTGTTGAGCCCGAAAACACGGAGTCCAGCGCCGAGGGTGGCGGCCCCAGGCGGCCCATACCATATGGCAGCAACAGAGAACCGCAGCAGGCAGAGCTCCGAAGAGAAAGCGGTGGCTCAGGCTGAACAAAGTCCAAAGCAGAAGGCGAAAGGCCCGGCCGGGACATGCCGAAGGCCAAAGGCGCGAGTCCTAAGTGCAAGGATCCCCGCATCAACGAGGAGGGCCCCAAATGGCTGAGATCCAGTGTGGGCGTCGGCACGTCCGGGCGAGTCATGCCATACGCCGGTGGAGATAGCCCAGTGCGCGCAGGGCTGTGCAAGGGCGTTGGGCTGCCAGGGTTCAAGAGGTCCAGCGCGAGCAAAGACGAGTCCAGGCGGTTCATGCCGTAGGTGGGCATCGGGGCGCCCAGGCGGATGAGCGACCGCAGAAACGTGGTGCTGCCGAGGTTCGAGCAGTCCGACGCCAACAGAGACGAGCCCAGGCGCAGCACCCCATAGGCCGGCAGCATGGGGCCTGCGCGCGCGTAGGAGCGGAGTGGCATGGGAGGGCCCAAGTGGAAGAGGTCCAAAGCCGGCAAAGTGGGGCCAGGCCGCTGCATGCCATAGAGAAAGGGTGAGAGCCCAGGCCGCACAGAGCTGCGCATGGAGGGCGAGCTGCCTGGGTGAATGAAGTCCAAGGGTGACATAGAGGAGCCAGGGCGCATCAGGCCATAGACGGGCGAGGTGGACTCAGGTTGCAAATAACTACGGGTTGACAGAGAGGATCCGATGTTGATAGGGTCCAGAGCTGACAGCATGAAGCCCGGCTTGGTCAGGCCAAACACTGGCAAGGTGGGCTCCAGATGCAAAGGGCTGTGCGGTAACGCGGCCGGCCCGGCGCTCACAGGATCCAGCGCCAGCAAAGGAGAGCCCAACTTGGCAATGCCATAGAGTGGCAAGGAGAGGTCAGTTCGGATGAGGGAGTGCAAGGACAGTGGAACACCCGGAGTGACAGTGTCCAGAATCAGCAGTGGCAAACCCAAACAAGTCATGCCAAAGGCTGGGGGCGGCAGCCCAAAGCGCACGGAGCCATGCAAGGGTAGATTGGGTCCTGGGCTTGAGTGGTCCAAGGCCAGCAGCAAAAGGCCCATCTTGCTGATGCCCCAAGCCAACAGCGGGGACCCCAGGTGGCAAAGGCTGTGCATCAGCAACAGAGACCCTAGCAGCACAGAGTCCAGTATGGAGGCCGGAAACTCGGGCCTTGCAATGCCATAGGCGGGCATGGCGGGTCCGATTCACATCGTGCTCCGGGGCGGCGGCGCCGGCCCAGTGTGCACAAAGTCCAAAGCCAAAAGCGGCGAACCCGAGCGCGACAGCCCGTAGGTGGGCAACAGAGGCCCGGAGCGCGCCGTGCTACGGAGAGGCGCCGACAGCCCAAGGTGCACAAGGTCAAGAACCAACAGCAAAGGGCCCAAACGCGTCCTGTCGTAGGCCAACAGCAAGGCGCCCGTGCGAACAAAGCTCAGAGTCAATGAAGACGGGCCCATGTTGACAAAATCCAACGCCAGCAAGGTGGACCCCGGGCGCGTGACACCGTAAGCGGACAACAGCAAGTCCAAGTGCAGGAAGCTATGCAGAGGCAAAGTGGGTTCTGCGTGCATACGGTCAAGCAAAGGCAAACTGGGCCCCGGGCAAGTCACGCCGTAGGCCGACAGAGAAGCCTCCGTGCGGACGGGGCTGCACGTTGACGGTATGAATCCAAGGTTGGCGAAGTCCAAGGGCGACGGGCAGAGGCCTGGGCGCACAATGCCGTAGACGGAGAGCGCGGGCCCGAAACACGAGAAGCTGTGGAGAGGAGGTGAGGACCCTAAATGCACGTAGTCCACCGCAGGCGTTGCGAGCCCCGAACGGCACATGCCATATGCCAACAAAGAGGAGCCGGGGCGCATGTGGGACCGCGGTGGCAACAGCAGGCCTGGGTTCAAGTGGTCGGGCGTCGAGGGCGGGGAGCCCAGACAAGTGACGCCGTAAGTGGGCATCAAAAGCCCTGAGCGGAGCATGCTGTGCAGGGGCAGCACCGAGCCAAGATGCATGAAGTCCAACACAGGCAAGGCGAAGCCTGGACAAGACATGCCATAGGCCAGCAAGGTGAGGCCCAAACAGCTAAAAGCTCGCAGAGGTGGGGTGGGGCCAGGATGAATGAAGTCCAGGATCAGCGTAGAAGCTCCCGGCCAAGCCAGCCCAAAGGCCGGCAGGGGCAGCTCAATGCGCATGGAGCCCTGCAGAGGCGACAAGGAGTCAGACTGCACGGAGTCCAAGACGGGCAAAGGCAAGTCCAAATGCGCAACCCCATAGGCCAGCGGCGAAAACCCCAGGCGCGCCGTGCTCCTTAGCAAGGAGCTGAAGCCCATGTGCACAAAGTCCAAGGTGGAAAGCCCCCAGCCCAGGCGGGCCATGCCATACACCGACAACACGCTGCCAAAGCGAACGGAGCTGCGGACCGGCGCCAAAGGCCCTGAGTTCACAGGGTCCAGCACTGGAGGCGAAGGTCCGGGCCGCGCCGTACCGTAGGGGGACATGGTGAAGCCTGGGCGCCAGTGGGAGCGCAAGGGCGGCGAAAGGCCCAGGTGCAGAAGGTCCAAAACCGGGAGCGACGAGCCCGGACGGCATAGGCCGTACGCTGGAGGGGTGAAGCCCAGATGAATGGAGGACCTCATGGGCGAGGGAAACCCCAAGTGCACAAGGTCCAGTGCAGGCATGGAGGAGCCTGGCCGCATGATGCCGTACACCGAAGGGCTAGACCCTGACCATGCGTAAGACCGCACCAGCAGCGAGCTCGCCCCAACAAAGCAGTCCTTAACCGCCGGGTTCGGGCCAAGCCGGGTGATGCCAAAAACCAACAGCGAAGAGCCCAGGCGAATATGGCTCCGCAGCGGCAAGAACGAGTCCGAGCTGAGGTGGTCAAGCGCTGACAAGCTGCTGCCGAGATGAACCACGCCGTAGGCCAGCAAAAAGAAGTCCATTCGCGCAAGGGCTCGGGTGGAAGGCATGCTCCCCAGATTCGCGTGGTCCAAAGCCGGCAAAAACAGGCCCAAAGCCGTAAGCCCAAAAGCGGACAGCCCCGGGCCCAAATGCATGAAGGACTGCAAAGGTGGCGAGAACCCGATTTGCGTGGAGTCCAAAGGGGGCAGCGAAGAGCCTAGGCACGTCATGCCGGAAACGGGCGAAGACAGACCCGCACGAACAGGGCTTTGGATAAACAAGATCGGTCCAAGGAAGATGTGGTCCAGCATCGAAAGGGTCAAACCCAGGCGCATCACGCCGTAGGTCGAAATGGAGCTGCCCATGCGAGCAAAGCTTTGCAGTGACAGCAGCAGCCCAAGCTGCACCAGGTCAGGGGCCGGCAACAGAAAGCCGGGCCGCGTCATGCCGAAGGCGGGCGGTGTAAGCCCCAATCGGCAGGAGCCCTGCAACGGCAACGGGCTCCCCAGTCGCACGGAGTCCGCGGCTGGCGGCAGCGGGTCCAGGCGCATCATGCCGTAAGCCAGCGGCGTCGGCCCGATGCGGCAGCTTGCCCTAGGCAACGAAGGCGAGCCAGGCGACACAAGGTCCAGCGCCGAAGGCGAAGGCCCTGGCAGGGACATCCCGTACATGGACAGCACCAAGCCCAAGCGCGCAAAGCCCCGCAAGGAGGCCGACAGCCCGAAGTGGCAGTAGTCCAGAGTGGAGGGCGCCGAGCCCAGGCGCGTCAGGCCATAGATGGGCGCCGTGAAGCCGAAGCGCCCGAAGCTGCGCGGAGACGAAGAGGCGCCGATGTGGACGAGGTCCGGGACGGGCAGAGGCTTTTCGGAGCGCACCGAGTGGAAGAGTGCCGGAGGCGCGCCGGTCCGCGCGAGGTTGTGCGTGGGCAGGGACGGGCCCAAGTTCACGGAGTCCAAGGCCGGTGGCAAAGAACCCAGGAGCACATGGCCGTAAACCGACAAGGGGGAGTCCAAGCAGGCGAATCCTTGCAACAACGAGACGCTGTCGAAATGCATAAGGTCCAAAGTTAACGGAAAGAAGTCCAAACGAGTCACCCCATAAACGAGCAAAGGCGGGTCAGGCCTGCAGAGGCTTTGCACAAGCATGGCGGATCCGCCGGTCATAAAGTCCGGTGTCGGCAAGCTGGGGTCCGGGCAAGTCAGGCCAAAAACCAACAGTAGCGGCCCTGAGCAGAAGAGGCTTTGCAGTGAAGGCATGGGCCCGGTATGGATGAGGTCAAAGGCTGAAGGCGGGGAGCCCAAGCAGGACATGCCGTAGGCAGAGGTGCACGAGCCCGTGCACACAAGGCTGCGCGTTGGCGAGGGGCTGCCAGGGCGAATGAAATCCAACGCTGGAATGGAGGAGCCTGGCCGCGCGCAGCCGGAGGGCGGCGAGGTAAAGCCGGGGCGCATGAGGCCACGCAACAGCGACAAGGGGCCGATCGCCATGTGGTCCAACGCCAAGGGAGGAGGGCCCAACCGCACCAGGCCGTAGGCGGACGGGGAAGGGCCCGAGCGCGCCATGCTGCGTGCTGAGGGGCTCGAGCCCGAGCTCACATGGTCCGGAACAAATAGAAACAAACCCGGTCTCAGGCAGCCATAGGGCGACGTGGGCGCGCCCAGCTGTGCGTGGCTGCGGGGAGGAAGCATTGAGCCCAAAGACAAGTGGTCTGGCACTGGCAGCAGAAGGCCTGGGACAGTCATGCCGTAGGCGGGCAAAGCTGAGCCGATGTGCATGTGGCTTTGAAGTGGCATGGGCAACCCCGAGTGCAGGAAATCCGATGCCGGCAACAGCAGGCCCAGCCAAGTCATTCCCCACAACGAGGGAGATGGACCAAGTTGAACAAGGCTACGTGCAAGCAAGGTGGAGTCTGGGTGGACAAGGTCGAGTGCAAAGGCAGGAAAGCCTGGCCTTGACATGCCGTAGGCCAACAAGAAGAGGCCCAGTCAAATGAGGCCGTGCAACAGCAGCACCAAGCCAAGACTGATGGGATCAGGCGCTGAGCATGGCGAGCCCAGTCGCGACATGCCCCAAATGGACATCAAGGCTCCGGGCTGCATGGATCCCCTGGGCAACAGCACTGGGCCCGAGTGGACGAAGTCCGAGATCGGCGGCGGCGGGCCGGGACAGGTGATGCCAAAGGCAGGTGTCGTGGAGCCGATGTGCATGAGGCTCCTGGGGGGCAGGGTGAGGCCAGCGCTGAGGAACTCCAAGATTGGCAGGCTGGGCTCCGGCTGAGTCATGCCGTAGATGGAGAGTGACAAACCCAGGCACGAAGGGCCCTGCAAAGGCAACAAGGCGCCTGGCTGCAAAAGGTCCAGGGCAGGCGTGGGAGGGCCCGGCCGCGTCAAGCCAAAGACTGGAGGTGTGAAACCTGGGTGCAAATAGCTGCGCGGAAACGTGGCCGGGCCGGTGCGGATGAAGTCCAAAGCCAGCAGCAAAGGACCCGTAGTGGCCGTGCCGTAGAGCGGTAGCATGGGCCCTGGCCAGATGAAGGACCGCAGCGGCAAGAAAGAGCCAAGCGAGATCAGGTCCGGAACCGGCAGTAACAAGCCCAGGCGCGTCATGCCAGACGCCAACAGGGGCAATTCGAGGCGTGCGTAGCCCTGCGGAGGCAAAAGCGGGTCCATGTGCACAAGGTCCAGCGCAAGCAAGAGGGAGCCAAGCCGAGAAATGCCATAGGCCGACAGAGTCGGGCCCAGCTGTGTGTAGCCGCGCAGGGGCGACAAGGCGCCTGGGTGAAGGAAGTCCAGCACCGGCAGCAGTGGGCCTGTGCGAGACATGCCATAGATCGACAAGGGCGAGCCCAGTCGCGCGAGGCCCCGAGGCGACAGAGGAGAGCCAAAGAGCACAAAGTCCAAGGTCAGCGCTGGAGCTCCTGGACAGCTCAAGCCATAGGCCGGCATCATGAAGCCAGGCCGCGCGTGGGATCGCAAGGGCGGCGGCGGGCCGGAGTGCCCGAAGTCCAAGGCCGAAAGGGATGAGCCCAAGCAAGTCATGCCGTACACCAGCAGAGAAAAGCCAAGTTGCAAATGATACCGCGGCGGCATCACAGGCCCCAAGTGGACAGAGTCAAGCACTGGCGAGGTAAAGCCAAGCCGCGCCATGCCGTAGGCCGAGCAGGCCGGGCCCAAACGCATCCACGCCCTCGAGGGCAAAATGGGCCCCAGCTGCACAAGGTCGAGCACTGGCAGTGGGGATGCCAGCTTGGCAATGCCGTAAGCGGACAAGGCCAAACCCAGCTGAGAGGAGCTCTGCATTGGCGAGGGGGCGCCGACGTGACAAGGGTCCAGCGGCAGAGGCGACGAGTCCAGTCGCACCAAGCCATAGGCCAACGAGACCAGGCCTGGACGTGCAAGCCCGCGCGAGGGCAGAAAGCTGCCTGTCACAGTGTAGTCTGGCACTGATAAAGACAACTCAGGGCGGCTGATGCCCCAGGCAGACATCAGCAACTCCAAGCACATTAGACCCTGCAGTGGCAAGGAAGGGCCCAGCTGGACAAGGTCAGGGATAGGCAAGGGCAGCTCTGGGCGGGTGAGGCCATAGACCAACAGCCCCGGTCCAGGGTGTGCATGGCCGCGCGTGGACATGGAGGAGCCCATGATGGCGTGGTCAGGAGCCAACGGGGGCGAGTCCGTGCAAACCATGCCATACACAAATGCCGAGGAGCCTGGTCAAGAGAGGCTGCGCAAAGGCAAGGGCAGGCCCATGTGCACAGAATCCAGGGCAAACAGCAGCAGGCCGGGCCGGGTCATGCCGTACACCAGCATGGAGGAACCAAGCCTGCCAAAGCCCCTCAGCGGGAGAGAGCTTTGCATGCTGCCATAGTCGAAGGCCAACAGCATCCTCCCGGTGCGCAAGAAGCTGCCAGCAGGCGTCGGAGGGCCCATACACACAGAGTCCAAGGTAGACAAGAGCAGCCCCAAGCAGCCCAGACCATAAGCAGAGAGCGGCAGCTCAGGTCATGCAAGGCCCTGCAAAGAAAGCAACGGCTCAAGCTGCACAGAGTCCAAGATCGACAGAAACAAGCCCGAGCAACTCACGCCGTAGGCCGACGGCGAAAATCCCAGGCGTGCAAAGCTCCGAACTGAGTACGAGCTCAGGAACTCGGCATAGCCTCTAGTCCTGAAGCCCTCAGTGACCACGCACATGCCGTAGATGAACATGGACGGCCCGAGCTGTGCGAAGCCCTGCAACAAAGAGGCCGAGCCCACAGTCACAAGGTCCAGCGCCGGAGGCGAGGAGCCCAAGCATGCCAGGCCGTACACAGAAGGCATCAGACCCAAGCGCGACATGCTGCGTGCGGATGGGGTACTTCCCAAGGCGAAGTGGTCCAGGGCCAACAGCGGAACCTCCGGGCGGGCCATGCCGTAGGCCGGAAAGGAGAGCCCCAAGTGGATGGAGCTGTGCAATGGCGGAGGGCTGCCCAAATGGATGTGATCCAGCACCAACAGCATGCTTCCCAGCCGCGACATGCCATAGACCGGCATCGCCAAACCGGTCCGCTGAAGACCTCGGATGGGCAAAGGGCTGCCAGAGTGCATGAAATCCAAGGGCGAAGTCGGTGCACCCAGGTTGCAGAGGCCATAGACCGAGGACGCGCTCCCAAATCACGTGGGGCTGTGCAGGGGCGAAAATGGCCCAAAGCCCACGTGGTCCAGCACGGGCGGGAACGCGCCGAGCTTGGTCACGCCGAAGGCGGATGAGGTGAAGCCCGTCCTGCAGTGCGCCTGCAAAGGCAGGGAAAGGCCCAGGTGCAAGGAGTCCAGTGCCAGCAGCGAGGGCCCCAAGCGCGTGAGGCCGTAGGCCAAAGGCGCCGAGCCCAGGCGCGCCGTGCTGCGGGGCGAAGAGGTGGGGCCGAAGGCGATAAAGTCCGAGGCGGGCGGCGGAAGGCCTAAGCGCACCATGCCGGAGGCTGAAGGCGCCGAGCCAAGGCGGCCAGGTGCGCGGGGCAGTGGCGTGGGGCCCAAATGCACAAGGTCGAGGGTCGGCAACAGAGGGCCCGTACGGAGCATGCCATAGGCCGAGAGACTCAAACCCATTTGCATGTAAGACCTTGGAAACAGTACTGGGCCCAGCTGCACGTGGTCTAAGGCTGAAGGAGACGAGCCGGGCTGGGTCACACCGTAGGGGGGCAACAAGGAGCCCGAACAAACGGAGCCTTGCACTGGCAAGGATGAGCCAAGATGCGCAAGGTCCAAGACAGGCATGGAGCTATCAGGTCGGCTCATACCGTAAGCTGATGGCATCAGCCCAGCATGCATGAGGCCACGTGGAGGCATGGTCAACCCAATGTTCACAGAGTCCAGTGTGGGAAAGCTCAAGCCAAGGCGTCCACAACCGTAGGCTGAAATCGAGGCCCCGGTGTGGATGTGGCTTCTCAGCAGCGGCAAGGAGTCTAGGTGAGCAAAGTCCAACAGGGGCGGTGAGGGCCCAAGTCGTGCCATGCCATAGGCGGAGGAGGCGAGGCCGGGACGGCCAGGTGCTTGCGACGACGCTGGGGACTCAAAGCTGGAGTGGTCCAGCACCGAAGCCGCCGAGCCCGAACGATTCATGCCGTAGGGTGACAAGGCCGAGCCAGGCCGAGAGGACGCCCGCAAAAGCAGCGGGGAGCCGAGGTGCACGGAGTCCAGCGCCAAAGGTGACGAGCCCGTGCGATGCATGCCGTAGATAGACGAGGTGAATCCCAAGCAAACGAAGGCTCGTGCCGAAAGCGAAGCGCCCGAAGAAACAAGGTCCGGCGCGAGCGGTGGCGAGCCCAAGTGCGTCACCCCGTACGCCAACGTCGCGGCGCCGGGTCGCATAGAAGTCCGCAGTGGTGTCGGCGGGCCCGGCTGCACCAAGTCCAGCGCAAACAGCAAAGGACCTGTACAGGTCATGCCGTACAGGGGGATGGAGGCACCTGGCCGAGCCAAGGCACGAGGAAGCAGCAAGAAGCCCGTGGTGGCGAAATCTGAGGCGAACAATAAGAAGCCAAGGCGCGTCAGCCCGGAAACAGCCAAGGAGGCTCCAGGGCGTGCGAGCGTGCGCGGCACCAAAGAGGGGCCGATCTGGATGTGGTCTAGCGCCAGCATGGGCGAGCCTAAGCGCATGAGCCCAAAGACCAACGAGCTCAAGCCGGGATGAGCGGAGCCGCGCAGAGAAACAGCGGAGCCCAGGTGAATAAGGTCCAGGGCAAACAACGGCACGTCCGAACGGCTCAGCCCATAAGCCGTCGTGGCAAGCCCGAGTTGAGCCGGGCTGTGCAGAGGAGGCAAGGACCCGAGGAGCACAAAGTCAGGCACTAACAGCACGAAACCCGTGCGGCTAATGCCATAGGCCGACATCATGGGGCCCGTGCGCGCGTAGCTGTGTGAAAACATGAAGCTGTCAAAGCACACGTGGTCCAAGGCCAGCGTGGAGGAGCCGAGCATGCCAACTCCGTAGAGCGAAGTCGTGGGCCCCAGGCGCGCCGAGCTGCGTAAAGGCATGGGCGGTCCCAGATTGATGAGGTCCAACACAAGGAGAGTGGGCCCTGGCCGTGACAAGCCAAAGACCAAAGGCATCGGACCGGTTCAGGCGAGGGTTTGCGAAGACATGGGGCTGCCAGCTAAGATGGGATCAAGGACCAGCGAAGTCAAGTCCAAACGGCTCAGTCCAAAGACAAGGAGTGGGGAGCCAAGCCACACAAAACTCTTCGGCAGCATTGTGGACCCCATGTGAGTGAAATCAAGGGGCGATAACAGCAAGCCAAGCCTGGTCATGCCATAAGCCGAGAGCGGAAACCCAAGATGGAGGCATGCTCGGGATGGCACAACGCTGCCAGGATGGACATAGTCTGGGACTGGGATTGGTGAGGCTGGGCGGGTCATGCCATAGGCCAAGAGCGCCAAGCCTGGGCAAAGGGAGCTATGCAACGAAGCTGAGAATCCGGCGAGCCCAAAGTCCAACATCGGCATCGTGGGGCCGGGGCGCGCCGCGCCGTAGAGAGCCGCCGACAAGCCGATGCGCGCGAAAGCGCGGGGGGAAGAGGAGGAGCCGAGGTGGGCGGAGTCCAAGGGCGAAAGCGAAGATCCAAGGCGCACCATGCCATAGATGGAGGCGGAAGATTCTGGACACCCACAGGCCCGCAGCAACGAGGAGCTTCCCATGTGCGCAGAGTCCGGCGCCAAAAGTGGGGAGCCCGAGCTGGACATGCCATAGGCGAGCAACGCCAAGTCCGTGCGCACGTGGCTCCTGGCCGACATGGAAGAAGCAGAACTGGTGAGGTCAAGGGCCAACGGAGGAGGACCCGGGCGAGACATGCCGTAGGCGAACATCATGAGCCCCAAGCGCATTGAGGCTCTCAAAGGCATGGAAGAACCCACGCGCACAGAGTCCAGTGCCAGCAGTAGAGCGCCAGTGCGGGACATACCACTGGCCAAAGGGGCTGAGCCCAGGCGAACGAAGCCTTGCGTGGGCACGGGAAAGCCCAGAGACACATAATCCAATACCAACAAGAAGGGCCCAAGCTGAACCAAGCCATAGACCAAAGGCAATACTCCAAGGCAAGCGAAATTCCTAAGGGACGGCAGTGAGCCTGGCTGAACAGAATCCAGAGCAAGCGGGCTTGGCCCCAGGCAAGCAACGCCATAAGTGGACATGATCGGGCCAGCGCAAGTGTGGGCTCTCGCGGAAGGCGAGGAGCCGGGGTGAACAAGGTCAGGTGCCGACGGAATCGACCCTAGACGAGACAGGCCGTAGACGGGCGGGCACGACCCAAGCCTTGCAAAGCCCCGAAGAGACAAAGGAGCACCTGGGGAGAAAAGGTCCGTGGCTGGCAGGGAACTTTCCAGGCGTGTGATACCATAGACCGACAGAGATGGCCCCAACCGCGCGAAGCTCGTGACGGGCAGGCCGCTTCCTGGCTCCACGTAGTCGTAGGTGGGCATGGCAAGCCCCGAGCGCGCCAGTCCAAATGAGGGCATCAAAGGCCCCGGACGAATGTAAGTCCGCGACAATGTCGGAGAGCCCAAGGAGACGAAGTCCAAGGCAGGCGTCGAAGCACCGAGCTGCGCCAGGCCGTAGGTGGGAAGCAAAGGGCCAAGTCACGAGGGGCCATGGAGCAAAAGCGAAAGGCCAGTGTGCAGGCAATCCAAAGTCGCCAGCAGCTCGTCCGAACGGCTCATGCCATAAGCGGGCAGCAAGCTTCCTGGGCGCACGGGGCTGCGCGCAAAGGGCGGAGGACCAGGCATGAACAAGTCCAGGGTGGGCGGAGGGGCTCCGAGCCAAGTCGTCCCATAGATGGACGTCAACAAGCCACAACACACAGGCCCTTGCAGAGACAAAAGGGATCCGGCCTGCACCAAGTCCAGAGCCGAAAGCGAAGACCCTGACCTGGACATGCCAGAGACTACAGGAGAAGCTCCCAGTCAGGCAGGGCCATGTAGCAGCATGGTGAGGCCAAGGTGGATGAAGTCCAGCGTAAACATGGGAAAGCCAGGGCGCGACAGGCCATAGGCCAAGAGTGCGGGTCCCAGGCGGCCGTGAGTCCTGAGGGACAGAGAGGCGCCCAAGTGGATGAAATCCAGCACGGGAGACGGAAGTCCAGGGCGGACGCTGCCATATGCGGACATGATCAAGCCTGATCATGCGGGACTACGAGGCAACAGAACGCTGCCAGGGTGGG